AATAATTTGACTCTAACCATTAATATACCTTATATTTCCACTTAATACCTGCTAAATCCATGCATTCTCTATATATGTCTTTTGTAATAGTGGAAAACTCTAAGAACATTACTCAAGTTAGATTAAAATATCTAATAACCTATAAGAAGAATATGATAAAACTAATAGAAGCACATACAACAGAAGCACACATTTGGAAAACCACTCCTTTGTATTAAGCTCTAATTAGTTCTATTTATGCATAATTGAGAACAATTAGGATTAGACATTTTTAGCTTACCCCTTCATTAAACCTGTTCTAATTAGACATAATTTTCCTAAATTAGGAATTATTAGGATTGATTATAACTTGAAATTTCGGAATAATAATAATAAATCAAGCATCACAGTTCTCATAGCCTTCTTATAGAGTCATGTCTATTAGAGCACTAGTTCAATACCTAAACACAGAATATACCTTATACTAAACTTGCCTTCTGCCAGAGTTGAACCAACAACCTCATGTATGCAAGCACCCAGGACAGATGCTCTAAGCCACTAAGCCACAAGGTCTAAAATATAAACTTGGTAATCTAAATAAGTAGACATAATATAGGCAACCACAATATCTCTGATTTTATTTAACATTTATCTTTCCTCTATCTTATAAATAAATAGGTCAATAAATACCTAAAAAGTCAGGTCTTTCAGGATTTAGTTTAAACACCAGCTAAGAAGATAATAAACCAATGGAAAATAAATAATACACTTTATATAGGATAAAAATAAATTATGGCACTTATATAATTTGGACTGAGAATGTGTAAAACTATGATTGAGTGTAATATTTAATGGGACTCTACTAGTATAGACAATGCTACCTGAATTTGCAAATTTTATCAAAAACATGATTATGAATAATCAAGATCCAATAAGAGAGAGGGGTTTTCCAAATAGCCACTAGTGAGGTAGAGGGTGGGGACAAGAGTATATGTGTACATGCCTATATATAAATAAGCACAAGATTGTTGGAGGTGATCTTAATATGCTTAATGCATATATTTCCTATATGGCAGGCAAATATATCATTCTGGCACCACATACCAATGTAACTGTCTTTTCCACAGCCTAATAGCTAGAGGAAAACACCAAGTTTGAGCATCTTCTGTATAACAAGGCAATAAAAAATATAAATAGTGCTTAAAATTGTAATATCAATAGTGATGATGATTGTGTGCTGCACAAAACAGTATTAGCCACTATACTAATAGATAAGGTCTATAAGGCTACATATAGCATATCCCTAAGTCCAACCCACATGTTGTGTTCTATAATGACCAGTAGCAGGCATTGGCCAACAATGACAACTTTAATGATCTTGTGTGCAAGAACAAGGTACCTAGGTCTTCATAGCCTCTTGTGGCAGCTGCCAAGCTGCTAACAAAGTGGCTGGGGGCATCAATGCACATTTTTCTCTTTCTATATCCCTTATAAAAGCAGCTGGAAAGTCAGCAAAAGAGCTACAAGATAATGGTATAGGCATATATGAAGGAGAGTAATATGCTGAAATAGTATAGAATGTGCCACATTCTTACCTTCTCACTGATAGAGCAGTAGTACTTACTATTTCCTACTAATAATTAAAGACTTCTTAGTATGATATCAGTGCTGATATCATGAAATTAGAAACCAATCTAATGCTCATAATGTGTTGCTCTCAATTAGAAAATTAAACACTTTTAGATACTATTAACACTTTTAGATACTTTTAGACACTATTAGATATAATCCGGAGCTAATACAAGGGGGTATTTTTCCAGATGCATACAATGAGAGCATATATAATAGAAGCATATGTAATAAGAGTATACACAATAGGAGCATATATAATCGGAGCACACACAATAAAAGCACATACAATGGAATCACACACAATAAGAGCATATGCAATAAAAGCACACATAATAAGAGCACATGCAATAGGAGTACATGCAATGGGGGCATATGCAATAGGGACACATACAATAAAAGCACATATAACCAGAGCATATCCAATAAAAGCATACTACACATAATAAAAGCACATCCAACCAAAGCACACTTAATAGGAGCATATATGATGAGAGTATACACAATAGGAGTATATATAATAGAAGCATATACAATAGGAGCACACAATATATAATAGGAGCATATGTAATAGAAGCACACACAATTAAAGCACACACAATAGCAGCATATATAATAAAAGCATACACAATGGTAACATATACAATAAAAGCATACAAAATAAGAGCACATACAATAGGTAATCAAGTGACAAGTATATAGCCAATAATTGATTATATATAGACTACACATAGACCACACTTAGATTGCAGGTAGCCTATAATCAATGCATAGTCTGCAACTAGTACAGTATATTTTAGTCCCCATAGCCATTTAAAACCAAACTATAAAACTCAGATTCAACCCTAAACCCAAAAAATACTATCAAGCACTGTATAAAAGTTGTGAAGTGATAGGTCAGAACCTATAAGTATTAGGCACCAATCACAATTGGCATTGGTAAGCCACATAAGAATAAGAAGGAGGATAAGTCATAATGTCATAAGTGTTCATATGTCAGTATGTAAATAGTAATCAGCCTGAGTCTACAGTCTGAATCTGAGTCACATATATGGCTCATGACCATGTCTTGAGTCATATGCCTAGACATATGTCAAGTTATAGTCCTAGTCATTAATGTCTAAGTCTAATACAAAACACCTGACCTTTATCTTAGTCTACATGTAAAGCATATATTAGGACACAGTTGTAACAATATTAAGATTATCTCTAATAATCTTGTGCTTATTGATATATAAGCATGCTATATATATACTTATATTTCAAATTTTTACCCTATTAATGGCTATTTGGAAAACCCCTCTCTTTTATTGGATCCTAATTATTAATAATTATTAATGATACTGAATTAAGCTAATTATGGCTAATTATTCATAATTATGTTTTTGATTAAATTTGCAAATTAAGGTAGCATTGTCTATACTAGTAGAGTCCTATTGAATATTATACTTAATCATAGTTTTATACATTTTAAATCCAAATCATATAAGTGCCATGATTTGTTTTTACCCTATATAAAGAGTATTATTTATTTTCCATTGGTTTATTATCTTTTTAGCTATTGTTTAAACTAAATCCTAAAAGTCCTGAATTTTTGGGTATTTATTGACCTATTTATTTATTAGATAAAAGAAAGATAAATATTGAATAAAATCAAAGAAGATTGCCTATATTATATCTACTTATTTAGATTACCAAGTTAATATATTATATCTTGTAGCTTAGCAGCTTAGAGTATTTGTCCCAGGTACTTGTATATATAAGGTTATTGGTTTAACACTTGCAAAAGGCAAGTTTGTTGTAAGATATATTCTGTGTTTAGGTATTCAACTAGTGCTCTAATAAACATGACTCTATAAGAAGGCTATGAAAACTATAATGCTTGATTTATTATTATTTTTCCAAAATTTCAAGTTATAATCAATTCTAATAATTTCTAATTTAAGAAAATTATGTCTGATTAGAACAGGTTTAGGGATGGGAGTAAGCAAATAATCTCTAATTCTAATTATTCTTAATTATGCATAAATAGAAATAATTAGAGCATAATATAAGAGAGTGATTTCCTAGATAGTAATAAGCCTAGTGGCTTAATACAGATCCAAAGTATTATACTAAGTCTGACAAAGCACTAGATTTATCTCAAAGTCTCATTTACTTTTAAATCACTATTACTTATTAAAGACTCACTACCTATTAAGTCATCTCTTGGAATTTATTAGAAGTTGTCTATTGGATTTGAAAAGATAGCCCTATCTCTAAAAAACATCACTTTATTATCAAGAATCATCTTCTCTATCTGTTTAAAGACAAGGCTGATAATAACCTATACTTCTTTGCACAAGCTCAGCAATAAGCAATAGTCTTTATTAAGTAGACTATCACAATCCAAATAGTCTAGGGAACCCCTCTTAGTGCTTACAGCACACAATAAGCCTAGTGGCTTAACAATCTGTTGGACTAGAGAAGACAATCATGTGCTCACAGAGTATTATCCTATTTTTGGAGATCATCTTCTCTATTTACTTAAAGATAAGCCTATAGGCAACCTGGAATTCCTTACAAATGCAAAATGCACAAAGACAATTAATAGTTTTTATTTGCTAGATAATTTCAATCTACTTAGCCTAGGGAACCCTTTTTAGTACTTAAGTGCATGTGATAAGCCTAGTGGCTTAACAGACAGTCCTGCATGCACTCTTCATCTGTTTGTTAACATTCAAAACCAAGCTATCAGAGCTATTCAAGGAGATATGAGGTCTGTCTAATATTATTTGTTTTGACAATGAGAATTGGGTACAAGCATATTATAGGACATGCTAGGTGGGCAGGAATGTTCCATAGATGATACAGTACATGGCAAGGACCTATGGCAGAAATAGATCATTATGGTGCAGTGCTGATATCAAGCACCTAGAGTTCACAAATGGCTAGTCATGCTATATACACAAAGATAAACAAAGCACCATAAGAATAATGAAAACATCATATATGAAACTGTGAGCTGTATGCTGGAATCACCACCTAGACTTCTAGGCCTGCAGTTGCCCCTCCACAATAAGGTCTCTAGGTGGCATGTCAAAAAGTGTTATGGGGCAAGAGAATGCAATACATTATCTGGTCTGACAATAATAGTTATGTGAAGCTTTTCTATGGGACTCGCCGAATGGTCAGTAGGGTTTCGTAGTAACGTCGAGTGTGGCACATAGCAAGGATTTGTTTCTTGAACATGTTAGTGTGCATTGATCGCGCATGAGAATAAAAAACCCACAGCCTTCACTTGAGCGCACGCCGCACAGACCACATGTGCATATGTGCGTGCACAACCCATCCCAGCGCCCACATCGAGCACCTAAAGTTTACGATCACCCGATCGCCCCACAATTCCAGAAATGCTCGAAGAGCTGCAAGGATCGGGTCACCGCGCCTTCGAGCTTCGATCATATAGAGCCCTTCACACACCTGCCGAACCAAGACATGATGCACGATGCGTCATCGAAGCCCGGCACAGTCCAAATCCCCCGCGTCCGATATCGACGATGGCCATCTCGATGACGTCGAAGAGCCCCCGGGGTGGCGAGGGGGTAGGGCATGATAAGTTCCTATCAAGACCATCACGCAACGCGCACACGCAAGCGCCCACAGTCCCTGACCCGCGCATCCTCGAGGTTCGCGCCATCCACATGTCCGATCGCATCAGCTTCTTGGCTTCCTGGGATGGCGATGGCGCAGATTGCCGGGCCCCGTCGGTCCTTGTTGGGCCCTGCGCCGCGCTCGGCGGTCCCTGGGGTGCATCTCCAGCTACGGCGGGGCAGGAGCGGGGAGCGTGCGGATGCGAGCGGTCAGTCTGCGTGCTTCTCCTTCTCCCGCTCCGCGCTGTACGTACGCGCGTACGTGAGCAGCCGCGATCCACGTCTGTGTCCTATCTAGAGCAGCATCGCCCACGACGCAAGATGTCACGACGCGTCGCGCGCGACGTTCTGCAGCCTTCCCTGGCGTTCTTCCTGCGCATGACGCCATCGCCGCCGGGCGAGCACGTCACAAGAAGGGGATGGACGGTGGATGGCGCCCTATGGAGCCCAAGCTCGGACGAAGTGCGAGTCGAAGTCGAAGGGCTTCTGTCTCGCCTGGCCGTGGCCGCCTGCCTCCGCCAACGCTCTCCCCTCGCTTGCACTCGCACACTCGCACGCCGCACGCGTGCGTCCTGCGTGTGTACGTGTGGACGTGTGGACGCGTGGGAGTATGTGCGCGAGTGAAGCCGCGAGAGCAGCCCGCGTGCCGTTTCGCGCCTCGAGTCCTCGCAGGACTGGAGAGGACCCCGCCGATCGCGGGTTCGCGGATTCGCAAACCCACCCTCGCTTCGACGCCCGTCCGCCCGTCCGCCGCGCCATATCTCGACAGCTCGTGCGAGCGCTTATCTTCCGACGACGACGACGACGCGCGCGCGCGCTCGGGACCCCGGGCATAGATGCGCGCTTAGCGCTTAACTCCTGCTCATGCCCGCCTATTCCCGCTTACGCTTACCCTTCTAATTACACAACAACGGCTCCAAGCTGGCGCTTGGGTGCCTGTGGCCCCCATCAGTTCGGTGATGCGACGCGACCCGGGCTTCTGATCGGGGCGTATATGGGCGTGCGCACGCGTTAACATGCCGCGCTATTGTGGCTCCCTACCAGGCGCGAAATCGGGCGGGCTGCGAGTCGTGTCGGGGAGCCTGGCGAGGGGCAGTTGGGGACCGAGTGCGTTGGTCGGCGCGAGGGAGGAGGGAGCGAGGAAGGGAGGATCTGGGTGGATATGGCACGGAGGATTCGGGAGGGTTGGGGCCTGGGATCAGCCGCGAGACGCGCGCTGGCTTCTTTGTTCGGTGCGGTGCGGGACGCGTTATCGCAGACACGATGCGCGACGGAAATCGACGTCGATGCGAATAAGACAGTCGACGGGCGTGACACGCATATGTCGAGGAGCGCACTCGGGCTCGGGAGTCGCGTGAACGGGCGTGCAGGCGCCTCCGCATGAGTGCACGATCTGAAGCAACGGTTGCGATCGGCGCAATGGCCGGAGCGTCGGGCGACGGTCGCAAGGCGGAGAGATGGAGACGTGGGGACGCGGGGGACATCGGGGAGGCATCACAGCACGGACGGACCGCCTTGGCGCGAGCCGGCGGTCGCATCCGCCTGATCTCGACGACGAAAACGGGGATCCGACTCCAGCTCTAGCAAGTCAGGAAGATCGTCGGAGGGGCCGCAGGGACGCGCAGGCGCGCAGGCGTATCCTTTATGGCGTTTCAGCTGTCACGATGCAGCGCCCAAGGACGAGGACAGATGACGAGCGTGCAGTATCTGGCGTGTCCCGTGCGTGTGCGTGCGTCTACGTGCGCCGGACCCTTTCCGGGGCGGGACGAAGAAAGGCATGCATGGAAGCGCAGGCGTCTGGCAGGGCGACCCTGATGATGGGCGTGCTATATTCGTTCGGGTACATCCATCCATATACATACACAGGCACGCATGTGGGAGTTGTGGTACTCGGACACGTCCTCGAGGGCCCGTGTGGCGTTAAGCGTACTTTGGCTGCCCGTTTTGACGGAGACACATACACACACACGTACATACATACGATGCGTGCTGCGTGGGCCGTGCCGCGCGGTGGGCGTAGGGCGGCGAGGCACGCGCACAGGACCTGGAGTTGGCGTGCGTGGCGCTGAGATGCGGACGAGATGCGGACGCGGGCGCGCGACAGTTGCTCGACTGGGAGGGCAAGGCGGTCCCTGGGGCGTGGACGGAGCTAATTCCGGGAGTGCACAGGCGTGCAGGCTCTTTGCGCCGTGCGAGGCGCCGCTGGCGTCGGTCGATCGTCGCACCCCCGCGTGGTACAGCAACAGCACCAGCTGTGATATGCGCGCTTTGCATGACAAGCACGCGCCCATGCTGGGACTCGCAATCCGAGGCATGTGCGCGTTAATCGTCGACGCGGCGCCAACGCTCGCGGCGCCCACCCCACGGCCTCGCGCGACTGCGATGCGTGCACTTGCTGGGGATCCTGTCGCCGGGCTGCGCAGGACTGCGCAGCGGCCTGGCGAGCCCGTCGACGTCGAAGACAAGCTCTACGTGAGCAAGGGTCCTCACGCGCGGGCGCCAGAGCGGGTTTGTTCGTCATCGCGCGCGAGCAGGGAGTGTGTTCTGATGGATCGGGAGGGCCCCCGTGATGCGATGGGCTGACGAGTGGCTGACGCTGGGGGGCGTGACGCCCTGGATTAGGATCCAGGGCTCTCGGGGCCCTTTCTGATGGATCCCGGAGAGGCGCGCGTGTGGGTCTGCGTGGGTCCGCTGCACGAAAGCGGGGCCTCTTTGTTCGATTTTGATTCGGAGTGCTTCGATCAGAAGCGGGTAGAGGGCGCGGTGATCTTGGGCTTGGGCGATGGCGCGCGGGGCCTGGACTGGGTCCAGCCTGGAGGCGGTGCGCGGTGCCAGGGCGTGAGAATCCAAGCGGGAGTGTTGCGCGCACGCGGCGGAGAATCGGAGGGGGAGAGATCTGGCGGCGGGGGATGGCGATGCCGGAGGGGGAATGGAAGAGTGCCGGGGACTGCCGGCAGAGGAGGGTGCCAAAAGGGGGAAACCGGACGAACGGTCGGTGCAGGGGACGAGATAGGGTGAGATACGCCACCGCTGTGGGAACGGGTGGTCCGGGGTCCTGGTGAGCGCCCATCGATGGCCTGAGTGCTCCCAGTCTCTTCCGTCCACACAACACCGTCCACCCCAGCGTCCTCCTTCTCCTCCTCCTCTCCCCCTCGTCCAAACACGCACCCGTCCCATGGAGGAACTCACCGCGCGCGCCCTGGAGAGGGCACACCACGGAATGTGAGCCCCCCTTTTCTCCCGCACGGGCCACCTCTCCCGCCTCCCAATCCTCTCGCGAGGCGGTGCACCAAGTCCGTGGAATTGTCCACCCCGCCCTCTCCTCTTTCCTCCTCCATTACAAGCTCTCTTTGCTCACCTTCTTTTCTTCCTCCCTCTGCCTGCCCCTCCCGCCCCACCGCCCTGTCACCGTCCTGTCGCCCACCGCCACCTTCCTGCCACCGCACACGACAACCGCGTCGTCCCTTCTCTGCTGCGCCCCCCGCCCCATCCGCCTATATCCCGCCCCCTGGTCCACTGGTCTAACCACCTCCCTGATCGCGCAACTTTAATCCAACCCCGCGTCATGCCATCCTCGCCTGCCCGCGCGGCCCCTCCCTCGTTCATCGACGGCAGAGAATACGAGCTCAATGTCCGCCAGCAGCCCAAGCAGGCCAGGATGTGCGGTGTCGGCGGTACGCCCCTACGCTCTTCCTCTTCCGGCCTTGTATCCCCGCTCATCGTCATATCTTCATCGCCAGCCGACCGTCGACCCATCGACCCGCCGCCGATCGTGCAGCTGCGCGTCATCAATCACGACAGGCGCAACAGAGGCTCGCCCTCGCCCTCGCCCCCGCCCCCGCCGCCCCAGCACCCGCAGGGCCATACCCACGAGTCCCCGCTCGACGCGTCGATGCTCACCCCCGCCGGGTTCGGGCAGACGTTCCTGCAGAATCCATACTATTTTATGTTCGCGAGCCTCGCTAAGCCGGACGACGACACGGAGTTGCATTGGATGAAGGTACGGGCGCTTGTTCTGATGGTGATCGGATGTGTACGGGGACGGATATATCAGTGGGCGAATGGACTTTGGGGGTCTGTGCGCGGGACGCAGGACACCATCATGCGTTGCGTTGCGTGCGGGTGATCGGCTGATGGGACGACGACGGCCGAGCGGGGGCCCGTAGTGATGGAGCACGTGCGCGAACCCTGAGTCTGGATCTGTCATTGGCCAAACCCCAGTGACGTGCCGTTGTCCGAAGGTTCTCGTCCTGGATGTCCTGTTTCCCGATTCGGCCGACTGCGTGCAAGCCTGTCCGGGAATAGCTCGCTGACGCCCGCGTTTCGTCCCCTCCAGGATGGAAAGACCCGCTGCACCACAGGCTCGGTCGTCTCCTCCCTCTACCATCTCAAAGATTCTGAGAACGAAAACCGCGACGCGGGCTTTTTCGTCTTCCCGGATCTTAGCGTCCGCCAGGAGGGCAGCTACCGTCTCAAGCTGAGCCTGTTTGAGGTTGTAGGGTGAGCACTCCCACTCCAATCATACCGTGCCTAGAGCTGGCTCCAATCGGCTTTCACAGCGAAGGGCTCCATGCGCAAGCGTCTACATCTGCTCATACAGGCCATGTCCAGACCGCTGACCTCGTTTCGTACAGGTCAAAAGTCTATCATTGCAAGTCCATTTTTTCTGCTCCTTTTTATGTTTACACAGCGAAGAAGTTTCCGGGCATGGAGGGTGTGTTCTCCTCGCGCTCGGTGTCTCCCGAACCACGACGCGTGCTCACCCGTATCTGTTCTCTTTTCGTCTATAGAATCTACCCCACTCTCCTGCTCGTTAGCCGACCAGGGTATAAAAATACGTATCCGAAAAGACATTCGTCAGCGCAAACCGCGCGGCTCGGGGCCCCCTTTCCCCACCATGCCCCTCCCACATCCGCTTCCCCAGCCCGAGCCCATCCCTGATGACGAGGACGTCGAGCAAGACAGCGAGCCGGAGGAGGATAAGGGTAGAAAGCGTAGCTCTGCCACCGTCGAACGCGACGACCGCGACCGCGAGCCCAAGCGCGCGCGCGTCGACCCAGACAGCTCCGGAGAGTGGAGCATCGACCCCACCCTCGCGCCAGCTCCCCAGGTATCTGCATCAGCGTCCGCGCCGCCCACGTCGGCCGTGTCGACGGGCAGCTCGGGCTACGATCATCACCGCCCGACGCTGCAGGCCATCCCGCCGCCGCCGCACCCACCCACGGCGGCTTCACACCACTACGCCCCACATCACGCGTACGAGCCGCCGCCGCCACCGCCTCCACAGCACTCGCACCCGCAGACGCCGACGCATCCGCCCCCTCCCCCTCCTCCCCCGCAGCACCACCAGCAGCACCATTACTCGCAGCCGCCGCCTCCCCCGCCGCCGCACACCCTGCCGCCCCCGCACCACCAGCAGCCGGCGCACTCGATCCCGCCTCCGCCTCCGCCGTACCCGCATACGCACTCGCCGTACGCGCAATGGGGTCCGCCGCCGTATGACCACTATGCGCACCAGCACCAGTACCCGCCCCCGCCGCCGCGCTACCCGAACGAGTACAATCCGTATCCGCCCCCGCCGCCCCCGCCGCACCAGCCGACGCCCCAGCCCGTCACGTATGGGCCGTACTATGCGCAGTACGCCCCGCCCCCGCCGCCTGCCCAGCCGCCTGCACCGCCGAGCCCAGGATATCCCCCGCCGCCGACACAGCAGAGCGCACCGCCCCCACCCAGCGGCCGTGGGAGCGTCGGCAGCTCCGGAGCGTACTATCCGCACCAGCCGCCTCCGCCACAGCAGGCCCCGAGCGGGCGCCCGTACGGTACACCGCCCCCTCCACCGCCCCCGCCCAGCGCGGGAGGCAGCGCGGGCGGCGCTGTGTACAGCGGCGGATACCACCACCCCACTCAACATCACGCGAGCGTGCACCCGGCACAGCATCAGCAGCAGCACCCCGCGCACCACCAGCACCCGTCGCAGCACCCGTCGCAGCATCCATCACAACACCAGCAGCACCCATCGCAGCACCAGCAGCACCCGTCGCAACACCAGCCGCATCCGTCCCAGCATCCGTCCCAGCACCCGTCCCAGCACCCGTCCCAGCACTCGCACTACGGGCCGTACCCGCCTCCGCAACAACAGCAGCCGCAGCAACCGCATCCCCAGCAGCATCCCCAGCAGCATCCCCAGCATGCCCCGCCGCCCGGGAACGGGTCGTGGGTGTACGCTCCGCCACCGCCGCCTGGCGGGCCACCCCCAAATGGGCCACCGTCGTCGCAACAGCAGCAACAACAACAGCAGCAGCAGCAGCAGGCCCAACAGGTCGCGGTGCAGGCGCCGCCGCCGAGTGGGCCACCGCCGCCACCGTCGTCGGGGGCGTACGCGCCCAGCGGGGGGCCCGCGGGCGGCGCGTGGGGCGGGCCGGCGGGGGGTGTGGGCGTGGGCGTGGGCACGGGCGTGGGGGGCGATCCGGCGCGGATTCAGCTGGCGCCGTTGAGGCCTCGGGAGAGCGAGATGCACCATGGGCACGGGGCGCATGGGGCACATGGGCATGGGGGTGGCGGACATGGGGGCCACCATGGGCATCACGAGGGCTCGGGAAGCGGGAGTGGGAGCGGGAAGGATAGGAAGAGGAAGCCGTTGAGCATTGGGAGTATGTTGACGGAGGATTGAGGAATAGGGCGGGGCGGGGTGGCGACAGTGTAAAGTTGGGGGGATGGTGGAGATAGAAGTAGTGTGGATGGGGGAGGGGGAGGGGGTGTTGTGCCGTGTTGTCTGTTTGTTTGTTTGTTTGCTGAGAGCGCTGGTTATGAGGTATTTTTGTCTTGTCTTTATCCTCTTTTGATTGATTTCGCCCAGTCCTGCCGACGTGCCCTTTCCGAGCACTTATCGTTTCTCTTCTCTGCTTATCTGTCCGCCTCTGATGTCTTTTGCCGTCCTCGTTTCTGTCTCCTCTGCCTTGATTTTTTTTGTCTCCGACATACTGCCACTTGCTCTATTCCGTTTCCTTGGATCAGCGCTTTATTCTCCTCCTTTACCTCTTCTGAAACTGCTCCTCAACGAGCGCATGACGATACTTTCCCTTTTTTTTCTTTTTTGCTCTGCTCTTTTTTCATGCAGGCCGGTCTGTCGCTCGCTCGCAGCAGGCCGGCCGCGATGCATGTCCACAGCGGATTCCTGCTACTAGCCCATGTCTCTCTCTCCCCTTGTCTCTCTGCCAGTGTAGTCTTTGCGCTGTGCCTCGCCTCGCCCGCGGGCACGAAAAAACCCGGCGGGCGAGCAACTACGGACCGTGACACTCCCTCCCACTCCCGCTCGACTGTCTTATTGCCCTACGCCCGATACGATACGATGCGGTGGACCGGTGCGCTCTGCTACGAGTATGTAAATATGTTCCATTCACGACGAATATGCCAATCACAATCGATTCTATGTATGTATCTGCACGTGTGTATATGTACTCTTTCCTCATGTTTCGCTCGGGTCATCTCGCCTTCTGTGTATCTCGAGGGTCGGATCACGATAGGCCGGGTATGGAGTCCCCCGGCCTGTCTGCGTCGTGCGTTCGGTGGGTCCGCATGTCACGTTTTTGGGAACACCGCTGCAGGCGGCCTTTGAATCGGCAGAATGTAAACGCTATTAAATTGAATCGTGGAGAGCCGTCACGCGGGCCACGCTGCGTGCGTGCCGCCAGACGGGCTACTATGCAACATAGTATAATTCGGGAAGGAGGCGTGGATCGGGGGATCGACGGAGTTTCGGTTTCGTGAGGGACGCTATTGCCTATCGGATGCGAAGTCGGCTCGGGTCGTGCAGGTCAGGGGCCCGGGACCGTGTACGCTCGGGCTCGAGCCCGGGACGAAGCTAATTTGGCAGGAGCAGGGCGACGGAACGGAAGACAGGCATCGGCGGGCTGCGCTTTTTTGTGTGTGTGGGAGATGACGCGTGACGGCTCGCCGGGCCCGGGCCTTTGCGGTGGACGAACGAATGGAACTCTGCTGAGAGCGACTCGGCGGCGTGGCTCGGGGGTGGCGCTTTTGCTTACTGCTTATGGGCGGGCGGGCGCGTGCGGCCGATTCTGTGGTTCGAGTTAGGGTGCCTTGGACGTCGGGCTTGCGAAGCGCATATCTCCATCTTCAGAGCAGTTGACAGCCTTCTGTCGTCAATCATCGATCTCGATGGAAGCCTTGGTGAAATCGCTGTGAACGTGGCCGAGACGCCAAGTCTAGATGTGAGCATCGAGCAGGCTGGAGAGGCCACATATGCTGAGTCCTTACGATATACGACTGACTTGCTCCCCTGCCTCCTCGCGCGGCGCCGGATCATTCCCATTTCCCTCTTTTGTTGCATGTTCAATCCCGGCGCTGCCGACGCTCGCTTTGCGCGCCCAGCCCCTACCCGCGCCCACCCGCTCTTGGAACGCGGCGAACAAGAACTCAGGGCCTGTGTTGTGCACGAGGTTCCCGCTCGCGTCCTTTTCGGCCGTGCGAAAGTTCACCCACTTCCACGTGAGCGTGGGGATTTCCTGCGGGATGTCGGACAGGGACCTGAGTCCGAGCGCGCGCGCCGTCGGCCCCGCGCCCGCATCCGTGACGATGTGGGTGACCACCGCGGGATCGAACTCGGGCACCAGCGTGCCCCCAAGCTTCACGATCTGCGGCGAGGAGGAGAGCGTAGGTACGTCTGAGGTCATAATGATAGGACGCGCACGCACGTAGTCCATCTTCTTCCTCGTCGTCTCCGTCGCGTAATGCATGTCGCCATTCGTGTAGAATATGTTGTGTCCCTTCAGATGCTGCGGCTGCTGGGCGCCGCGCTTGACCGTCTGCACCTTCAAGATGCGCGGCGCCTGCTTCTCCACGGTTTTCCGCGCCGGCGGCGCTTCTGGCGGAGTCGGCGGCGGCGGTGGATCCAAGACGCGCTGCACGAGCGCGCGCGCGTACTCTGAGGGCGTGTACTTCTGGGGCTGATGCTTCTGAGCTTTCGAGTTCGCGGAGGTGTGCCTCCGGGCGGACGATGAGGCCTTTTGGATCTCTGATCGCAGGGGCTGCATCTGTAGAGCTGCTACTGTGGCTGCGCGAACAGGAGGTGGGGGCGCAGGGCGTGTCGTGGCAGGGCTGCGTCCAGGAGTCGTTATGACGCTCGTGTCGGCCGGGACGATGGGAGATTTCGCCCGAAGAGGCTTGGCGGGTGGTGCTGGGTGCGCCATCAGGGTGTATTTATTATCAGTGGTATGCGGCGTTTGCTTCGCAACATCGTCATGAGCGGCCTTTGTAGCGCGGGGCGGCGCAGGGTGGTGAGACTTCAACAGCGTAGGTTTAGGGGAAGCTGTCAAATTCATTTCGGAAGCGCGAGAAACTTTAGAGCCCACGTCGGGGATAGGAGAAACTTGTGCAGGGCCGCCTTGCTTCGCGTTCGAGGAATTATAGGCAACTGGGTCAGTGGAGTTGATCAATCTACGTCTCTTTGATTTTTCATCTGTGTTTCTGGCAGCAGGTCTTTGGATTGTGGATATTCCTCGCTTTTTCGTGGTGGTAGGAACTGGTGATGGTCGAGGCAAGGTCGGCGGTACGCTATCAGTGTTGATTTGAGACAACCCTCCAGGAGCGTAGTGAAGCAGTGCGTCATGAATAGCGCACCTCGGGCCACTATCGATAGGGACGAATACCCCGCCGGAGGGCGTGTGTGCCTTATTCGAGCCCGTGCCAAGGGCGCTATGCACGTTACGTTCAAACAAAATGAAAAATTGGACTGTCGCGGGAACAACATACTTAAGAGGGGATATTGATCGCAGGCGACGCGTGTATGCATCCCAGTCTTCGTCTGGGGCGTTCACGCGTTCGTCGAGTTCGCTGTAGGAGTACGGGTAGGGAAAGGGCTGCATCAGAGTTCTCGGCTCGGTTCGGCTTAGCACCTGTGAGCCGTATGAGGTGAGCCGGCTGGTGTAGGGAAGACTTGAATTTTGATTGATGCTCGCGGAAAATTAGATGGCGCTTTTTGTTGTGTTCCGTGAAGCTTGAAGCTTGAAGCTTGAAGGGTGACTGGGAGGGTGGCAGGTTTCAGATGGCAGGCTCGTCGGACTTATTCGCGGAGTATCAAAATGATCGCGCTGTCCGCCGCACTGTCCAGCCCATTTCAGGATTGACAAACCTTACGGTGACGATTCACAAGGAGACATATAACTCGGATGACATAGAAAGTTTCAATCGTCTTCTCCAGTACAACTACCCGAACTTCGAAGCAAGCGCAAATTCTTTGTGCCAGCGAGATATATTGAAATACTCTAGTAGCGTCTTCGTTTAATCTTCGTTATGGGGCACTGGCCAATATTCACCGTTCTATCATGCGCATCCTGGCCACACTTGCGTGCTCTTTACTTGTCTGGTCCATCATAGTCGCCGGGGGAATTTGCCAAATTTGTGATGGCACATGGCTTCATTGAGGAGCTCACGCTGCAGCGTGAAATGGGCTGCGACTGGCAACAGTTTGAGCAGGCCTTCGCTGAAAGTCTCTCGCCGATATTGCAGTGCTTGAAGGAACTTGAATGTTCTCTATCCACAGCAGTAGCACTCCTCTTCCGCCCTCTTCACGCGCCCGAAGAGTTGTCGAGAGTTGATTTGTATGGCGAGAGCGAATGGTTTCCTTACCACCCATCGCCATAGACGGGTATGTTTCTAGAGCGACTGTCCGCGTGCAGACCCGCTAGACATATTGGAATCAAGCACTGCAGTGGAGCTATTCCAGAACTAGAGATGCTTACAACGGCGGTGCCAAAGTTAATCAGGTTGGATATTGGGCTGAATTTCCAAGCCTCTCCAACATTCTCCATCGTAAGTGATATCAAATCGTGCAGCGAGTAACTCACATATCATTTCTGGTACATATATTTCAGAAACCACAGTGCCATTTCTTGGCGCGCTTTCCCTTTTTGAAGACCATTGGGGTCCCGAACCTCAACTACTTGACAAGGGTGGCCAACTACCAAATAAAGGACAATGGCGAAATCAGGAAGGAGATGACAATGCGGGCATGCACATACGGTGGGTGGTGCGGAAGGTGCACGAGAGCGACAAGGCAGAAGTTGGAGAAGGGGAGCGTGCTTATGGAGGACGAGCAAACTAGTGAAGTGTTTTGTTGTCACGCAGCTTGGCGCAGTTCAGAAAAGGTGCCGATTGAAATATTGGAGTTCGTCTGCAGGGCTGACAGTGTTCGTAGCCTGAGATTGGAAGATCATTTTTCTCAAACAGAAAAAGGCAGGGAACGAGAGACGATGAGGAGACAAGCTGATACTAGCGGCGTTGCAGAGACCTAAGATGGAGAACTTGTCTTCGGCAGAGAGTGAGCCTGTCGAGGTGGACGAGTTGGATCAGAGCTCGAGTCACGTAGAGGCCCACGAACACAAGAGACATTATTCTCGAACGATCCGGCTCAATGCATAGAGCATCCCATGAAACAACTCTTGGTATTTGACATCGTTACGATACAAGAATCCATGTCGCCAACGGCAAAAGACCTAGAAAGTCGTCAATTTACAGAAAATATGATACATTGAATCCGCCGACGCGTTTTCTCCCATGTGCCATCCTTCTCGCACAGGTTCACCTATTCAACAACGACGTGCTATTGTTCCATCACATGACCCCCAGTCCCCTCTTCAGCTCTCTCTCCAAATCCTCCATATCAGCATCGCCAGAATCCGCATCATCCTTCGTCTCGACTTCTTTTTCTTCTTTCACACACTTTTCGCACTCGCACAGGCCGAAGCCCCACCCGCCTAGCTCTTCTCTCCGCTGCTTAACGCCGAGCGAAGGGTCAACATACGCGACGGAGAGCTCCTCGCCAGCTTTGATGTTACGGCGGGCGATGAGGGTCAGTCGCGCGAGGGCAGTCCGTTGGTCTGCATGGCGCGCGGATAGATTGGGCGCGCATGAATGATTGAGATGAGAGTGTAGGGTATAGAGACCGCCGTGTGCTTCCAAGTCTACGGAGAAGGTTTCAGATCAATTACACAATGGTTCAATCGAAGAGGGCGTACTGAGGCTCATGCGCCCGAGACCACGCAAGAACGCGTCGTATGGGAAGATGTTCTCGGTGATGGATTCTGGGATGGGATTTTTCAGCAAACGCGCAAGCTTCTTCTGATCTGGAGCTGAGACTGGCGATTGGAATGCTTGCGTGAACAGTTGGTGGGCCTTCTTCCATGTCGCGCGATCAGGTTCTGCCCCTCCGAACCTATCACACGTGGCGATTGATCAACAAAACGTGTACATCCGTGTTTTTGCGTGAGATATGTCACTTACCATGCGCCCTTAGCGCGGTCTTCCATGCTGAGTTCTGCCAATGCACTCACGATGTTCCAGTCCTCTTCCAGGACTTTCGAATCGGAACTCTGCGCCGCAAGCAAGATGCGAGCCGTGCAATGAATGAGAGCGTGCAGCCCCATCCAGGAACTACGCCGGGCAAAAGCCAAGAGGGGAACACTAGCTGGATTCTGGGAGGAACAGAGAAGCGGATGGATCTTGGCAGAGCGTGATTGGCAGAGACGGTTGCAGAAACGAGCGGTGCATGATGATGAGGAAACCGACGTCGAAGGGCATCGCGTTATGAGAGGAGACTCGGAGAGAGGTGTCGTGCAGAATGCGCAAGCGCGAGAGGACGTCTGAAGGTCGAAAATATCCCTACACGAATACGGTCATCGCCAACGAAGTGAAAAATACACGACACAAGGCGTACCATTCAGGCGCAATGATGAACGGGTCCTCCTTCCACACTACTTCGCCCTCGGATATCGCTTCCTTGGCGACCAAGCCCTTGCCTTTCCTTTTCCCAAAGTACTTCACGGCTACTTTGGGCGTCCATTTCGTCACGTCCAGCGTTTCGACTAGTTTCGAGCTCGGGTATATCTGCGTGGGGTCCGCATTTTTACCCTGAGGGGGCTCGACCGTGAGACCTGCGCTCTGCACGACCTTGCGCGTGCGCTTTTCGCTAACAATCCACGAGGGCTGCTTGGACAGCAGCAGTGCATGAAGTTTTGGGATTCCGAGAGTCGGATTTTCAGCCCTAAGGTCGACAAGAGCAGTCTTGAGCTCTTCTTCGGAGGGGGTAATACTGGCAGACATGTGTGCGAGGGTGTAGAGAAGAGGGAATGCTGCCGGCCATCGATGTTCAGTCAAACTTGGGAATTGTGTACAAACATGACAAATTATTCACTGAGTTTCACCACGGTCCCTGGCCGCGCTGTTTCCGAGAACCATGTCGTGGCCACTTGCCAGCTAGTCATGAAAATATCCCAAATACCTCATGTACAGTAATGAGCATGAGCGGGTAATGTGGCCATTGGCCACGGAAAAATGGACCTATGGACCTACAGTACGTAAACGCATCGATACCGCATATTTCAGGTCTTCAAGAGCTAACGTCCTCGCTAGGTTCCCCATCCCCCGTACAGTTTAAATCTTTTTGTCGTCGACCTCCCTAATCTACACCGAGCAGTAAGATTGCTGCGCTTTCAGAGACTCGTAGAAAACGAAACTGTGCAAATGTCACAACTTCTCAGCGAGCATGATCAATGTGAGTGATAATATAGGTTCAAAGTGCGTCCGCCCGATCAATAGCTGACAGCTTGAATACTGTTCAAACGTGTCATGGTACCGAGTCACTCCAGAGACTAGACGCTGGGATACTCGAAAGAAGCCATCAGCTCTCAGACCTCAAAGCGCGTCGCAGCGCTCACGTACTCTTTGTTCTCTCTTACTTCGGATATTCTACTCCGAATATTCTCCCTTTTCTGCCCTTCATTTGACGGAGACAATCACATCGCTCGTAAAGATTCCCCGCAACCACCTTGGCCGCTCGTAACGCATGTTTGCCGGCGATTGCGACAGCTGGTTCTCGAATGTCCCTCATTACAGCTCAATGTCCCCGCCAGGCACCCTGATATGACAGCCAAGATAATATCCCGCTCAGGAGCAGCGCCGATCAATATTAATGTGACTTGCCCGCCAGGTAATAGTCCCTTCCACATGGCCCTAAAATTAGCTCTGCATCACCTCCCGCGCATTCGCCAGCTGATCATCCTTGATGCCGATATGTACAAATTTACCCTCGCTCTCAGGACGTCCCGACACCTCACTTGAAGACTCTAGTGCTTGATGGCGATACATGGGTTCTACCTAGTGATATATTCAAATCAGAGGCACCTCGTCTGCGGTCGCTGACCCTGCGAAGGTGCAAGCTTCAATGGGACTCGCATCTATTCTCCTCGACGTTGGCATACCTGGCACTTCGCTACTGCGTTCACTCTCCCCTTTCTATGGTCTTGACGACCCTCCAAAACCTCTCAAATCTTGAAATTCTGGTACTTGAGCACAGCCTTCCTAAAGACGACGTAGCAATGATGTCTTCACCTTCATTCGGCCCCATAGTCACCATAGAACATCTTCGGGTGCTAGAACTACACGGAGATACATGCCATATTGCTTCCTTCATGGAACATCTTCATGCACCACAGCTTGAGGAAGTGTAGCTCGTCTGTCTTGACACTCATTGCGATCCCCCGGCATCTATCAAGACCATTTCATCCATGATTTCTAAACACAGTCTCAGCATTGGTTCTGATCAAGAAAGGCCGTCAATCGGGCTTGATTTTATTATATAAGCAATCAAGACCTCCAAATAGCTTATCCGTCTTTCAGCCATTACCAGTGCAATCAATTTGTCTAAGGAAGGAACTACATCAATGGTGCGCAAAATTGAAGTCACCTTAATCTGGAAACCCCGTCCATTTCATGGCCGGGAAAACTCAGCAAGCCAATTCATTCAAAAGATCGCCCCCACCCTCACTCCATACCGACAGATAAGATCTCTGAGCGTGGAAGTTGATTATAATACCTTGACCGGCTTGAACAGGGAGACATTCGATGCCTTCCAATCTATGCAGGACGTTTCAAGCTTGGTTCTCAGAACGGACATCGCTCTCTACATGCTACGAGAAGTGTTTGGTAGCGAAAGCCCGCCACCGGCCAGGATCGGTGGTCCCCATCCTTTCCTTCTCTCCAGAACACAACCCTCGAGAAGACGACAATTGACTCGATCGCAGCAGATCTTATCGTATCCGGGCTGAAACAAAGAAAAGAGCACGGTTCTTGTGCTGACCAGATGTGTCTCATAATCAAAGACTGCCGGATCTATGAGAGGACTGTTTCCGCTTTACGGCTTCGTGCCGACGGCTTTACTGTCAGTTGGAACAGAAAAACGGGTAGGAACGCACCTTGAAAGTATGTTGTTTGAAAGTCGACAAACTTCAATCCTTTATTGATTCGTAACGACCTGCTGCAGTTAGGCAGGGCACGACGATCTCGAATTGAATAATTTGCTGATACGATCGGTACTTCAGATATATAAGATGATACGGGTACAGTAGTTGGATCAATAAAATAACGGGGAATGAATACAGGTGACGAATAAGAATGAGGCCAGGGAGATGTACACACAGTGTGGGTTTGAACGAGACAACACGGCATAGTAAGGACATAACATAGCAAAGAAAGGATACAACACAACATAACAAGACCGCTCAATATCACTGACTGAAACGACTTCCATCGACAATCACTCCGCTGACGAGAAATACCACCTGACCCTCAGTGAGACCAAGTACCGATGAACGAGGGTTCAGGGCCATAGCCGGGAGCAAAGACCCCAGAGTCGACGGAATACTCGGGGACAGCCCAAGGGTACAACTCTGAGAATAAGTCCGCGATGGGCTGGTTTTCTGCGGGGAGACTTTCTGGGAGTTCGCTGTTTTGATACATGACTTCGGCATTCAAGAGTTCTGCCGGATCTGAAGTGTGAAAGTATTGGGTGGGTAGAGGGTCTGTGTCGAGTACAGAGGAAGTCAAAGACGATGGATGGGAGTCATGATGGGGAGGTAGGGGGGCGTGTCCAATAAAATCTTCGAGGGATCCCATGAAAGGCGGGTACATTTCCTCTGGCGGAAAGCTGTCCCAGTTTGATGATGGAAGGTGAGAATGATGGAAAGAATTGATGCCCATCTCAGACGTGAAAGAGAGCGAGGGCGATGTAGGGGGTGATTGGCTAGAAGATGAAAAGGGCGACTGGCTAACAGAGGAGAGGGGCGACTGGCTACAAGATGAAAGGGACGATTGGCTAGAAGATGAGGCGAAAGATTGATGGAGAACAAGCGGTTCGGTGATGAGATGGTGCCATATCTGTTCTACCTGCGACATAGGGGAGTATCGGACAGCAGCGTCGACCTCAGGGATGAGAGGAGGTGAATAGTCGGAGACATAGAAGCCTTCCACGGTGCGATTGAGCAGCTCATGCTGCTCCGGGGAGAAGAGATTAGCTGACGGGTCCACCGTAGGCTGATCGTCGGCGGGCCCATTCCCATTAAATCCACTGCTCTGGGATAGATTGCCGGGGCAGGTGTGCTGGACAGGATGCACAACGGCTTCGACTGGAGGAAGGGTGAGTGAGAGCGATGGGCCCTTGGATGGAGAGGTGGTTGACTTCCGAGCTCGCTTTTGGGCTCGTGTGCCCCATGCCGCACGCTTAGTACCGCCCTTTCTGGGTTTGTACCTGTACTCTGGGTACATACGTGCATGCTCCAATTTTTCTTGTTCGGCTCGCTTCTCGTACACCTCCCGTTCTTCCGGCGGGAGGGCGCGCCATTCGAGTCCGGTTTGTCGTGCGTATGATGATAGAGGCATTTTATCAGGCCGAGCACCTCGTTTTTCAGCGAAAAACAGAAAAAAGGAGTTTCGAGGACGGGGAGGGTTCTCCTGGTTGGGATTGTCATCTTTGGGATTAGAGCGTCTGCGCTTCGGCTTGGAGTTCGCATTGCCTGTGGCAGATGAAGAAGAGGGAAGAGGCGCAAGGGTGGGGACAGAAGTCGACATCGTGAACGGATCGAATGATATAACGTGGCGATCAGAAAACAAGGTATGAGTTGTGGTTTTGGGATGGTGTGTGCGAGGATAGGACGCTGGCAGACCAGGTGGCAGAAGACCAGGCGCAATTTATAGAGCTAGGAGCACAGACTTTGGTGACGGTGACAAACGCGTGACGGACGCGTCGACGCGTCGACCAAACAGAGCGAGGCGACCGTGAGAGCGCACTGGAAGAGCAAGTACGACGGATGCCACGAACTGGGCATTAGATAACAGATATAACGCCATGCTCCACGGAACGGTTCGATTGTTATGAAAAGATCAGAAGCGAACAAAGCACCGCCCAATAGCATTGTTCCGTCATCTGCCACTGGTTAATCCGGAGCTTGAAACGGCAGCCACTGATCCAGTGGCAGGGTGAGACAAACCTGAAATGGCGGGCTATTAGCTCCTGCCACTGATACGCACCAAGCGGCTCCCTCGCAGATTTGTTACACACAAGCACCTTTTGAAATAATGATGGGTCGGCAAGGCATAGATAGGACCGAGTCGAGCTCCATCAAGGTCTCGAAAGCAACCCGAAAGGGACCACTTCTTCAGTGAGGAACTACGACTCTGAGAACGGAATAGTGTGCACCGCTTTTCGTGGCTGACGTAGGCGCGCTACTAGATCCTAATCTCAGATTGCGGCACCGGGTCTTGAGGTAGGGCACTAGCTGGCACTAGTGGTGCTTCGCCACGGAAACAACCTATTATTCAATGTTCATCGCAGACGTTGACATGGTGACAGCTTACCACTTTTTTTCGAGGGTCTCGTAGACAGGTCGGCATACCTGAATAAAAAAAGACGCAGAATAAATCACTCGGACGCGGAATAGGGCGCCTCAGCCTTATCGATTCAATGTTTTTTTTTGCGGAGAGAAAGATTTACATACCTGGGATGTCACAACTCTCTGTTATGTGCATCAAGAGCACAGAATATGGACCAGATCGGCCAGGTGTCTGGTTCACAGACCAATTTGCAAGGAAGAGCTCTACTGCTGCGCGAGCACTGGACCACAGGTACAAGATGATTGGTATCTCTTTCGGAGATATGGTAGAAGGCTCGGTTCTACACCTTGGTCGCAAAGGAAAAAAATCATCCGTTACTTCTGCTGAATACATGGAGTCCAAAAAGCAAGAAACAGCTCAGACTCTGATCTGGGACGACTCAAGGACTCAACGATGCTGGCACCGAGGTATTAGGCAGGAACGGACGAATATCTATTTGTATTTCTGCACATATTTGTCAGTGCTGATATCGGGCTTAAATTCTTTTCTCACGCTTACGGACAGCGTACTGAGTTATTCTCGAGTAATACTTTATCTTTTGTCCATCCCCCACGTTTCATGCTATCAACAATATGAACAGAGTATTGTCGAATAAATCCTTCTCGACTCCAAGGCAGTTAGAATCCGGGAAAAGTGGGTCCGATGATGCCAGCTGTGGCTCGTATGTCCATGTTTCCATCCAGGCTGCCCGTCAATTTTGCATTGGAAAGGCTCGGACTCATCCAGCTACCTTGGTCTAAATCATGACACCGTGCGCCACTTCTACTGATCCACACTTCCCTTGATCAGCTCTGGAAGCGTCCACAGCATCGTTCATTATCCCTCCTCGCGCGCCTGGTGCGCTCCCATCTTCCTGTAATGCTCTCTCGACTCCCACAAGATTTCTCGCCCTTTCCTTCTGTCGATGAGAGCAGTCTGGTGCTTGGACCGGGAGGGAAGACTTCAATTGTGGCCGGCCAGGACGTCGATGAACAGCAGTCAGCGGTGATGGGGCATGAGGGTTCGTCTCAGAGCCCACCAACCGACCCGAACGTCGTATCACAGCTGCCTCAACCTGCAGCTTCTGACGGCTCGCCATTAAATACTCAGTCACAGACGTTTTCTTCAGACTCGGCCCAGTCGATTGTGTCTGCGACCGAAAGTGCCTTCATAACCGTGTCTGACACAGCAACTACATCTCCGGCTCAGGTACATCTCATTCTATTGTCTATTGATCGTGGCACTCTGAATATAAAGTGTTTGGCTATCCCTGACGATAGTCTGTCACCCCTACGGTGAGGAATCTTCATTTTTCAGTCTTCGGACACCACGTTGATGGCAAAAATCAGACATCATCCACATTAGCCACAACTTTCGTTTCGCCTTCTCAAGTCTCAACGTCCTCACAGTCTTCCTCGATATCCACGGCCACGACTACGACCACGACCGCCACTATTTCTTCTACCCTCCAGACTGCCTCCCAAAGCTCGTCCATCGCGAGCCCTTCCGTTATACCTGCCAATCATGTCTCTAATCGTCCTGACGCGTCTCTTTATGTCGGGATCGCTCTGGGGAGTCTCGCTGTTGTGGCATTGATAGCCTCTCTACTTCACTGGTGGCTTCGCATGCGCGGTCGCGAGCGTCTTAGGCCTTGGGACGGTAATTTGTCTGAATCGCACCTGAATTGGTGGGATCCTGCTCGCGATCATGATGCTAGCGAGCCGAAGCCTCAGCGCGCCCATCTTAGCGCCATGAAGGCCCCTTCTATGTCTTCTATCAACAGCAGGCCCACGGGATCACGTAGAGGCTTGGGGTTTTCGAGAGATCCGTACACTCTGGGACATGTACCAACAATCCCTCTTCGAAGCCAAATGTCTGCTGGAAGCGTCCGGGGCCTCAATCTCGACTTGGGGCATCTGACTGTGACTAACCTGGTTTCTGGGGATATCATTTCTTCCGGTGAAGAGAGTAGTCGACCGACTACGAGACTGGGCATGGCGAGCATGGCCGGGACTCCAAGAGAATCGATGCAGGATTTTCGACCGAGATACTTGGGATTGGGTAACGGAGGGCTCGCGGTACCTTGGGAGCCACCACAGTCGCATGACAGTGATAGATGGAAGATCAGGCTGAGATCTGGGGATGCTGCACGCCCTACCGAGTCTTCGTCATCGCTACGAAGTTGCGATGATCCTTTGGCGTTGCCCTCGACTCGGTGGACGGATTCTTTACGGTCCAATATTTTGAACGCGCTGAATGGGTTTGCAGGCGCCCCACCGTCTGGGGCGTCCGATGCCTCGGACGCACCTGGACCTTCCCATCCTTGGCCCCTGACTCGAGAAAAGACAGAGTCTTGGATGCTAGAGGAGACCCATACAGGAGGCGGCATTGTTCACATCCGCGGCGTAGATCCTGACCTGTTGATGCCTCACCTCACAGATGCACACGGTCATCTCCCATCGCCACCGCCATTGCCACCACTTCCTTCTGCCCTGTCCAAAACAAACCCCTTCCTCGATCGACCCTCCTATCACCTGCCTTCTCTGCGCTATCCTAACCCATACTCATCTTCCTCGAGCGCATCTACCGTCTTGTCGCCTCGCCCGTCGCGAAAAACCTACCGCTCCCACCGACCGCCGATCATTAGTCGCCATTCATCTGGTGGCAGGTCCGCGACTTCCGTGGGCTCGGACATGACACGCTCGTCGACCAACTCTGCGGCGAGGTTTGGGAGATTGACAGAAAAAGAAGAGGCTGCCAGGAGAGCGCTGCGGGAAAGGAGGATGAAATCTGTTGGACACAGTATCAAGTCTTATTCTCGAAGGCGGGAGAGAACTGCAGATGCACGCCTTGATTGATGGGCTGATTCTCATGATTTACTCTCTTGAGACTAGATTTGGACGTGGAATGATTGTTGAATACGACATGTCGCCTTCGAAGAGGGTTCTGTCTCGACCTTCCTTCATGTCATTGAAGCACGTGTCATCTCAGTTTGTGCTTGTACGGTCTCCCATAATGTGAACCCGCTGCAGACGCAGATCAATAGGGGCTTCGTGACATCAAAACTTTTGAGCGGTGACCTATTACTACTTAGAAGTGTAGCCCGTGTAATCTATCGCCATCATGAATGCCGGAAAGAGAGTGCGAGAGGCCCTATGGTTCGACAAAAGAGTTTGTGAAGCATATACTGGCGAGAGACAAGCAGGAGTTGATGATTCGGAAGACCGAGCCTGCTATCGGTCGATGTTTGAGATGTCTAGTGATGCGATTTAAAGGTCGACTCGAGGAGAATAAGCCAAATTTTTCTACACTTAGGGCGTCCAGATGGTTTTGAGACCGCCCTGTGCAGTCTCCCACAAGTTGAGTCGCGGACTCGACCAGAAGCGTGTAAAATTTCCCCCTGATCAAATCTGTCCTCTGCCATGCAGTGCACACTCTATGACGAAGAGCGTCTTCGAAGCACGTGTGGATCGTCGGTTTACAGAGACCTATCGATTCGTCATCGAGCGTCTATCAGCCTGTCGAGGAGGCTAGTCTGCATCAAAACCTTGGAAGCGTTACTCAGTAAGTCACCTGCAGCGCGAAATCCCGTGATGTTCTTACTGTACTTTCGCAGACTCGCCCTGAACAGTGAGACACGCGTGTCTGTAAGCCCCCGGGCTCGGGGCTTCTGAAGAGCGGGGACATGCAAGTACGGATGGTGTGATCGTGAATCCTCGCGGTATATAATGCGCGCATCAATCCTAGAGACGACACCACCTTCGCAAGTCCATTTACCTCTAACACCCCCTCTACAAGTGCACACAATGTCGAAGGTGAGCAGGGGTGCCTTGATATTCAATCAACAGCGTTTCGATATAACTGCCATCTTTACTAGCCTGTGCTCTATTCCTTCCAACTCTCTGTTTGGGCTGCCGCTGCAGAGCTTGCCCTGTAAGTGACCCTCTCTTGCTGCATCGTTCATTTTTTTGACACCTCTGTCTTGTACAGTCACGAACTGGAACTTAACGACAAGGTCGAGCTCAAATTCCTCGATTTAGTACACGGGGAGAATTTCAACCCTGAATTCATCAAACTTGTAAGTCGATCTCAATGAGTCCAAGACGGGAGCGTTGATTCAGTTTTCCGCAGAACCCCAATGCTACTCTTCCTGCTCTTGTCGCCGACGGGAAGCCATATGATAGCACCATAACCGTCGTCGACTACCTTGTCAACTACTCATCGGTCAAAGTAACAAGCCGTACTTCTGTCACCGACACAATCCACGAGGACAGCATTGATCCCAATTTTGCTCTTCTCGCTGTGGTCAGTCTCTCAATGACCATTCCGTAATCTCATACGAGTCTCACACCATTCTGCAGCGCGACGAAGCTGAATTGACTGCCAAGGCTGGTGGATTCCCGAAGTATTTCTTAGAAAACCGTGAGCCTATTGTTATCTCTACGTGCGCCTAGATATCCCAATTCTCTAACCCTACGAAAAAATAGGCGAGGTTGGTATCAAGAAGTTCGCAAGCACTCCCGAGGCCGCGCCATTTAAAGCTCTGTTCGATGCCAAACTAGGGATCTCTGCCGCCGTGCTTGGTCTCTACAACGGCACTGCTCCAGCCGAGTTCAAGGCTGGCTTCTTCGCGAAATCACAAGCTCTTTGGACTGCCATTGATGCCTATATCTACACGACCTTCCCGTCTCAGCTCGCAGCGTCCTCCGGTCCTTTCATCGCCGGCGAGAAGCCCGGCGAAGATGACTTCCACGTGGAAGCATGGTTTGCGCACATCGCTACGGTACTCGGTGCGAAGTCGGCTGCAGATGGTCTGGCGGTTCTGGAAAAGAGCTTTGGGAAGGCCATACCAGAGAACGTTGCAGCCTACTGGAACACCTGGAGCGAAAGGGAAAGTTGGAAGAAGGTGTATGTTAACAACGGGAGGCAACTTCACTGATTCATGATTGTACATATACGAGCTGTGATACCGTGGGGATTGTAACAATGTACAATGAATGAAATAAATCTAGGGATCATGTCATGTTTCGTGCGTGATAAGGCTGTACCTATACATTGATGTGCTGCGCGGAGTGGTTGCCGGCTTGTCCGGGAGCAGTGACAGTGACGGCAGCGATCCATGCACCCCATCCCTCGTTCTCGAATCCCTGCGAGCGTGTCCCTCGTGTGGAGGTAGTACGGAAAGACTCGTCTTGAATCATCCATTCCATGTCCACATACGTCGGCGACACAAACAGCTTGAGAAAGCCTGTGTCTGACACGGCATCGTCAGGCAGATAGAAATCGATTGGATCGCCACCGCCAGCACCGTAGCCGACAGTGACCGATTGTCCAGGTTGGAGAGGTGCAGCCATGCTGCTCGCCGGAGGCAGATATAGCGACTGGTGCGATCATCTCAGCTGCCGGACATGTGAGCAGAAGCGGAAAAGCAGACGTACCTTTATGCTGTATTCAGACGGATCAAAGTAAAAAAGATAGGGAAACAAGGCAGTTGTGGATTCATTGACAATAGCGATGCCGTATTCCGCATCTTTCTCGAAGACAAGCCTTGCATGATTGTTTGTGAGTAGATTGTCCCCGCCGGGTATGAGAACGCATATCGACTGGGGTTTCAAACGATATATCTCCATCTTGACCCCGCCATCTTCAGAAAGTCCGGAAACGGTCTGAAGAGCATCGCTATTGTGGTGCCGTCCGAGATGGTACTTGAAATGGGCGATCGCATTGAGGGCTGTAGGTAGGCGGTCTTGTGGAAACTTGATGCTCACTGTAGGATCTGCGTAATTCAGAATGAGGGGGTCCCGCCTTTCGAAGGTAAAGCCATCCGGTTTCTGTGTGACTATGACGTCGGCTTCAGCAGGGGTGAAGACTTGGATAAAAGTGCATCCAGTTGACCAACGCCCGCGACGCGTCCCTGTCGGACTATCTGCCGGATGGCTCAGTAAACCCTGCTCCCCATTAAAAAATACATTCAAGATAGAATCCCTGTGTGCGAAATTTGAAAAGAACGCCGTCGCTGAAGTAGGGATGTCGAAGTGAAGGTCTCCGGAACGTCGACTCAGGACAGAGGACAGTGCCGAAACTTCTTGTGCAACTAGAATTCCAAGCTTTTTGCGCGCGAGGGATTCTCCAGCCCGAACCTCAACGATGAATTCCGATCCGGGAGCTACCCCGAGGACACTGCCAGCATCGATCCTGTATGTCCCACCACTTCTGTCGACCAGATTGAAAGTTTTTATATCGCCATCCACGGATTTACCATCGAGAAAGACTCGGTCCTTGTTGTTGCCCTCGCATTGCGGGTGTTGGATGTCTGTGTCCTTGTCGAAATATTCCACCATAGCAGCATTCACTTGGTCAAACAAGCCGCGGTATGTGGTACAATCCTTGGCGACGTTTTGAAGCTTCTTCAGGAGGATACTAGTAAAAAGGCCCACCGAGTGTGCCGAACCCAAGTCTTCAAACGCTTGCTCTTCTTGACGGCAAGCAGCGAGAAGGATATGAGACGACATGGCCTCGTATCGGAACCCAGAAGGTATTTTTTGATTGAAGCCACGAGCGGCATCTCCTGTCCAAATACCACTCGACCATATAGCGCTATCGGTGTCGGGATGGAGTGGGCGTGCATTAGGTAGGAAGCGAGGTCGCAGGGAGGGGCGAGGCACGGATAGGTTGCGAGTAATACCACCGGAGTGGCAGGAATCGAAGATGACGCTCTGTATAGGATGGGCGACTGTCAAGTAAGGCTAGTGGGTTGCCAAAACAGACCCGCTCACGATATTATTCCCCTTCTTAGTGGCCAACTCCCGAAGTAACGTGTTGACTGTACGATCAGGTATTCCGGTAATCACTTGTCCGTCAGCGGTCTGCATTCCTTCATCATGGGGACATATAGTCTCAATCTGACCGTCACTTGCTTGCCACCCCTCCGGAGCGGGGACACGACTGCCATGACCGGCGTAGTACATGATCATGGCGTCACCTTCCAAAATCTCCTCGTTATGAGTGAGATGGTTGGAGAAGGTAGAGATGATATTTTTCCGAGTAGCGCTTTCGTCAGATAAGAAGGCGATGTGATCTTCAGGTACCTGGAGTCGGTCTCGAAGAAAAGTGACCATCGACTTTGCGTCATTCACGCAACCAGCTAAATCAAAATTGCCGGGGTGCTGGTACTTTTGTATGAGAGCGACGGTGTCAACAGCTCTGTTCAAATCTTGCGAGTTGATAAAGAATCAAAGTCTGCCCACCTTGTTGATGCCCACAACCAAGGCGAAAATACGACTGCGAGCTTGACTAACGACAAGAGATGAGTGTTCCTCAATTCTTCGAAGAATTGAGACGGACCTAGGATGAAGAGATTTCCCAGAAGGCGAAATAATGGTAGGGGGTCCTGTGTCTGACATCGAGGGGTTCTGAGACATGTAGGTTCTTGACAAGGGTGTATGCCTGGGTGTATAAATGGAATGATGATACCTTAGAATTGTTGAGATGGGGTGGCTGCAAGGCACGCTCGTATTATACCTGAAGAGACCTTAGAAAAGGCGATTCACTCCACAGCAGAAGCCAAGGCAGGGGGCATCCTAGGATACAAAGAGACCAGCACAGCCATCGCACTTCACTCACCAGGACACAGCCTCGACACATTCGAGCAGATACTTCCATGAACGAAGAGGCGCCTGCCTCTTTCACATATTGCTATTCGCTATCTATCAAGGCTCTGATCGCTCGGTGCCAAGGTTTCTAGATGGTCTATGTTTAACCAAAAACGTCAGATGCGCACCGCCACGCAGCAACGCCGGCGACACGATGCCAGCGACCGTCGTCGATAGCAAGGCCTGCGAGCTTTCCAGACCCGGCGAAGAAGGGACTTGATGCTCGATCTGTCGAAACAGCGTGACTAGGCCGCGTTGTGATCTGTCTGCGCGGATCCGGATACACAGACTGATGAGCCAGGTGAGATAGTAGGAACTGGCGAGCCGGCACAGCTCTCAGCCATCGCGCTGCACAGCAAAGGAGGGGGGAACACGCGAAACCCTCACCTGCTCAGTAAACAGAGCTTCCATACAAAGAGGGAAGAAACGCAACCTGAAAAAAGGCGACGTCTCTAAATCAGTAGCGTCAGTGCTAAACTTGAGGTGAGGCTGCCCTAAAGCAAGGGAAAAAAGCAAACAGAGAAAACCCTCATAACAAAGGAACATTAGATGGACAGTACACATCTACGCAGGAACAGCCCCCAACAGCATGTCGTTGAGCGCTCCCGCGATCCAACGTACATCTACGCGTCATGAATCCAAAAAGGGATATGCAAAATTGTCTATGGCGGAAAATCGGTCGTAAAGTAATAGCAAACAACAACACATCATACAGCAGCCTGACACGAAACTAGCAAGCGTTGTCGACCTCGATCAGTCCTTGCCCCCCTTGTACGCCTCCTAAAAAAGAAATGAGCAAACCGACATTCGAGAACAAAGCAGAGCCGGCCGCGAACCTTGATCTCCTTGTCGTACTTCTCCGCCACCTTCTTCCGCTGCAGCTTCTGCGCCGCCGTGACGAGGCCGCTCTCCGGCGTCCACTCGTCCGCCGTCAGGATGACGCCTTGCAGTAGCTCCATTGGCTTGAACCCGTTCTTCTTGCCCGCGGCGTTGCAGTCCTTCAAGACCAGCTCTTGTACCTTCGCGTGGCTACACAGAGTTGCGAAGTCCGCCTTCGCGTCGACGCCAGACACGGACTCGAGCCCCTGGCGCAGGTGCCCCTCGTGCGGGATGATGATTGCTATAGGCTGCTTCGCCTCGGTCGTTGCGTGCACACAGATGTTCGAGATGTACGTGCATGACTTGTAGATGGATTCGAGGCGCTCGATGGCGATGTACTCTCCGCCTTGCAGCTTCACCAAGTTCTTGATTCTAAAAGGCAAGAATTCGAGAATTAGAACCCATAATCACAGATAGAATCAGCACAGCAAGCCTTGTGATTGTTTCATGAGACACGTACCGGTCAATCAAGGTAAGTGTTCCGTCCTTGTTCCACTGACCAACGTCGCCTGTCCGCAGGAAGCCGTCCGATGTGAAAATCGTCTCGTCCGTGTTGAGATCGTCCCGCTTGTAATAGCCAGATGTAACTGAAGGACCACGTATGCAGACCTCGCCCTGTGGAGGGTTGTTGGTAGCCTTGTACCCTGCGTCAGGCACGTCGAGGAGCTTGATTTCAACAGAAGGTGCTGGCAGGCCAACAGAACCGTACTGCATCACCTCAGGAGGCAGGATCGCGCACATGCCGCACGTCTCCGTCATACCGTAGCCTGAGACAAGGGCAAAGTCCGAAGCATATGAATGTGTGCATTTCAGGCAAAGTGGCCGGAGGTGACGTACCTTGCAAAAGCATGACCAACGCAAGCGACAAAAATTCCTGCGTCTCCCGACTGAGTGCGGCGCCTCCGCTGAGTGCAAGGCGCAGCTTGCCACCAGTGGCGGCCTTGATCTGACTAAATACGACCTGATCCACGATTGAATTAAGCCCTGGCACGTTCGCCCTTTTAATAGAGAGCGCGCCGTTAAACAAGGACTTCTTGAGCGCGCCCGCGTTGTTGATTTGGGAAAGTATGCCCTTGCGGATGAGTTCCCACACCGCTGGCACGCCGATCATGATTGTCGGGCGGAACGCCTTGATATCGCCAACACAGTTGCGCACGGACGTGTCCGTGAGCGTCTTGACGCGTGCGTACCCGGATGTCATGCCAATGAACAAGAAGCACAGCTCGACGACGTATTCCAAGATGTGCGCGAGAGGAAGGAATGCGAGATACGTGTCGTCGACCTGTAGATGGCGACCGAAAAGGGTATACACGGAACCGATAGCGGCAATGAGGTTGGAGTGCTTGATGACGACGCCCTTCGGTGGGCCGGTCGTGCCACTGGTATACATGATGCATGCGACGTCGTCCTTCGAGGGCAGCCGGCTCTCTGCCAGGTCAGCAGGCTTCCCACGACCCAGCGTACGGAGCTCGTCGAGTGACAGAACCTGGAAACCCTCCCGCACCGCCTTGAGTGAGGAGATAACCGACTCCTTCGCTTCACCGTCATAGATGACGAGTCGTAGTGATGGAACATTAGCGGCGACTTTGGCTAGAACCGGGAGAAGTTCGGCATTGGTGAAGACGGCAGGACATTCTGGTTCGTTTAGTGAATGTTGGAGACCAGACTCGCCCAGTGTGTCATAGGCGGTTGCGACCGTGGTAGCGATGCTCGCGCATCCATAGCAGACGAACTGCCAATTCGGACTAAGAGTGACAAAATGGCGTCGTCAGCAACATGCCACAGAGAAGAGAATGAGGAAACGCGAAAAACAGAGGCGCTCAACGTTGATGATATCCACGAAAAAGGAGAGGAAATATATAAATAAACACGACCATTCCCGACGAGATCTCACGACGTGATGACCCTTGACGCCAATAAATGGCAGACTTACCCGGTAGCTGCATAGATATTCAAAACGTCGTCCTTCTGTAGCTCAAGCTCCAGCAAGCCTCTCGCGACCTCCGAAACGATCTCCTTCACCTCCACGAACGAGTAGTACTTGTAGTCGCTCAGCTGGAAATACTTCCACGTCTTTTTCTCAGTGACCTCTTTCCCGTCGACCATCTTCTTCACCTCTTTCTCCTCCTCGACCATTTTCACAATATCCCGGTACCCAAATGCCTTGCGCGTGCCGTGAGTCCGTGCCGCGTACGCCAACACGTCGTACACGGTGTGTATGCCGTCGACCGGCTGCGTGATGAGTGTGTCGGCGGTCTTTGCGAGTCGGCGGACGCGACTCTCGCCTTGTGTCGCCTCAGGCCCGACCTCTACGGATCCCTTGCCCCACAAAGGAGACTTGAACGACGAAAACATGGCTGTGTAGGTGTGGATGGTGGGCGTCGGGAAGAAAGGAGAGTTGCCTGCTACCAGCCCGCGGGAAACATAACATGATGGTCACGTGTCGTGCCCCAGTGTGGGGCAGCTTCCAATTTGCAATAGAATGACTGGGTGCAACTGACATGCTCTCGGAGCAGACAACAGCCCGGATAGGGATGGAAAAATACGCCGCTGTACTAGGTTATTCGTGTACCATACAAAACACTATAAAGTAAGGGTCGCGAACAGCAATTTCGAGATGTCAGTCCGTGGGCACTATCTACACAGAGACATACAGCGATGGGATCTGCGACCGTAGCTGAGTCTCAGGATGGGAGAGCAGGAAGGAAAGCGAAAGATGACGAGCATACAAAGAATCCGGTGGAGCGAAGGTGGAAATCAGCGATGCAGACACGTATGTAGGATGAATGAATGAAGAAAATGAAAAAGGTCAGCCAAGATCAACTCTCGTTCTCCATCGCCTCCTTCTCGAACTTCTTCTTCATCACGCTCACTGCATACCGGGCATGATGAGCGCCGAGCGAGATTAAAAAGGGCTGTTTGACACACCTTCTCGGGAGATCTGACCCGATGACATCCACCCATCGGGAAATGCGGCCACTATCTTCTGATAAAGCACCTTCCGCAGCCCTTGTTCGCTGACCTGCGATGTCGAGCCCTCCAAGGTACTACCAAACCAAGGCATGAGCAACAAAGGCCACGGAAAGCACACATTTTGTAGACCCACTTCTTTTCGTTCTCGATCCTGCAACACTCGTTGCTCAAGCACACGAGGTTCCAGATGATCCCCTTCATCGCTTCCGACATCCGGTACTTCTTCGGCGGCGCATGGCTGTCCTTGGCGTCTTTACCGTCCTTCCCTTGCCCATCGCCGCTATCCTTGTCAACATCCATCGCGCCCCCCCCTGCGTCCTCCGTCGCTGACGGAATCGGCTGAGCACTGGGTGTCCCTTCGGTCGACGCTGTGCCTTCCACTTTGACTTTTTCCTGTTTTTTCTCTGTGATCGACAGTGTCAGCAGCCAATCAGAGCCGGTGAGATGATCAGCGCGCACCCCAAGCGACGACGCTCTTTTCCCACTCTTCTAGCGCTTTCGGGAACCCTTCCTCCGCCATGCTCTCCAACTCCACCAAGAGCTCCTCTTGCCGCGCCGTCAGTAGCGCAGTGTGATCGTGAAACACCGTGCGCTTGATCAATTTCTACAGCGGCATGGTCAGCCAAAGATGAACGATAAAATGAGGATGAAGAACGCACGCTCATGGTGAACCTATTATACGGGAATAGCCGTGGCATGAGGTTGAAGAAATTGTCGTCGTATTCATTCAGTCGAATCGCCTTGAGTGCAACTTGTGCCAACAACGGCTTCATCGCAGGCGGAAACCTGCCCTTCACACCCCACGATTCTATTTTGAAGACATCACATCAGTGCACCTTCGCACCAGCGTAGAAATCGCTCGCACCTTTCGCCGCAGCATCCTTCAGTTCCTGCAGTGCCTCCTCGAGCTCCGGGTGGAACGGATGTATCTCGACCTTCCGCTTCTTCTTTCCCCCCGCGCCGATGTCTGAACCGCCCCCGATGCTCTTGCGCTTTCCGTTATGTTCGCTCGCGTCCTCCGCGTCCGACAGCAGCGCGATCGGCGTCTCCTTCGTCCCCTCTATGTCCCCGGCCCCGGACGCGCTCCCACTGGGGGCCGCTTTCTTCCCCTGCGAGAGCTGTGCGTGTGTATGGGAGTGCCCATGCGCGTGTGGGAAGTTGCTCGGGCCTGCGATTGGCTCCGGCGGGGGAAGCAACACCGTTCGTTTCGATTTCACTTTCTTTGGGGTCCTGCGACACGAAAGAAAGATAGAATGTTAGAATTCAGTGCAATAGGGGCCAATGATAGGCAAGCGCAGAGTGCACAGTCGGAGGTGAAGTGTACAGCTCGCTCACGTGCAGTGCCCGACATGGGTGACTCCACATTTAGAACAAAGAGACTCACTTGTCCTTGAGGAGCGCAACTTCCCCAGACGAGACGTAGAAGCCCTGTTGCTTTGTCTGCGCAAAGTATGTGCGCTCGTCAACGGCGAGCTCCGAGTCGTCAATGAAGGGATCAGTCAGGTCATAGTACTCCGTGCCCAGGTTCTTCTTCTAGTCGGCAGAACAGTCAGTCATGCGGATTACACAAAGCAGCGCGCGCAAGGAGGTTTCAGAGCTGCGAAGGCAAGCCGGGAGGAACAATAATGGACATATTGACACGCGCTCGATGCATGTCAATGCCGGGCCGCCGCCGCAGAAACGCCGGCGCTCGGCGGGCATCTCGGCCAGCTGAAGCCCACACTCTGAAGGCGCAAGAGCGCGGGCGATACTATCTACGAACGAAACCCGCCTTACCTTCTTTCCTTTCTTACTTTTCCTGTCATCGTCGTGCTCGCCTTCGGGCTCGGCCTCGCTCTCGCTCTCGTAGCGCTTGGCGACCGGCGGCGGTGTCGGGGGGCGCTGGCCGGTAGCCTTGGCGAGCGCAGCAACGTCGACTTCGTAGTTGTCCGGGCCGCCGAGGGCGATTTCGAGGCGCACGGTCTGGAGCGGGGCGGGCGGGGGAGCGGGCGGCGGGGATGGTGATGGCGAGCGAGGGCGGGCCCTGCTCGACTTGGGCTTCGGCGCGGAGGAGGCTGGTTTAGCGCCTGTGGCGGCCTCGTGAGCGGGCTTGGACTTGGGGGCCTGTTGTTTGACTTTTCCATCGACATCGTGCACGACGACGGAGGGGGGCTCGTTTGAGGTGCTAGTGTTGTCGTCATCAGAAGGGTCGACGACGATGGGGGAGGCGTGATGGGAGTCGGTGGCAAGATGGGGGTGCGGCGTGGCGACGCCGTTGAGTTTGGCCTCGAGCATCTCGATATCTTCGTCCATCATCTATGTGGAGGGGATGCAGAGAAAAAAAGGAGAGAAAGTGTGGAGGACGACGAGCCACGGGGGGAGGGAGGGAGGGGACGAGGTGTGGAAGATGCCGAAAAAGGCAAGTTCGGGGGGGAGGGGGAGAGGGAGAGTGATGGGGGATGGGCCCGCGCACGGACGCTGTTTCTCATCTCCGGCCAGAATCGCTTCGGAAATATGTGGCTAGAGCCAATAAATTTAAAAGTGGCAGGTCAGCCTCGTCTTTCAGATCCCCCTCCTGGTCACCGGCAAGTTCCCGCTCGTTTCCCACCCCCCTTCCACCCTCCTGCGTCCTTCCGATCTTCTCAATCCTCTGGTAAACACTTCGCCTGATCGTCTGGTTTCGCTTTGTGCGTGGTCCAGTATAATCGGTGCCGATGTTTGCCTCAAACGTGCCGGTGCCGGTGCCGTGTTCGACGCAATGCCCATTTGAACAGCTCGCAATTCGCTGAAGCCCTGTCTCATAATTGACAGCGACGTCTGATGCACCCCTGTTGACATTGGCTGTGCGATCTGCTGTACGACAGCACGGATCTTGTCGGAGGCTGCCCTGCCGCTACCTGTGGCCACGACACGTGTTGGCCACTACATCGACTTGCGAACCTCGTGGCCGCAAATGGACAGGCTCACAGATCCGTGCAGTCTTTGTTCCGTAGATACAATCATGCTCTGTCGATCACCAACTCTGATGCTACCCATCGCTGATGTGGGTAAGCCCATCAGCCGCCAAGGCTCCCCGCCATAGCGTCATCGCCTCATACTACACCATCCCGCCGTACGTACTGCACGCCTGCAGAAATTAGGTCCTCCGACCATTTGACAAGCAAGCACATTCTCAACCAAGTCATCTGGTCTGCATTCTTAATTCGCAGCGAGTCTGCAGCAGGTCTCGGAAGTTCCTCGGAGCTAATGGGGCCGTCTCACAGGTCCGACGGGGTGCTCACAAGATCAGGGACTCTTGACGAGCACGGATCTGGATGTATAGTACAAAATGCATATAAATACGCGTGCTGCACCATCGTGCATTCCTCAGCGCGGACATCATGTTCGTCTCGTTGTTATTGCTCGCTGCATCTGCCTTGCCCTGTGTGCTCGCGTCCCCCGCTATGGTCGCGGGGCATGCCTCCAAATCTGTCGTGATCCCGAACACTCACCCTCTCATATACTATCACGGCCGTTGGGACAAGTCTCCAGGGACGTGGTGGTACGTCCCCCTCCCGATGTCTTCGCCCAAGCTCGTTCTCCGACAGGCATTCTATAGGGCTGGGTCTGGGTTCAAGCTCAACGTCCAGAATCTCTCTTCTCTGACTTTGAACCTTGGTTCTCATACGACCACGCCTCTCGTCACCGTCGGCGTCTCGCTGGACTACGAGCCGTTCTACACTGTTAATGTCTCCGCCGGCACCAACCCCATCCCCCTCACTCAGTCGAGTGCACAGGCCCAAAAATCATCGCACACTGTCGTCAGGATTAATGCTGTAGGCTGGCAGGACAACCGTGTCAACCTCGACTCTATCACCCTCAACTCTGTACGTCCACAAACATTCTTCTTTCGGCGTTCGTCGTTCGAGCACGTCTCGTTGGCCATCTCCACGACAGGGCGCGACTCTTCTTCCGTACAAGCCCTCGAAGCTCGCATTCCAGTACATCGGCGACTCGCTCTCAGCCGTGAGTCCTTTGTGGTGCCCAGCACGACGAGTATGAGCGCGAACTGAGCGGCCAGGGCGTCGGTCCCGGTTCTCAGGGCCAATATCTCCCGCAAGGTGTCGACCAGGCATGGCCGTTTTTAACCGGCGAGTTCTTCAAGGCCGAGCACGTCGTCATTGCACAGCCCGGCGCAGCGCTCAGCGTAAGCCCCACTCTTCTTTTGCCCGCATTTGGAGCTTTCTCAACGCCTCGGTGCGCGCAGGACATCCTGTCCTACGGGAACGTGCACGGATTGTCGTACCAGTTCTTCAAGGTACGTGCTGTTCTGTCTAGGGGCAAACGAATGTGACAGAGCTCGGAAAGACGGAGGACGATGGGTTCTTTTATACGACGGACCACAACTACACGACGCCGTGGGACTTCAGACGCGACGTGCCTGCTGCGACGCACGTCGTGATCCACATAGGGTACGGGGTGCTTCATGTCCTTGTCCTCAATTTTTTTAAAGACCGTCGCGACATTTTCCGTGTCTCAGTGCCAATGATTCAGCGCAGAACGTGACCGGCGATGCATTTGTGGACGTGCGTTCTATTCAAAGTGTTGTTTAGTTGTATCCCATTGATTGTTATCCTGCAGGTATACCTGAAGTTCCTGGCTCGGCTACGCACGATCTACGAGCACCAGCCGATTCTGGTCTTCACTCCCGTGCGCCTCTCTCTCCCCTGAACGCGTGCTCAACTCAGCGCGCTGATTATACTCAGTGGGGCTGGCCTTCGGCTGACGGACCCAACAGCTACTATTACGACGGCAGATATAGCGAGATCGTCGACCAACGGTGCGAGATCAATCTTCTTCTCGTTAACGCTGACCATGAATCATGCTCTGCACCTGGTCTAGCAAAACCCTCGGAGACCACAACGTCTTCCTGGTGAACACGACCGGGTGGGTCACATACGAGGACGTCTTCCCAGAGTAAGCCTCCCTTTGTCGTCAACATGAGTGCGTTCGTTTTGACCCCGTGGATTTCTTGTGCTGCTAGTAATCTCCACCCGAGCGTCGCTGGGCACGTCAAGATCGCGGGCCTGTTCGAGAGATGGCTCGGAGAATGGGGGCTAGAGCCGCAAGGCGCGTGGGCGACGCCTGCTTAGTCGTGCGCGAGGTCGAGTCTTTTGGAAATGGCACTGCGTCGAACGTTGATGAATGGTGAAACATGTCTGCGAGCGACTTGAAAATTTTCTAGTTGGATCTGGTCGAGGAGAGATGGCACACAGGATTGAGGTTGATGTCCCGACGCGTCTAGATCGTGAATTGAATGGCTGTGGATGCTAGCGGCGTCCCGAGACGCGTCACTGTAGTGTAGGTATCCTCTGAGAACCGAGCAGGAGGAGTTCCTCAAAGATGCATCATTTTGCAGCCATCGTTATTGCAGTGAAACAATGGTATACGCAACGAGAAGCTCAACCTTGATCTCGCCAACGAACTCCCCAATCCTCAGATGTCATCTCGTCTTGCCCAGCTCGCTCTCCAAAACGTCCTTTTGAAAGCTTCTGCTCTCACGTCAATGATAAAGAGATTTCGTGTTGTTGCAGCGATCTAGAAGGCTCCCAAGGCTGCAAGAGTGGTCGCGAGTGCGATCACACGCGTGGGAGGAGGGGGAGGGGGGTCAACGAGGTCCAAGCGTATGAGGGACCATGCCGGACAAAAATCAGTCAAAATGGCCTTTCTTGATAATGAATTAGTGATTTTTGAGCCGAAGGCAGCTATTCCGAACAATTGTTCGAAATTGTCAGTAATTGGAATTGTCAGGAATTGTTGTCATAAGTCAACAACTCCCAGCCGACACAAACATCTCTCATCATATTGTATTCCCTCAAATTGTTGACAATTGTTGGCATTTCTCAAATAATGCTGTATTTCCTCTGTGTCATTTTCACTTGTTCAGAGCTCAACCGTTCAAAATTGTCGGTAATTGTCCACAATTGCTGGCAATCCACATATAAAAATAGATTGTCAGCAATTGTCGTCAATTGACAGCTTGAATGAGGACAGGAATTGCTAACAATTACCAACAAATCACAGCAATTGCCGACAAATCACAACAATTGCCAACAATTGCCAGCTATAGCCAACTAGGCCTATTTTTTTTGATGATTTTCGCGCGAGAAAACTCTTTATACAAGCGTTTCATGGTCTACTTCGTGAGCATCTAACGTTTAGAGTACAAAGGCATTCTGAGAAGGCATGGGGCAGTCTTCTATAGCGACGGGGTGATTTTCGCGGGCCGCTGCGAGATCCAGAGACCGCGAGCAGCGAGCGCATTGATCATTTGTAACATCTGGCATGAGCTACTCGGCTGGTTTCCGACCCTCCAGAAGCCAGGCAAGCCAAGCGAACAACTGGTGCAAGGCAGCCTCGCATCGACCTTCCCCCTCATCTCGTCCTCCAAGCACACGCTTACGGAGCCTCGCGTCGCACGGCTAGAACACCGCCCTGAGTCAGTGGAACATCTGGAAGACGGATCATGATTGAAAGATGTGACACTACAGGTGGACCCACCCGCCCTTCACATCATTATGCCGGGGTACGTTACAAGACCAAGCCCGTCGAAGGGTCGGGATGACGCACGCTTTGGCCTTTTGATGCTTCTCGAGCTCCGTAATATCTACCGGTCGCATTGACCGGGACCCTCGACCAACCCGTCGGTCCTGTAGACCTGCAAACAGTCTAATGTGACGACGTGCACGAGAAAGCGATGCTGCCCCAAGCCACAAAGAGCCAAAAGTACAAAGTAGTAAGGTCCAACATGACTTGGACATGAGGCCGATGTTTGGTCTCTGATGTCGTAGTTGTACTAATTCAGAGAAGATAAAAGGACGTCAGCGGGGGAGGGTCCAAACACACCGCCATCACCCGCCTCAATTGTCGTGACCACCCCTCCTCCCACACAACGACACTACTACTCACTCACGATGATGTCGGGAGACAATTGTAACTCCAAACAACTGTGCAGATCGTCCTCGCCACTGATACCGTTCCCTTTTAGACCTCGATGCCACTCTCGACTGGAACTTGAACGCCATCGCATATGGCAGTGACACTGACAGCTGGAAGATGGCGAGCGACATGACACAATACACTGCGGCCATGCCTTCGCCAGACGACCCACGAGGTTTCGGACGCCTCCTCGACAAGGTGACCCAAAGAGACGCGGAGGAATTACTGCGATACGCGTCTCAAGAGCCACAGTTCGTCTTTTGACTGTCCAAGTTGTCAATGACGCCCGACTTACGATTTCACTGTTCACAGAGCCCGCGAGCTATATCTCCCCCCTTCCCCTTGCAACCCTTCACCGTCCGATACCTGCCACCTGTCGAATAATCGTCGCTCTTCGTATTCTCACATGCCGCCCGCGCCGCTGGATCCACACCGGTCGACACCTGGTCCCCCTTCGGGACATACCTCGCGCCCCTCTTACCTAGCCACTCCCCCGCCCATGTGGACCCCTCCACCAGATCTACTCCCCATGCACCCTGAGATCGTCAACACACGTCATGCTGAGCCTTGCCTCCAGCCATCATTTGAACCATTGTCCCAACCATGGGCATACCTCCATGTACCACCAGTTGTTGATACCGAAAGCCACTGGACGCCATTCGTTTCTACAGGCATCCAACCGTCCACCCCATCGTTCGTAGTACCTGCTTTCTCGAATACCCCCTCCTCTGGCCCCTCAAGTCCGCCGACGTGGTGCGCCCCGGGGCTATACTCACACCCTTCACTCGCGATCCCCATGCAGATGCCGACCCCCGATGTCTCCGCTGCCGGTCCATCTCGCGTTCGGAGACTTCACCAGCGACCACACCCGTACCATCGAGATGATGTCAACTATGCATCTCCTGCATCATTCCCCGGATTCATCGTCGCTGGTGCCCACTCACAGGTCCTGGAACCCCCTGTGGCCGGTCCCTCACGCCCTCACCAACCACGCAATCGACACCTCTCACCTCCAGCTCCCTCCCTCCCTCCCCAATCTCCATATCCTCCTAATCCCCACCTACCGTATCCATCACCGCCCTTTTCGACTCCCTCCCCGCTTGTTCCGCCTCCCTCCCCAGCACCCGCACTCGCCTTGAACAAGGCACAGAAGAGAAAACGACAGTCAGGAGAGAGCGAAGACCAAGACGAGGTACAGCGCCCACGGAGGAAGAAACGGGGCCCCTCAGTTCCAGAGCAAAGCTCTGCGACGTTCCAGGTCGGTTGTGCCCCTCATAGGGTCCAACCACCACAACAGTTAAAATTTGCGAACGACGAGCCGGAGGACGACCTCCAACCTCATGCCGCCCCCAAACGTGTCAACCGTGGGGTGGCGGGACCATTGAAGGCGTCAACCAGCTCAAAGCCAAAGCCAAAGCCAAAGCCAAAGCCAAAGCGAGAGCAGTCGAAAGGGAAAGCACAGGCGGCAAAACAGCATCTTTGCCCTATAGCAGGATGCCCATTCCATTTCACGAGCAGATGCGACATGAAGAGGCATGTGGGCACCGCCAGCGTGCATCAAGACTTCCGGGACAGCGACGAGTGGCCCGCGTTCAAGAAGGGGTATGGACTACGGCGCTGTCACCTTAATCACTGCTGTGGTATTTGTGACATAGAGCGCAATCTTCCCATGCGGTGGGATGCCCTCATACGACATAGAAAGACAGAATCGCACCTCGATAAGGCGAACAAGGCTGCTGCTGGCGGCCAAGGTGCTCAGCGCTGAGTAGATAGCTCGCGGATGCAGATCTTTGTCGCGGCTAGTAGTCGGAGGAGAGGAGCGATTGAACTAACGAAAAACATACCCATTTTCATTTATACCCCTCTTGCGCCCAGCCTCAGCACACGCTCCCTTGTTCTTGACCTGGATGATGGAGATCATTTGCCCCATGTTCTCCCGCCTCTGTCACTATGGTGGTTTCCATCATCCTGGACGGGATGAGTAGACTCGACGTGGGGCCCTTGTTCCAAAACTAGAATTACTTACGTTCTCGCCTCTTCCCAGCAACGCCACGTACGCTTCCCCTATCTATGCACTTTTTTTTTTCACCTTAGACGTTTCCTCTGTCAACCTCATCCGATCTTGCCTTTGTACTTCTATTTTTGTTTTTGCCGTGCGTTTCTGTGCACATATACGCGTTGTTTAGTTTGTGAATGATTAGATTGCGTTACTGAAAGCTATCCAATTGGGAGATGTCCGAGTCTGAGCGAATACAAGCGGAAAACACCGGGCCCAGGGCCGGCAGTGGCCTGGCGCTGGCGGCACTGCCTCTTCACCATCGCAGCAGATTGCAGCCCATCATCCACGAAACTTTATGATTGATAAGGCTACCATTCCACGTACATGTGCCGGAGAGCTGCTGCTCGTGACTGAGCAGATATATTGGAAAAATGTTCAATGTATCTTCTCAGAACTCAGAAAAATATTGCCTCCACAGATGCAGATAGGCCTTCGCAGACAGTCTTGGGGCGAGCGGATCGATTCAGACAAGACAGTGGGCACTTTCAGGCCGCAGAGAGCATCCTAGAATACTATCATAGAGAGTGTGTGCGACAGAGCACAATCGATAAGGCTGGGCAAAATGCGACGCGGGATGGGATGGCGAGGCACATGTGAGATTAAAAACACTCATCCTAGCTCATCCTCTTACTCTGCTCATCGTCTACTCTATCCTTCTCGCTTCTTGCGCCATAATTTCTCCTCTCGTGCTGTGTGCGCGCTACCGTGTGAGCGTATGCCCTCTCGCAGGCATCGCTTTAGAGCTTGGCAGTAGCTTGGCCCACTATGTGCGTATGTTTCGCGCAGAGCCGGAAATGCAGTGGAAACGCACATCGTGCGCATCACAGCTATAGCGGGTGGGGCCGTGCACGATCTGGTCAGGACCTTCCTCCGGTGCTGGTACCTGCTGAGGCCGCTCCGGGAAGTGCCTCGGCCAGGTGCCTTTACAGCCTCTGGGATGATGCTGTTCGCAGGGACGTTTTTTCGAACGTTCGTTCTTGATGTTAGGTTGAGTGATTGAGGGAATTGCCCTCGAAGCCGCTATGGGCAGGCGATGAGCGCATCATCGCACTCTCTAGCTCAGCTCGAGTCGGCCGCTATTTCGATCGAGAGGGTACGAAGGTGGCCCGTGCATCGCTAGTCACAGCCTTGCGAGACGTGGGCACGAAGAGCGGCACCTCGCAGTGGGAACAGCGCGCCTGCGGAATGCCATAATATCCCTCAAGCTGTGTGGGGGTGGGTGATCAGGTAGCGAGTAGTACAGACGCACCAGGCTCTCTCCGGCTGAGTGGATAGACCATTTGAAAAACGAGTGCGGAGGATGGCCCACCATATGATAAGCCCCATTCCGTGGGCGCTGCCTAGTTCCATGTCTCCCCAGGCAGCATCATCTGTGCAAATGGGAAGTCATCGAACATCGCGACCAGTACCGGATCCTGCACCGCATGGCCGAGCTCCAGATAGGATGGGGCATACGCTCCCTGGAATGGTTGAGAGGACCCAACCGACACGTGCTCGGTTGAAGGTAAGGACACAGGACATCTGATAATCAAGGAGGATCTTACTTTGGGTTCGTCTTGATATGCAGCCATTTCTGACCATGTCGGGTGGCTCACAGCGAAGTTTCGGTCATCAGAGAAGGCAGTGGCTTCGGCAAGGCGCGCTTGTCACACCGAGGGGACAAGCTCCTCTAGCTGGAATATCTCGCACTGGTTGGAAGGGTAAGCCATTGGGTTATGTCGATAGAGGGAAGTGGTTAACGGTTGGAATAGTGGTTCACCTTGTTTCGAGTCCCTTGCTTGTTTTTCGAAGCGCCAATGCAGAGGGTGGCAAATACTTCCGCTTTTCGCGCCTTACCTCACGAGCTGTATCTCGCTTCCATATCTTCTTCGCGATTGGCTGAGCTAGGTGGGTAGCAGGCCCCATGCGTTCTTGTCTTTGTGCTAAATTTTCCGCTTTTCTAACTCAGATACGGATCAGCCCCATTGTTCGATCCTCGTGCCTTCCCGAGCGGCAAGAAGGGTACGTCCTGCGATCACGACAAGGGGACGTTGCCATCCTTGAAGTATGCCCCTCCTCATCGTCTTTCCATCCGAAGCCAGCCCTCTAAGTACGGCATGGTGATAGACGACTGATAATCGGTACACCTGACGACGTGCGTCTTCTAGGGCCTTGATGCAATGTCTGGCGGCATTGACGTTTATATTCTACAGACCTCGTTTTCAATCGCTTTGTTCATGGACAGCAATACTTTCGGCAGCACTCAGCCCGGCACTGACTCTTTGCATTCATCACAGCCATGGTGCCCATTGCACTATGCAGGCACAGCGATGCAAAAAAATGTTCACCTAGCTTTGAGTCACCTTACATACGGCACGGTGATTGCGGAGAGCAGATGCATTCCAAAGGATCGACTGAAACGTGTAAGTTTAGTTCAGAAAAAGAAGTCATCATATCTCTTGCTCCCTGACACGCTTCCGTCCGCCATCCTCGCGCGTGGGGATCGATCTGGACGATAAGGTATGCACTGGTCGCAGACGGGATTCTAGGACAAATCGAGAGGTCCGCGCGAGTAAACGTCATCCCGCAGGCATCGCACTACGTGGTCGTTTTGCGCATACGGCAAATTTGTCTCGTGGCCCTCGCAGCTAGAGAGGGGTGCCGTGCTCGATCTGATGGGGACCTTTCCTCGACGCTCGTATATGTCGATTGTTGACTGCCAACGATTACACGAGCATATCTATCCAGTACATGTTTGACTCGCGTCTTGCTATACATTTGGTGTTTTGTTGCATTGTTTCCACGCGCGTACGGAAGTTATCTCCGTCAGAATCGCCACTGAAGTAGTCATGCTTAGACTGTGTTCCTTGGCCAAGTCTAACTTTCACCTTCAGGTGTGTAAGTGAACGTCCTGGAAATTTGCCCAGGGAAGGAAAAATCGCTGTCACGATACCATGGTGTCCTACGGTGCCTCAGAACGCACCGAAAATCGTCTCCTCGGACAGGCCAAAATCCGATGAGCTTGTATCAAACTCATGAATAAGGTTCAGGAGCCCGCAGCCGACCATTTGGTAACATTTCATAGAGCAACAATAGTACATTGATGTTCTTGCAGCAGATCGAACCTGATTAGGTTTGAGACATCAAAATCTCTGCCTCGACGCTGTACCGAAGTGATAGACTGTTAATTGACTCATAGGTGATACAGGGCATCTATGGGCGCGAGCTCGAGATGCAGAGGGGCACAAGTACGTCAAGCTGGAAGGGACCACACCTCCTCATATATTGGATCTCTATCTTTCAATCTGTTGCAAGAACGCCGACGTGCCATCACTGCGATGAATCTTGACGACCTTCCATCCTGCCCCCTGGAGAAGCGTCATGAAATGCCCGGCCGTACGCTCCTGGGAGTTCGTTGCGAAAAGCATCTACCACGATGGCTCGATTGAGTAACTTCAAGAATCAAGGTCTGATAATTACGACATACGGTCGGATCGCCATTGTACTGCATGTCATTGATGGGACCATAGTTTGGAAGCAGAGGGAGGGCGCCTCGCGCGGTGCGGCACCCGGAATACTCTCCAAGTTGGGATCGTGGCAGGCATAAGCCACAACGCTCTCCACAATGATCAGTTTCGTGGTCGGCGCTGCGGCAGCGCGAAGTTGTGTAAGAATATTTGCAGCACACAAGTCGGACCAGTCGTGCAGCACTTGTTTCAAGAGGAAGATACTTGCGTTTTTCGCAGGTTGTGTAGTGAAAAAATCGTATACTGTTAGGGTTCACAGCCGTGAGCAGATATTGGATATATAAAATGGAAAAGAGATCATCACCTTGAAATTTGACTCTGCCAGACTGAACGGCGTCGGGAAGTTCTTTCTTCCAGATCTGCATAAGTCAGCTGGAGGTACGCCTCCTCTAGAACGAACTCAATCATACCTCTTGTCCTTGCTCTATGGCTGCCGCTCTGTCTTGCAAGATGATGTTGACATCGGGACATGCCCTAGCGAGTACAAGGGATGCGGATCCGGCTCCCGCGCCAACATCGACTACAAGGTCGTCGGCAGACAAAGACCTCCAATCATAACCTGCTCCGCCGACAATATCAGACACATTTCGTGCACAGTGATAAAGGATTGAAGACAACCCTTACCGTTGAGAATAGCATCCGCAGGCTGCATTGCGGTTACGCCCTACATCGCTATGGTGAAACGACGAAGGCGATCTTCTTGGCCTGGCTGTTCAAGCCAAGTCCAGAAAGGAACCACGGTGCCTGTCACACGATTCAAAGGAACTTCAAGATCTTCTTGGCCTGGCTGTTCAAGCCAAGTCCAGAAAAGAACCACGGTGCCTGTCACACGATTCAAAGGAACTTCAAATGGTTCTTCGGAGAGTCGGGTTTTCGGATCTCTCAAGGTGTCGAGCGCTCAGAAGCTGCCATCCAGCCGTCGTCAAGTCTGGACACGGACAAGAGTTAGTCAAGGTCTCGGGGCTTGACGAACATTCACTGTGCGTACATATGTTCAATCAGAGCTACGAATCCGGGCGTTCCCACATGCTTTTCTTTGGGACTATGAAAAAACCGATGAACAAAAAGACTGATGTGACAAGTGAGGATGTTACTTGGCTTGCAGATCGCGCACTGATTTCCCAGTGTCCAGAACGGAGGAGATACGATTGTTAGCGAAAATGTCCGGTTCAACTTCCCTGAACATGTGGAAAGTCGAGAGGAAACGAAGAAGTCGAGCTATTCTTGACATGAATAAAGGTCATCCTCACAGCATGACATCTTGTTTCACATACCCATTTTATTAGGATCCAGTTGATTGAGCTTGGCTATCTCATCGACATGGAGGCCCTGAGAACTAAATAAGATACTCGCCGGATAGCAGATACGTCGGCACAAACCTTGGGACCAGCTTCTCTCAATATCTCGACCGTGTTTGTTTCCATCAATACTCGTATACTGGCCGCCTTGAAGTGCTAAGAGTCGCTCAAGAATGAGATTCGCTGCGGCGTCACAGGGCTGAATAACAGACAGACGCACTCCACCGACACTGTGCGCCATAGAAATAGGAGGAGGCTCTAGAACTGCTGCAAGCTGATAAGCGGCAGCCGTTGCAACTTTTATGGCTTCCACAACAGCAGGGTCAAAGCGAAATGCCTCAGACGGGGGCGAAAGAGGCGAGTTCAAGTCAGGAAGCTCTACACCTCTAGCGCTGCAGCTGGTGTTGATGATAGCGACGGAGTCGGCGATGAGTTTCGAGAGCTGAAACAAAGTGGAGGACATCGCAAGATTTGGTGGTAGACAATGGCTTGATACGACAGGGAAACAAAAGGATGATAAGATGGTGCCTTGGATGCATCACAACTTGTAGCCTCTTGTAGCGTTTTCACGGGCGTATTTTTCGGCTACAAGGGCACTATCCAGCGGGAGTACTACTGTTCCGATCACAGCTCAGCAGGATCGTGGTATACTGTAGCCAAAACCTTGAAGACTTCATCGGCCTCGCTGGTTCAAGCGCTCAGGAGCCATCAGAGAAATGTGTGCTTAGCGGCGCCAGGGTTTGGCAGCCCTGTGACGCGTTCCTTTGAGGTACAGACTAATGCTGAACTCTGGAATGACGAACTCGATCCTTGGGATTTTTGATCAGAGGGTAAGATTAAGTTTCGTACCTCAGCAGAGCATACATTCGTCGACATGAAGAGGATCTCTGTCAGGGAAGCACCAGTGCATATTTATTTCTGCTTTCCGTGGGATTCGAACGATCTAGCATGAGTCAAAGAGGACAACAATGAATTTGCTAGACTTGGCGTCGTCCTTATGATCTTGATAAAATATAATGTCTATGGCACTTTATTGTCAAAAAGAAGAAGGGCTAAGCGGCATTGACAGCTAAGTAACATACCATGGAATGTAACCCCAGCTATGGAACGTACAGTGAACGTCTTCAGCAGAAGAGGTAGTTGTGAACTAGATTTTTCATCGCTGTATTTCATCACCATACTAGCGAGCAACACGAAGGGAACGTGGTTGACTGTATCCTGGAGTGCTGTCCAGATCATCAGAACTGTAGTATTCACTGGCAACATCTCACTACACGCCCCGCCGAAGTCAACGAGCGAAGTAGGTTGAACAGGATTCAATGACGACGAATCTAACTAGGCAATGCACATTACATGAACGTATTAATCTCTGCAAATAAGATCATCAAGAGCTCATTTGAGAGTAGGCGACGCAGCGCCGGCTCACCTACGCGTGCAGATCCTCCGTGAGGATGTCAATGTTCTGGAGCTGATGTCGGGGTGTGTACTGCAATGTTCCGCGCGATTATACTTATATATGCGATATTCCAGTTTGAATCGAGCGCATTCCAAATTTGACTCGTTGGGATATCACTGACCGGTTTGAGTCCACCGGTGTGCTACTATGTTGCCATTGTAATGGAACTATACATAAGGACACCTATACACTGTCATCCTCATACGGTAGACCGTACGCGATCGAAGACACAGGGAAGCAAGTACTTATCACTTACGACAAAAGACCTGCGCTCACCGTCCGCGCCGCGACCTCCCATCTCGTCAGCGGCTCCGACACCGAAACTACCACCGCCTTTGACCCCGTGCTGAGACTGTTATAGGCAGCGGTCTTGATGTACGCAGCGAGGATTTGGTGGAGCAGAAAACGGGCGGGCACACCGAGCTGGTCTGTGGTGAGCACAAGTTGACCGGCGGCGATGGGTGCGGAGGGAAGAGCCTTGAGAAGGTGACGTGACGTCACACGCTCCTCGACGTCCACGACATTGGCCAATGTCGGTGCACCTCGGTGCACGCAGGCCACAGCGACGGGCGCCGGTATCTGCTCCTGTGCAAAACGCACGACGATCAGCGGCGAGCAGTGAGAGGTGCTGGCCCCGCTGGGCGGCGTACGACTTAAGAGCCGTGAAAGTGACTCGAGAAATCGTCTAGGATGCATGTCTACAGTCGCGCGTCTTTATGTATTAGCTAGGTCCTCGTGTCGCTCACCTTGCTTCCAGTCCACACAAACCGAGGCTGGTCCATCGCGTCTATCCACGCCGCTCTCCTCACTGCCTTCAAAACTCCCCTTGTCTAGTCCATCCATGCCAACTCCTTCCTAAACCCACCTTCACACCCAATCACCCAATACGCACCCCAGAACATTTTTATGATTGGCATGCCTCTCATAAGGAAGCAGACGTCTACCTTCAGTTGTCTGTTTTGAGCATGACACGGGCTACGTAGGACCCTCGTCAAGGTGTACGCCGTCGGCTCGCTTCACGCCCTCGCGCAGCTGGAATTACGGACGCTGATGGCAATTGCCGAAGCAGACCGGCAGTTGGGAGAATGGCGTCGGCGGCAGTGAGAACGACACTTCATTGGTGTGTCGCAGCGATCCAGCATCGCCTGTTGCTGACCGGAACATACGCAGCACACTTATCGATCACGTACATATACTCCGCTCGGCATAGCGCACTCCACCATGTCTGCAAAGCTCGCATCTAGCACGACCCTCCCCATTTTCGCACGCAGCGTCGACTGACAACCTACAGACTACGCTGCCTGGAAGATGCTCCAGCAGCTATACGACACAGAGAAGGATCAGCTTGTCCTGAATAATCTCTTCGCTGTCGACCCCGCCCGCTTCTCCCGCGACTACAAGGAACACACCGCCGTCTCCGATTCAGCCAACACCCTCCTCCTCGACTATTTCAAGAACCTGATCATCCAACCCGTCTTCGCAACCGTCCTCGATATTGTCCGCGAAGCTGGCGGTGAGCAGGTCCGCGATAAGATGTTCACCGGCGAACACATTAACACTAGCGAGAACCGCGGCGTCCTCCACGTCGTCCTCTGCAGCTTCGGCTCCTTGAACACGACTTAGGTTGTCGACTGGCAGTCCCATCATGCACCCCACGTAATGCGAGGGTGGGCAGTCAAGCGGCGGGTAGTATGAACCTGCCAGACTCTCTTGGGGAAGTGCAGAGTGGGGAAGAAAGTGTGAGGTACGGAGGATCGTTCGCCGTGCGAACCATCCCATGCCATCGGCGATGTCTGGTAAAAAAAAGGCTTCCCAGACGGCAGCGTCTGCTGTGGAGATGCGTAATCGTTGACTATGGCGATGTGTGCGAGTCCGCTACCGCGTGGATGAGTTCTAGGTATGGCGGGGCGTACACCTGATGGAATGGTCGAGAAGACTCGCCCGACATGCGCTGCGGTTACACAGTCGGTGACCATTGAGAATACCTATCAAACGAAATCATTCCTCTGGACCGTGCTGATGCAGATAAATTATCTCTTGTGCTGGATGGCTCTTGGCAGGGGCAGCGACTTGTACTTCGCAAGGGCAAGATGCCTTTGCCACACGGAAGGAATGATCTCCTCCAACTGAAATGTCTTATACAGGTAGGGGGAAGTCATTGGGTCGTCGATGGTCAAAGGGGTGATAGTTGCAACGACAGTTGAACTTTTTCGGGTTTCTTTCCTAGCTTCTGTATCTGCTTTACGATTGGCTGAACGGGTAAGGTTGATGGCGGGACCCATGTGTCCCCGCCGGTGTGCTTTTATCCTATAACAAGTGGATAAGACATTTATATGAAGATATCATCTCATTATAATCAAAGTCATTCTGGGATCCTAATGTATTTTGGCGGTTTCAATACCTGGTCTTCTGTTAAAGGAGTGTACTCGATTCAATGATGTGCGTGATGTTGGTGAATGCCCCACAGCTTCTTCATCTTCCTTCGCCACCAGCGGTGCTAGCGCTCCCCAGCGCTGCTCACTCTGTATCATCGTCATATCAGGCATGCTACGAGAGCTGTATCTTATTTCAACTTGGATGTCGCCCGGCTTCGTTCACAAATTAGGATACCAGAATAAGCACAAAGACTTCGGAAGCTACGAGTCGCTCAAAAGTGCCGGCATTGGCTTCGGATGAGTATATATGCGCCAACCTGCCCACATTTGCGATGCCATATTCATCCACAGCCTCGCTAATTACTTTTACAGGCCAAGATGGATAAAGGGCACCCAGCGGGAAAAAGACTTGTTCCCTAGCTCAGTACGAAGCTTGGCGACGGCAACGTGGAGTGCTTGTGCTGCATGCATAGTGTTCGGGTAAGAGCCGGATATATAATCCCGGAAAAGGTGACCATAGAACTCATCAGCAATCTTTGGCCCATCCTGGTCATGAATCGACCTGTACTATACTTTGAGATATCGCTGAACAAAGTAAAACTATGATTTCACTGACCACATGGTTGCGACGACTCCACGGAACCCAGAGAACAGCAACGTAGCCGCCAGGTGAATAACTTCGTCAGGGAGCTTGTCGTCCCCCATCGCAGTCTGGCAAGCACTGAGAAAAGCCAAGGACGCACTCGGCATGGGCTGAGACATAATTCGAGAAACCTTCAGTGGACCATCGCAAAGGAGAAGCGCACTCTCTAGCGGATAAGTTAGATCCTGCCGCCCATGGCAAGCAAAGTGGGCGATGTATACGTCAGAGAGATGATTTAGCACGGCGTCCACGGACGAGGGCGCGCCTTGAATGCCTAACTTGACGAGGGAAGAGACTGGAACATGCCCCTCAATTTTGCGCAATTCCTCGCGAGTGCTCGGAAGTGATAGGTGGCCATTGGTTTCGGGCTGGATTGCCACTAACATCTTGAATAAACCTGGGCTGGGTGTTGGTGGCGGAACAAGGAGACTGGTGAGCGTGGGCGTATAAGACGAAATTGCAAAGTTCGAGATATCCTCGAGGTCGCCTAGGCTAAAATCATATATACCGGCTGCATGAACAGGAAGAAAAGAAAATAGCCCTGCTGGACACCACCACAGACGTGAAGGCGACTCAGATCTCTGCATATATGTGAATATGTTAATATCGGAGCACTGCCAATCTACAGACCACGGACCTCAAGTTTCAGAGAACATATCACGGGCTTGACTATGAATGTCCAGAGTGTTGCGAGTACGTCACGGAAAACATGATCTGGATCACGAACAACCGTGTGCACTTTCTGTCGTCCAAGGTGCCTTTCCTGTGGGAAAAGAGGACCTGCATCGTCACGAAACGTTTGTGCTTTCTTAACAAGGGCTTGAAGAGTGACTGTAGTTTCAGGAGGGAGGGAGGCAAGCGTGTTCGACACGGCACCGCGTATGGAGTCAACGAGGGCTATTACATCAGAAGACGAAAAAGAGGGAAGTGGTAGCTGCTTCACGCCGTCCATTGTGACGATCAAAGCATGGCATGCGGTCCTGGTGGCGTTCAGCAAGACAACGGGGCCATGAGCAGCAGCCTTCTGCAGAGCATTCAATTTCCTTGGAAGTAAAAATCCTTCAAATCCTTGCAAATTTCGAACTTCCCTGAGTACTGCTAACCACTCCTCACTGAGGTGGCGATACTGCGCTGCCTCAGCCTCTGTAGATATCATCATCTGCACGTCGTCAGACACGCCTTTCCGGGCATTGCGAAGTGACCCTTGCTCTAGGGCGCTTGAAATATCTAAGAGTCTTTGGGCCAGTGGAGAATTGACTGATCGAAGTTCGTCAAAAGGAGTTCGCAGTTGCAGTGCCTGTGACCAAAGAATGGACCTCCCTTCTTCTAGCAATTCGACTGCCTCTTCGTAACAACCAGCTCGAATAGCGCAAGCGGCAGCATCGCTCGAGAGAGTATCACCCCGCAGCTGCTCGGCGAGGATCTCCCTACGCGAGTGCATGTCTGAGGCCAACATCGCAACATGCGGCAAGTGTCCAACGGCAGTTCTATACGCTTCCAAGGCAGATGCGTGACCATTGACATCTGCATAACTCGCCCACATCCGTGCGGCTCGGAAACGATCCAACACAGGGGCAGGCTCACTGTTTGCCGCAGTGCGATAGGCGTCCATCGCCGCGTCCAAGTCGTCAGACTGTCCATTATCCAAACTAGATCGTGCGAAAAGGTAGGATGCGAGCATGGCCAAATATCCACATTGACTGGGGTGAAATGGAGGCAAAGATGTTATGGCATCTCGCTGCAAGGTGATTGCCTCATCAAGATCCCCTATTCGTCCACTGTGCTCAAATCGGGTGAACAGAGTGCCTGCTAAGTTGTTTAGTACATCAGAGTGTTGGTAATGTTGCGCAGGTAGCAGGCGAAGAGCTGCTTGGTGATGAAGGATTGCCTCGTCAAGGTCATCCATCTTGAATTTGCACTCAAACCGCGCTATGAGTGCATTTGCCAAGTTGTTGAGCGAATCCGGGCGTAGAGGGTGTTGGGCGGGCAACAGCTCTAGGGTGTTCCGGTGACACGTAATCGCTTCATTGAGGTCATCCGCGTGACGGGTTTGCTTGAACCGAGTAAAAAGGGCATCTGCGAGATTGTTCAAGGACACTGGTCGTTTGGGATGAAGGGCGGGGCGCATCTCGAGGGTTTGCCGGTGCAGCGAGATTGCTTCTGAGATATCATCGACAAGGCCTACTCGCCTGAACCGCTTGGAAAGTGCATTTGCCAGATTATTGACAAAGCTCGAGCGCTGCGGAAGTTGGGTGGGTGACTGATTGAGCGCCGTTCGAAGAAGGGAGATTGACTCATCAAGGTCATCAACTGAACCTTTTTGATCAAATCGCATAGACAGTGCAATGGCTAAATTGTTGAATCCAGTGGGGCGCTCAGGATGGGATGCAGAGAACAGTGTGAGGGCTTCACGATGGAGCTCAATCGCCTCATCAAGATCGCTGGCAAAGCCCATTTGTCGGAATCGCGAGAATAGGACTGAACCAAGGTTGTTTAGTGACACTGGGCGATCAGCATGTGGGACGGGGCGAAGAGCGAGGGCTTCTCTATGAAGCATGATGGCCTCCTCAAAGTCAGGTATCGTACCCTTCTGGTCGAAACGCCACTGAAGTGCGTTCGCTAGATTGTTGAGTGAGTTCGACCGGTTGATATGAGGAATAGGACGCAGCGCGACAGCCTCTCGGTAAAGTAGAATTGAATTCTCGAGATCGTCCATCGAGCCCTTATGCTCATATCTTGTTGATAGAGCGCTTGCGAGACTACTTGTCAAAGTGGACCGGCCAGAATATAAGGCAGGGTGTAGAGCGAGGATTTGCTGATAAAGCGAAATAGCTTCATCGAGGTCCTCGCTCAAACCAATGAGGTCGAATCGCATCATGAGAGCACTGGTAAGATTCTCCAGTGAGGTAGAATGATTGGGATTTGGGGCAGGGCGTAAGTGTAGGGCGTCTCGATGCAGAGCAATGGCTTCATTGAGGTCATCTCCCTGGCCATGCCGCTGGAAGCGAGAAACAAGGAAGCGTGCGAGGATGAACAGTGAGTCAGACCGATCAGGATGTGAAGCAGGTGATATCATCAGAGAATCTCGGAGAAGAGATATCAATTGTTCAAGATCCTCGGCTTGACCTTTGCGTCCGAATCGAGTCGATAGCGAATCGATGAGATTCTTGAGCGATGCAGATCTAGTAGGATGTGGAGGAGGAAAAAAGGTAAGAACCTCCTGGCGGAGAGCGATGGCTTCATCAAGGTCATCCGCTACGCCCCTTCTGTGGTATCGGATAGAAAGTGCGGCTGCGAGGTTAGTGAGCGCATTTGAGCGTTGAGGGTGTGGCATGGGTAGAAGTTTGAGAATCTCTTCTTGGAATGATATAGCGTCTTGGAGATCCACGTCGCTTTGGACGTGATGCGATCTCATCAAAAGTATATTGGCTAAGTTGCCGAGGACCTTGTAACGTTTGGGGTGTGCCGTATCCAGAAGCTGAAGGACTCCCTGTAGAGTTTCAACTGCGGCAGTCAATTTCTCCGCATTGCCAGATGAAGCGAACTGCTCTAGAAGTATGTTAGCGTGTCGGGCGATATCAAATGCTTGGGCAGCCTCGTAGTCATATCCTAGCTCGCGTGCGCGGAATCTGACGCCCTCGGATAGATCATGAGATTCGCCAAACAAGATGAACCTGATGAGATGCGCCGCCGAGAGCTTTTTTAGCACCCGCTGTCTATCGGGATGGGAAGGAGGCAAGAGTCCCAACGACTCCTGGTACGACGAGACAGCTTCTTCCAAGCTCAATAGCTCATCCGCGTGGAAGAATAGTAACACAAGAGCGTCACCGAGGTTGCTTAACAAAAACGATCGTTTGGGATCTGGCGACTTTTGCAGTTGATTGGCCATGTGGTAAAGGGAGATCGACGTGTCCAAACTTGATTTCGAAGGCGCCTGGCAAAATTCGGCAACAGAGACGAGTGCGAGATCAGTCAATTGGGATGACTGTTCGTACAGAGCGGCATTACGAAGGAATATTTCCTCGCGCTGAGGGAGGATGAACAAGTCAGCCTTTTGCACGAGCGATGCTCGATGTCTGTCAACGTACTTTTGAACCGAGTTCCTGTGCCATATTCTCTTTCGACTTGATACCGTTCCACCCGATTTTTGAAGCCTTCTCCAGCAGGTCAATGGCCTCGTCCAATGGCCAGTCCAGCTCAGTCCGATAAAATCTTAAAATCAATGCCAGAGCGAAGTTGCTCATCAAGGCGGGTCGAGAGGAATGAGATATGGGGCATAGCTGAAGTGCTCCATGGAGAAAGGGAAGAGAGTTGTCGAGTGATGAGAGCTGACTGGCCTCCTGGCATTCCACGAGAATAGACGTAGCGAGTTGTGATGATTCATCAGCATCGTCGCTTTGATCTTCAAAGTCGGGCATGATCTTAGATACAGCTGCAACCTGTTTGAAACAGAATCAGACATCAAGAGCTTCAACGAGAGTATAAAGATAAGGAGCGCACTTGATCTCGGATCATGCTCTCAAAGGATTCGGTTATCCCATCATCATTGGATTGATCCAATGAGGTCGTGTGGACATCGTTGGCGATCATGAACGTGGATGACGATCAATGTTGTTTGATAGGAAGGCAGAGGGTTAGAGTAGATTCAAGGCGAATGGTGTACGAATTGCTCAACAAGATCAGGGTATGAAGCAAGTTCAGGAAAGTCACACCATAGGTCAGACTCCCGCGTTTATGTGATGCTTTTGATATTGAGCGCCTAGGTGGCTGTGAAAACCGAGTCAGTAAATCGAAGCTGGCAGACATACATTATGAAACTTACCCGTTGTCGCGACTACATCTTGACAAAACACGCACAGTTCGTTGTGAACGTTTCTGTGTCGCCGGAGAAAACTGATGGTTTTGCCGTCTATTGCGGGGGGGAAGAAGCGTATTTAAGAGTGACGAATCCGAGAGCACCTGTATCGACAAGCTACATACGTCGGAGAGCTGCGCTGAATGTGATCATACAGTTTGAGAGTATTAGTCTTTGATCCTTGAGTTGTAGTATAGGCAGGCTATCAGATTGGGCTCATATCGGCAAATGCACCTTATGTTTTTCGAATCTGTAAAATAAGGGCATATACGAGTGTCTACGACATAGAAGACATGGAAGAACGTATTTCCGTCTCCAAAAGAAAGTCAAGACAACCAACCGGTCATTCCTAGATGAAAAGGGTCGATGGTTGAGAGCTCGTTATCCTGAATGGTGAGGGACGCATCCATGTCGAGAAGCGATCTGCATAGATTCCATTCAGGATGTCGGTGTCCGATTGCCGATACATCGATGTGAAAGAAGGAAGGTCATGGAAATGCGAGTTCGTGAGTGTCAGATCCCATGGAAAGGATGCGAATAGAAGTTGGCCAGGCGCGGCAAAGCGTTCGGTAAACTAGGCCATGGAATCACAATATACGCCATACCTATCTGCCGATGATTTTATGCAAAAAATCGTTTCATGATGAGCTGGCGTGATTCCGAAGGTAAGAGTACACGCTGTGTCTGCCGCTCGGCTTCGTGATTCTTCGAGCTGCTCTCCGTATCACGTTGCTACTGCTGTGCCCTATCGCTTTCGACAGAATCAGATGTTCTTCGGTCTAAAATAAATTGCGCGAATACGGAGAACTGATCACCACAGTAGCAATGTTGACATAGATAGAAGAGGGTGGAAGAGGATAGGAAGAGAGTGGAGATGGACTTGATGAAACCCTGCGAAACCTAACCCTAGTCTCCCACGGGCTGCGGCTTCCTGATTACCACCAAAACTCTACCTCTGAGTCTTAGCTGCCGCTCAAGCAACCAAGCACATCCATCTTTCCTTATCATCGTTTCAAGGGTTGAGATCTGAGACTAGGCATTCGTCTCATACATGGGTTCTGGAAAGTTGGCTTCAATGACATAAATTCCAAGTGCAGATAGTTGATTGGTTTCTCAAGAGTGTGTCAGTCCCTCCTACAGTACCATGTTGCTACCCTGACTCTTGACAGCTATGGCAAGTTATGGAACCACTTTGTATCAGTCCGGAAGACTCATGCTTTGAAAGCAGTTCTTGACATGCCCCTTTATTTCTCCATTTCACATACATTCACTCCCTAAGGTATTCCCAAGAAGCTTTAATTTTGTCCATTCTATGTCTATCCTACAACTACTGCAACTATTGCACAATTATATGGTGCATTTTCCCTCTGCTATCAAGTGTTCCTGTCTTGTGGTCAACCTTGTGTGCCTTCTCACAGATACAGCATCTGTCTTTGCTATCCATCATATCCTGTAATGCAAGCTATGCAATTTTGAGTGTGAGACATACTGTTCTCTCACATTATGGGCAAGGCAGCTTTATATGCAGACTTGGTCATCATTGCATCTATGTCTCATAGGGGACTAGGTTTACTCTTCTATAAAAGCTGCATTTATTTTGAGTTTTCTAACCTCAATTGACTATAGTGCCCACCAACCTGTGCCAAGGATCATTAGCTATTAATATTAGTTGTTCCAATTGTCCTCATATACTAGCCAGGCTGTATACTTGGATAGGCAGTTCTCAATGCTATGCTTCTAAGAAAACTAGCATAGCATAGGTCTTGATTGGTAGTGTTTCTTATCAAGTACATATTGCTATAAGCTATCTATCTCACTGAGAATGAAATAAACATCAATGTACAAACAGCTCATGGTGCTAGAGTAGAAAAGTGATCTCTATTAGACTGATTTCCCACAATTCCCTGAGTGCACCACAATATCTAGTCTCAAAAAGATCTCTCCAAAGTCAGTCCTCATTATCTTTCAATTTATGACTGACATTGATTTATTATATTCCCTGATAGTCATCATATTTTTGGTCTCATTATTGGAATCAATAAGGTATGACATTCACATCATATGTGCATGTTGTGCATGTTTACTAATTTCAATGTTCAGTACCCTTACTCAGAGAATAAAGATCTGACTAAATATGTGGAAAATGCCACATCAATGCAAGCATTCCTTATTAACAATCTCTACATACCCACATCATAGATTGTTCTTCTCTGTAACATGGATGCCACCTGAGCAAACATTTTTTCAAGTTTCAAAGCTCACTTCATTGAGAATCCAAAGATTCATGAAGATAACACTATTATTTTCTTTTATACAGGATATGGGGGCCATATGGTGGTGCTGCAGGAGTAGAATACAAGTGATTATTACATTGAAACCATCATTTCTCATAATGAAGAAAGCAAAGATAGTCAAGGCATTTCTATTACCAGCATTCCAGATTATATGGTCAATGCCCTCCTTCATCAGCTAGTCTCTGCAAAGAGGAACAACATCGTGAGTCTTATTATGGATGTGCTTTTACTTACGGTGCTAATCTCTCTCTTAGACTGTCATATTCAATTCTTGCCATTCTGGTGGCATTATCATGACTCACACACAAATTCATATTTTTTTTTTTCCTTTTTACCTAATTATAGGATCATGTGCCAATTACTTATATGTCTTACTCACATAATACTTTCCCATGTTCTATATTTAGGCACACACTCTTAAGTAGTTATCTGACATATGCCTGCTTGTCCTTAATCTACATGGTCTGTGCACAGGGTAAATAGTATACAAAGAGTAGTATAGTAGGCCATATATCCCTAGCTTCAAGCTAGTTTTACCTCTAACCCTCTGAGTTCTACCACATCCTTAGGATAGTAAAGTGAGTGCCTGACAACAGAAGGTCGTCATTAACACAAGCTTGAAGCTCCCCACAATATTGCCTACTCCCTCTACTTATTTCACCAGATCCCTAAGACCATTACATTGACTATTCTCTCATCACTATATTTGTGCTTCTTCTTATTGCTATAACATTTAACTCTGACCTCTTTACCTAGCAAACTTTATGACTGGATGCATACCTCACTCATGTCTTCAGATCATTATCATCTTTACTATTCCACTCTTACAGTATTATTAGGGTATGTACTTATATACAATACAGACTCACATCTTGGTAACAAGAGTGCTCACAATGCCACCTAAGATGATAATAGTAGATAGCTACTATATGCCTTACTCTGAATAGTTAGGTATGTATCCTATATAAAGGAGAGCACTTTGAGGTCTAGAATACTTCTGTCTGGTAGTTAACCTAGCTAAAGTAGGCTCTGGAACAACTGCCTTGTGAGGTACTTACAAGTAGCTACTCAAAGTATGATAATTTATGGTATACATTGGGGAGTCTTGCCTTGATCTTGTGACTTGACCAAGTCCAAGCTAGCATGCCCTGATTGGTCATCCTAAATTTCAAAGCCCCTATGATCCCTATTGCACTCCCTCTTATCCTTTGAACATGCTCCCTCTCTATCAATCTCCTAGTTATCTTTTCCATCCCCCTCTTCCATGTAGATTAGTAAAGATCTTTGACACCTGGTTGCACAAAAAAAGAGGAATTTATCTTAATGACAATAACAATATTTTGTGCTATGGTGGCAGACCAAGTGGAGGAATCTCCCCTCCCATCTCCTTTCACAAACCTCCAACAACTCTTTATGGCAGACATAGCCAATATTGATGCTGCCACTACCACTACCACTAAGAAGAGCCATGTCACAAAACCAAAAGAGTGGGATGGCTAGGACCTTGACTGATTTTGGTACTTGGTTAGGTTATACACTATAGCCAACAAGAAGGACTTTGAAGAGGACAAAGACAAAATAATATTTGCCCTCTTATTCATGTGCAAAGGCATAATGGACCACATGGGCCCACAAATTTATTAAGAAAGCCCTAGAGTATGATCCAGTCACTTGGGGAACCTAGGCAAACTTTGAAAAAAAACTCAAATCTGCCTTTGCCAATCTCAATAAAAAATAAATGGCACAAGACAAGTTGGCAAAGCTTTGTCAGGGAAACTCAATGGCAGAATAGTTCTTTCAATAATTCAATATCCTGTCAAGGTTGGCAGGGTATAGCATAGACCACAACCACTTCTGATCAATTTGATCAAGCAGCACATAAGGTTTAGCCTAATTGAAAAAATCTACTTATCTAGCTCAATACCTAACATTCTTGCAGACTACAGGAAACATATAATAGCATTAGATGCTTTGGAAAAAAGGCTTGCATTGGTCAACAGGACCTCTAGTTATAGAAGTTCTACAAAGAGCTCTTCTATGCCAAATTAGAGACAATCAATTGAAAAAACAAAAGTAATACCAGAGCAACCATCAGCTCTAGTGCAAACTCAAAGGGATGGCACTGGCACCAAGTTTGGGGGATGTGGACAGCCAACAGACATTGAGAGGCCCATCATAAGGGACTGTGTTTCAACTGTGGCAAAAAAGGCCATCTATTATGTGACTGTTTAAAGCCATAAAAGTCTACTAGGACCTACATGAGGTGAGTCATTGATAGACTGTTAGAGGAGAATCACAAAGACTTATTGGCTAAGCTGGGTTTTCCTCAAGGTCAGTGAGCAGACAGTCTGTAACCCCACTGACCTCTGTATCACCTCTGTCTGTTGAAAATTCTGATGTATTTATCACACATTTGAATAACACTATTCAACTAGATGAGACTAGGAATCCTAGGCCACAGATCAATGATAATACAGATGGAGCGATAGAGAAGATGATAGATGTGAAGGGTTTGGGCTGATCAAACTAGTGTCTCTAAATCAGGGGAGACTATTTAACAGCAGTTCTTAGATTAGACAGAAATGGATAGCACAAGGCTTTCCTGCTGCACCGCAGCTGCTGTAAATACGTATAAGCAGGAGCATGGACTAAGTAACAATAGATCAGGGGCGCGAGATGTAGTTGGGAGAAAGGTCCTACGTGTCCTTATGTGGATTGTGGTAAAGCAAGAAAGACATAGTAAGTGGTTTATAACACAAGGTCTAATATATAAACTTGGTAATCTAAATAAGTAAACATAAAATAGGCAACCTCAACATCTCAAATTTCATCCAACATTTATCTTTCCTCTATCTAATAAATAAACAGGTCAATAAATACCTAAAAAGTCAGGTCTTTCAGGATTTAGTTTAAACACCAGCTAAGAAGATAATAAACTAATGGTAAATAAATAATACACTTTATATAGGGTAAAAACAAATTATGGCACTTACACAATTTGGATTTGGAATATGTAAAACTATGATTGAGTGCAATATTTGGCCATAGTTAGCTCAAATTAGTATTATCAATGATTATTAATAATTAAGATCCAATAAGAGAGAGGGGTTTTCCAAATGGCCACTAGTGAGATGGAATGTGGGGACAAGGGTATATATATAGCATGCCTATGTATAAATAAGCACAAGATTGTTAGAGATGATCTTGATATGCTTAGTGCACATATTTCCTATATAGCAGGCAAATATATTATTATGGCACCACATACCAATATGACTGTCTTGTCCATAGCCTAATAGCTAGAAAAAAACACTCAGTTTGAGCATCTTCTGTATAACAAGGCAATGGACAGTGTAGATGGCACTGAGAATTGTAATATCAATAGTGGTGATGACTATGTGCTGCACAAGACAGTATTGACCACTGCACTAATAGACAAGGTCTGCAAGGCTGCATGTAGCACATCTGTATGCCTAACCTGCATGTTATGTCCTACAATGACCAGTAGCAGGCATTAGCTGACAATAACAACTTGAATGATCTTGTATGCAAGGCCAAGGTACTGAGGTCTTCATAGTCTCTTGTGGCAGCTACTAAGCTGCCAACAAAGTGGCTGGGGCATCAATACATATTTCTCTCCTTCTATGCCTCTTGTAAAGGCAGCTGGAAAGTCAGCAAAAGAGCTACAAAATAATGGTGCAGGCATATATGAAGAAGAGTAATATGCTAAAATAGTATAGAATGTGCCACATCTTTACCTTCTCACTAATAGAGCAGTAGTACTTACTATTTCCTACTGCTAATTAAAGACTTCTTAGTATAGAATTAGTGCTAATGTTATAAAATTAGAAACCAATCCAATGCTCATAATATGTTGCTTCCATTTAGGAAATTAGACACTGTTAGATGCTATTAATACTTTTAGATACTTTTAGACACTATTAGATATAATCCAGAGCTAATACAAGAGGGTGGTTTTCCAGATGCATACCAATTATAGTTGGTCCCTACCCAAATAATGACAAACTACCAAATGATGTTCAGCAGCACTTGGGTCAGTTTACATATATGTCACATACTTATCATGACAATACAGGATTCATTGAAGGAGCTTTACAATGTTCTATAATGGGATCAGGATTAGACATCCTATTCAGCCAATGTTATCAGTACCCAGTCAGTCTTTATTGCTTATTCATCTGGAAAAACCTCCTTTCTTAATTATATCTAATTATTCGAAATACTAATCTAAGCTAATTAGAATATATTATTAATAATTAACTTCATGACCAAATTTGCAATTAAGGGGACATTTTCTATATTATTACAGTCCCATTGGAATCTACAATCTAATTACAATTTTACACATTTCAAATCCAAATTGTATAAGTGCTACAATCTTATTTTTACTGAATTTTTTTTATCTAGTTTACTATATTATTGTCTAGTGCCTAAGTTCAAATATCAGCCCTGATTTTTAAGGTATTTATTGACCTCTTTACATATAGAATAGATAAAAGATAAATATACAAGAAAATCAGAAATGTTGAGATTGCCTTATTTATATCGTTATATTTAGGTTACTAGATAAATAGTTTAGACCTTGTGGCTTAGTGGTTTAGAGCACTAGTCTAGAGTGTGTAGGCATGAGGTTATTGGTTCAATTCTAGTAATGGGCAAGTTTATAATAAGGCATGACTTTAGTTTGATTAGTAAGCTCTATACATATTCTATGATTGGAGGTGTAGTAGTAGTAGAGAAACCATAGCACTGGGTTGGTTGATATTTTTCCAAAAATCCATATAATAAATTAGCTTTAATTGGCTCTGATTAGATCTTATAATTTTAGGATTAGAGGGGGGGTAAGCTAAAAATTCTTAATGGTAATTGGTAAAATCTAGCTATATTTATGCTTAACTATGGTTAATTCAATATGGAGCTTTTCCCTGATGGCCACTGATTATACGCTAGTCTTGAGGTGAGCATTCAGTCGACCCTTTTTACTGTACCAGGCCGATATCATCTCGTGGGAGATACTGGTGATCGAGCTGTCTTGTCGCGCTGTAAAACAGAAGAAGGATCTCAGCACGGCTGAATTGTACATTGGCAGCGTGTCCTAAGCCGAATCAGTTGACAGCATTTTGAGCAACACCTTCGCGATTCTGTGCAACACGAAGAACGCTGACAGTCTCCAAGTATGAATGCTTGGACGAAAGATCACATTATACACAGGGACCTTCGTGGGGAGAGGATTGGATGGATATTACAGAAAATGAAATATCGACATGGTAGCAATAGCAAAGCAATGGACAGTTAGATCTAAACGGAATTCGTCAACAATCGCAGAAGGAATATGTGAATAAGTAAAGCAGAAAAACAACAGGTCACGAAAGCTCAAATGCCTCTTTACAAACCGATCTGTACTGGCGAATTTTTAGTCGTTCCGTGAGCATGATTTCGAAGTCTTTCCGTCAGCATCAGAATCGGAGCACTGATGAGTAAAAGCAGCACCACCAATCGGTTTCGCGCCTTCAAATGAAATGAGGCTCAGTCGAGAACAAAGGGCTGAGAGAGAGGGAGAGAGGGAGAGGTGCGTAGCCGGCACATCTTCGGATTCCTGAAAGGATTGCATTTTCTCCATCAGCTGATCATTTGCACAATACACAGAGGACTTTTAAGATCGCGTGCTCTGTCTATGGGCCAATGGTAGACAACGCGTTGGGAAAGGAGGCGAAAAGGTCTGAGTAGGGTGAATGTCGATGGCGGCCTCTATATTGAATCAAGGCTACAGAAGACGCACGATGTCAGGCGTGCCGTTTATCAGTCGCCTATCACCATGCCGCACTCAGAGGGCTAGCTTCGGATGTGAATATGATAAGGAAGTACGTACTTCAAAGATAGCAACGTCGCCTTGTCGTGTTCGCAGGACGTGCTTCTGCTCGCTGCACGGGGAGACACGAGGATCGAACAATGGGAACTAATCCATATCTGAGTTGGAAAAGCGAAAATTCAAGATCGGCAAGGACGCATGGCTCCCGCCACTCACCTAACGTGTCCAGCCAATCATGAAGCAGATATGGACACCGATTTGGGCTTGCGAGGCAAGGCGCGAGATTGGCGCGAGAAGCCACTCCCTGCACGGCTTCGCTTAAAAGCTGGGAAAGCAACTTGAGAAAGTTGAACTACCATTTCAACTATTAGCCACTTGACCATCGACACGATCCTATGACTTACTCCTCAAACACATACGAGATGTTCCAGCTAGAGGAGGTTAGCCTCTCAGCATGGCAAAGGCATCTAGCTCGTGCCAGTTATGATGCCGCCTTCCCCTACGGCAACCAAGCCTCTGCCGAAAGCCATCCGGCACTTGAAGACATGGCCTTGTATCAGTACGAGCGAGAGGTATGGTTTGACTTGCGGACTTGCGCGTTGACCTAACCCGCCCTCCGCCGCAGGGAGTGGCAGCCGAGTCACCTCAACATGCCTGGGGGGCGTTAACCCCATCATACTCAGTATTCAGTGGCGCAATGGCAGGCCCAGTGAACATCGTCATGGTCGATAACTACGTATCTCCTCAGCAGATGCTGCCATCTGGGGAGATCTGTTACCAGGCAGCGCGGATGGCCTGGAGCCCTTTACATCGTGAGCCACCCTTCATCCTCACCTCACTGCTGCTCGCTTACTCTGCACACAGCATCGGAGGTTCTGGTGGGTCCATGCTGCCCGCCGTCAGACTATCCAACCCCGCACCACGGGGGGTATGCTATGGGGATGCCAGTCGAAGCTCCCACCCCGCCCGCGCACCTTGCCTACAATGAGGCGTCGCTGGTTATGCCCGCACCCCGCAAGGCTGTGGTTGGAAGAGTCGAGGACGTCCTCGTACCTCCTCGACCGCAATGGCGGCCGACTCTAGCTGAGCTAGAGTATGCGATGATACGCTCATCGTGCGCCCGTAGGGGTTCCGAGGGTTATACCCTCTACCAAACAACAATGAAATCAAGAATGAGTGCTCGCAGAGATGCCTCCGCGGACAGCATCATCCCCGAGGCTGTCAATGCGTCTGGCCGAGGGCGCTCCCTGGAGCCTCCTCAACAGGTACAAGAATTGGAGGACGGTATTCACCAGGCCGCACACGGCGCTGCCCGCCCTAGCTGCAACGAGTGTGATGTGCAATTCCGTCACGCCCACGAGCTGTGGCGGCATCTGCGCGAAACAAAGGCGCACGGTGGGGCCAGGTTTCGGTGCAATTCCTGCAAGAAGGCGTACACTCGCAAGGACGCGCTCACAAATCACAAGAGACGAAAGCACAGTGTGATATAGGCTCGGAGGTGATGAGGGTGAAGTAGGCGGTGAGCAGTGACGAAGGTGAGTTTTACAGAGCTTACCCATCCCACCCTCCCCATTCTTATCGATTCTTCCCACTATTGTGTCCCAGACCACCATCTGCAACCTGGAGGTGCCTACTTCCACGTCCGAATCGATCCGTCCGCGCGATGACCGTCTGCGAAGTTCGAACGAGGCCGTCTCTCTGAGCATTCCCCGAGCATCTATGGGAGACAACAAATTTCTGAATTGTTACTCACAGTATCATATACGGTCCCAGTCTCCCAATATATCTGCTCTCTCTATAAATCTGAGTCGACGTGTTCCAGACAGTTGAACATGAGCAGAGATTGGTTTTTGAATTATGAGCTACGATCTGCTGCGATGGTGAAGTGCCGGGCCGGGCACTGGCGGCATTGCCCGTTCTTCGCCATTTCAGTCCCGACCGGCTGGCAGCGTCCAGCACTCGTCCAGCGCGCCATTTTAGGCTTGACCAACCCCCTCCCGAACGCCGAACATGTGAGGTGAAGGTAAGTAGTCTTGGAATGAGACTAGACGTTTGCCAGCGTTCGCCTCATTTACACTCTTTGCCTGCATTGTCGGTTGGTCTCAACAGCATAGAAATATACATTCCTTAAGCTTCATTCTGCTTCGCTTGCCATTCGTCCCCGGAACTATTGATCACCATAGCAAACTCAACACGCCAGCACTGTTCACAGGCTGCCGCTGTCAAGTGAAAGGAAATTCGAGAGGCATTGCTGGAGAATGACGCAGGGATAAGGTACGACATCGGTTTTACTATTAGATGTCGGCCCTTGCCCCATATCTACCCTGCCTCGTAGCCCTACATCCGCACAACATGAACCTCTCCGACATCATCCTCGTGCGCAGCCAACAAGCCAGTCGTTTCTCACCCTCCCTCGGCTCCCGGGAGCTCATATACGCCTCTGGCGCCGACAAGCAACGCGTCAGAGAGGCAGATCAGCGCAGATTATCGACCGCCGTTTTCCTCCCCAAATCGACCGAATGCGCCTACTCGCCGACGTCGCCCGGCGGTTGGGAACACCGGTATATAGTATCTATCCTGATCTGATTTACTCTCGCCTTAATTAGGGCTCTCCACATCGTCGGCCCCGTCGGCCCTCATACCACACGACAAGCACTCTCAATCTGCTTACGGCACCTGGACCTACCTGGACCATGCTGAGGGAGAGCTGGTGAGCAAGCGTGCGCATTGTGCGTTTGCCTCGTGCGCTGACGAATCTCTCCTCATATTTCTCCTCGTCTCCGTCCTTCCCTAGCTTTCCCCAGCTGGACCAGATCTGCCCCCATTTGCCTGGCCCCTCACTCTCCGCCGTGCGAATCCCGCGCTTATCTGGGCCCGAATCGTGAAGGCGCTCGCCCCCGTTTTGGGTCGCGCTTCCAGGGCCGATTCGCGCCAGAACCTTCTGCGCTTCAGTATCGGCCGATAGTTGAGCTGCAAAATGGCGATATAAAGGCCCCCACACGAGACCTTTGCATACCGTTGACTTTGAGCCCTTTCCCTGCCCTCGCGTGTGTTTCTCGGGCATATGGTGTACGCGTTTGTTGTCGATCACAGCGAACGCGAAGCCTCTCTCACATCTCTCCACCGTCTGTCCTTTCCGATCCACATCTCTTACCCTCCCTTCCTACTCTACGACCTTCGACCGGGTCGTGTCATTCAGTTTACATCGTCAGACAGGTGAGGATCTTGTGGAAACCTGAGCACTCGGGATGCATCGCATGGAGCTAGGAAATGCAACATACCTCGCTGTTTTTCTCTATTATATGCGCGCCGCATGCGTCTAGTCGACAAATATGCCAGATTTTCGCGAGCTCCACACCTCTTTCATCTTGTCAGCCGCACGGCGCGCGGCGATTGCTCTCCATCTTCCTCTGTCCGGTCATCACGGCGTTCGGTGAACCCACGATAGTGCGCGAACCACATTCGGGTAACGAAAACTTGATCTTTCCAGATCTATTGCATCCAGCATTCCTACTTCCATCGCCCTCCACAGTCGTCAATTTGAGATTGAAATGCGACCGCTTTGTTTTGCTCGCACCCTTGTCGCTTGAGCTTGCGGATGAGCACATTGTACGTTTTTTCCTCCTCGTGTGTCGAGAATGTCACGTGGCCAACAGCTAGTATACAATGGCGCCTTGTTTCTGCGTGAGGATTCTCACTTGGCGACCATGTCAGTCGCTCGACACAACGATGCACTTGAGTACAGCGCGTTTTGAGGTGAGTGTTTAACCATGTATGCTGTTTCAGGCCATATTGCCGATGCTATCCCGCGGAAGATGCTGATGATCACGCTGCTGTTGCGCTGTGAATTCAAAGAGGAGTCCCGGCACCGCTGAAGCGCGCATTTCTTTGAACATGTCCGAATGCCGAGTCTCTTGGAACTCTTCTGCGACGCGGACCAACACACAGTGACCGTTTGAAGGTTTGACAGCCCTCTAAGTGCGAAGTTATGGACACAAACAAGGTATCTAACACCAGGAAGAAATTTGGGCCAAAAGATGGAGACTCGTGACACATGTGCGAAATCAATGAGTTGTGAAATATAGCTATGATATCATGAAGCCCTGATCCGCCGAACATACTCCCATGGCCTATTACACAGCCTTGTCTGATCGTTTGCATCCCGTAGTGCGCAAACGGCACCCACCGCACAAAGGGTCTATTGTTGTGTCGGGAACGTAGATCGTTGATAGCGAGGTGGAGTGCTCGAGCAACTTTCGTAGTACCAGTGTCAGAACCGATTTCATCACCTCTGAACAGCCGTCCATAGAAGCTGCCTAAAATCTGAAGACGATCTTCATGAATTGTCCTGCCGTGAAGCTCTGTTCAAGATCAAAATGAAGCGGACAGGACAAATGGTACTGACCACATCGGAGCCACTACTCCGCGGAATCCGGACGACAACAATGTCGTCGCAAGGTTTATCGTTTCACCTGGAAGTTTTTCGCTCTCCATGATGGGCTGGCATGCAGTCAGAAGCGCCAATGGAGCCTTCAGGAGGGGCTGTGGTATGATTTGGGATGCGCGCAAGGGACTGTTATCGAGAGACGATGCATTCTCTAGCCCGTCAACCAAGTCGTGGGTGCCATGGTATGCGAAGTGAGCAATGGTGGCATCAGGAGGGCAATCGAGGAGCCCCCGAGGAGATGTAAGAGCATCTTGCTCAGTACCGGATCTGATCAGAAAAGTCGCAGAGACATGTTTCTCTATTGTGCGTATCTCGTCGCAGGTGCTGGAAACCGACGCGTATCGGCTTTCAAGCATAACTACTAGCACCTTGAGAGGATGCGCATCCACTGTCTGTGCAGGATCGAGCAACTGCAGGGTAGGTGTATACGATGACACCATGAATTCTGAGATACTTTCAATGTTGCCCATACAAGGATCATATATGCCAGCTGCATGGACAGGGAGAAAAGCGAACGGATCGGTTGGGTACCACCATATGCGTGGGGTAGATGCGTGTAGGTATTCAAAGTGAGAATTGCAAGCCGTGAAGATTTTTAAAAATGAACATGCCTGAAGACCCAGGCAGCGGATCACCGGCTTGACGACAAATGCCCACAGTATCGCTAAGACACCTTGGAAGACATCATCGGAGTTATGTAAAGCTGCGGTTGCGGATAGATTGAGCCGCTGAGCTTGCCCGACAAGACCAATTTCGTGACGTCGTGTAGCCTTGTCGATAAGCACTTCAAGAGGACCTTGACAGATCTCCGGTAGCGAAACAAAGCTTGCTGACGTGGCGCTCTGTATGGACATGGCAAGGACTGCTATATCCTGGCCAGTCAACGATCCCGAAAGCGGCACATGCTTCACGCCGCCTGATGTGACTACCAACGCATCACATGAGGAATGGCTGGAGTTCAGGATGACGATCGGTCCTTGCGCTACCGCTCTCTCCATCGGAGTCGAACGCACAGAGCCTTCAAAGTCTCCCAGAATTCGAATCCGTTTCGAGGTCGGTCGGCCATCCTCATCACGTTGACAGAATGCCCCGCCTCCGGCATCGAGACTACCGGACACATTCCGCAACTTTGGGGAGGGGGTACGATCATAGAAGGCCCGCGGGAAACCCACAGCTCTGCCTTTCTCGAGCATTCCGACGGCCTGTTCAAATCTACCCAAGCGCACGGCGCAAGCAGCAGCATCGCTGATGAGTCTAAGGATTTTTAGTCGGCGGCGGGATCCGACATCGGACAACAGTGCCGCGGCACGGGGGAGGAGATCAATAGCAGTTTGGCATGGTTCCAGGGCAGATGAGTGATCAGCACCGTCCGCGTGCTGTGCCCACATCCGGGCCGACTTTAAACGCTCGAGGACGGATGCAGGCTCGTAAGTTGCAGCATTACGAAACACAAACATGACTATGTCCAGGGTCGAGTGATCTAGACACCCTTGACCTTGGCCATGCTCCACGTAGAGGTAAAAGGCGAGGGTTGTTAGAAACATGCAGCGATCAGGATGTGGTGTTGGTAGGCATAGCAGAGCTTTCCGTAGTAAAGAGATCGCTTCCTTGAGGTTGTCTATCTGCCTAGTCAGTTCAAACCGTTTAGATAGTGCGCGCGCGGGGTTGTTCAATGCCCCTGGGCGATCAGAGTGTTGGATCGGGCGTAACGCAAGAGCTGCTCGGAGCAGTGAGATTGCATCATCGAGGTCGTTCGCTTGGCTTGTCTGCTGAAATTGCATGAGCAATGCGTTCGCCAGATTGCTCAACGCAGCTGGACGACGAAGGTGCGGGACGGCACATAGGCCAAGGCCATCTCGGAGATGAGTGGCTGCACCTCGAAGGTCATCCACCCGACCCGCTCGCTTGAATCGCCTCCAAAGTGCAACCGCAAGGTTGTTCAATGACTTGAAACGGGTAGGATCTGGCGCGGGGCAAATCACGAGCACTTCTCGATGAAGCCTGATCGCCTTTTCCAGGTCGCCTACATCACCTCCCCGTTTGAAGCGTCTCGACAGAGAAGTCGCGAGATTATGCAATGTGCCGGAACGACCAGGATGAGATGAAGGGCAGAGATGGAGGGCCTCTTGAAGAAGAACAATTGCCTCCTCGAGATCATCTACAGTGCCGGTCTGCTTGAGTCGTTTCAAGAGCGCAGCCGCGAGGTTGTTCAGTGTGCCCGAACGAGCGGCATGTGTGGCAGGACAGAGTTTGAGGGCTTCTCGGGAAAGTGAGAGCGCCTCCTCGAGGTCATGCTGCTGGCTGGTCCGCTTGAACCGCGTCAAAAGCGCGCCTACGAGGTCGTTCAATGCAGTCAAACGATGCGGATGAGCTGCACGAAATGGCGATAGGGCTTCCTTGTGAACTGAAATCGCCTTGTCGAGATCGTTCTCCGTAGACCTCTGCATGAAACGAGCCCAAAGGGCACTAGCGATATTGTATAATAGACTGGGTCGTGCTGGATGTGCGGTGTGAAACACCTCGACCAGCTGCTCATACAGTGCTATACAGCTTTGGAGGTCCGAGTCGTGCGAGGTCTGCTTGAATCGGGAGTGAAGGGAAATGGCCAAGTTCCCAATAATCTCGTGTCGCTGCGGATGATTCGAAGACAACATATTCAGGGCTGCCTGTAATATATTGATTGCTGCGTCAATATCTTCAACATCTCTCGACGATCGAAACTGTCCCAAGAATATAGAACCTTGCTGAGTCAAATGAAGCGCTTCCTCGTCCTCATTTCACAGCTTTGTGCCCACCGTCGGCTGAGGGATTGCCCCAGATTGCACCATCAAAGAGACTCTTGCGCCGATAGCTGCAGCAAGCGTTGAACAGAGGAGCGAGGATTTATCCGTGGTATTCTTGATGACTCCTGGAAAAAGAGATATCGCCTCATCCATGTCCTGGCGGTAGCGTGTATGAAAGAACCGCAAACAGAGGGCATCGATGAGGCTGTTGGTGCGTGCAACATGTTTGGCATCGCTTTGTGCAGGCGAGAAGTGGCTTTTACGATACAACACAATCACAGAATCGAGGGCGGTGCTTGACGTCGTCAGGCTAGATCTTTGCTCTAACTATGAGTGTTATCAGCTCAGAATCTCGTTCATGATTGCAGATGTCAACTTACTCGTGGGTCGAGCATCAATGCGTTCTCAGACTTTGCGCCGGTCAACCATATGTTGAAAAGATCTCCCAACAGTTCAATAGTCTTGTTCAAAGAAATGCTCTGCCCTGGTTGAGGGAAACTGGCCATCAAGGTGAGAGCAAGCCCGCCAGACAATTCTGATCTGTAAAGAGGCTGTGATTCGCGGAGGAGACTCAGAGCTCTGAGAAATGACGACATCTGGCTCGATTCTTGGCAACTTTTGAATTCGGAGTTGGCAGACGCGTATGTCCAGTCTACATCCGCGTTTGTGCCGTGTTTAGCAAAGTCGTTCATACTTTCGCGTTAGTCGCTTGAATGAGAAAAAAATGAGGCGCACAATCGGGTTTGTTATCAGGATGGAAATGTACACTTACAACTTTGGGAGCTTGGTGTCTAGAGACGGATAAGTCGATGAGAAGAATTCGATTTTTGAATCTTGGCTTTGCCAAATGGGACAATCGCTTAGGATCTATCGACATGAATTGCGGTCCCTGGATCGGAGGTTCTAACAAGTCAGCAGATTTGCACAAAGCGTACCATGCGACTCACGGAAGCGGTTATATACCTTCGCCCACAGTCCGCATTCCAAATCCAAGTTGACATTGCCTTCAAGTCACGAAGTGCTTATCCTGTGCATCGTTCACTGCCTTGATGAGCGACAGGTGGTCTTGTGCCAGTCTAGAAAGCTCAAGGAGTGCAGGATTTGTGGAAACCTGCATCATGTCATTCACCTCTTTGAGCGCCCATACACTCTTGCACGAAGAGCTACCATCCCCGGACACCTGTGCGATGTCAGAATGTACCAGCAGACTTAATATCATCTGTACTAGCAATACGTTGTACTCAATCGATATGTGAATCTTGAGGCAGATGTCAGGCAGTGTCCTTAATGTTCGGATGACAAAGTCAGAGCTATGTAAATACAGATACGCGGAGCAGGACAAACTTCACGTTTCACATGAATAGGCAGTTTCGATATTTAGAAGGTGCGTCTTTTCGTAAACCTCTAGTTTGTCTTTGGGCTTTCAGTTGCGTTCTCGAAACTGCCCATGGGCTCTGTCCTAGGATCGAGACCAGTGAAGCGTCAATGTGAGGCGATGGTCGCTTGACAGGGAACATGCGGCACATGGTTCGATCAGAAGCTCAGTCCGACATAACCTGATAGTGGCGTCAAACTGACCTTCATACACAGCCTTGGAGGCAAAATTCTATTTTTATCTTCACCCACACATTGTGAGAAAATAGGATCACAGGCGCCGGTCGCGACATCCAATAAAGCCAGCGCAGAGAGTCGTCCGGACTGCGGAAGAGGGAGGCTCTTCAATGAGCGATGTCTAAAAATAGATGGTTTCGTCCACAACGGTACCAGTCTACTCCAAGCACACACCCGGCTTGAATCAATCGTTAGCCACATGGTGATGATAGATTAGCGGGGCAGATGCAAGGAAAATCTGAGCCGCGACTGTGCTGAACGGATTGAATTTGATGTGAGAATCGAAACTCAGACCTCGGCGAGTTGAATGGAGACTTGTTTGATAGCCTGAGACACGTACTACGCTAGAATGGTCAAGATTCCGAGATGGGGAGAGGTCATAAAGACCGGAAATCAGAGCTGGATGTCTAAAGCAGCTTTCTCGACCTGGACGCATATGGTCAGAGACACCGGTATAAGAAAGACCGGTCACGTACCTAACTTCCCAACCGCCAAAAGCCCACCCACGTATAGAAGCGATATCACCCGCTTCACATGAAGAAGCGATAGCTCGAGCGAATTCTTCCCTCAGCGGATGGTTCATGGAGATTGTCCGAGTAATGACGATGGATCCATCAAATGGTATGAGAGGTCATCATGAACCAATGTGCACTCATATCCTGAACCCTTGGACAAAATGCCGGAAAATCATATGGTCGACAAAGAACGAAAATGTCCTTCAGGAACTCTGCAAGCCTGCATCATGGAATGGAAGAAACACTGATGCTGAGTGAATGCGTGTGTTTGTCTCTGCTTGTCAAGCCGCTCGTGATACCCCCATCGAGTTGTCTCTCCGTCCAGCTTCGTCCACCCGTCCGGAAGGGACAATCTGTGAAGAGCGCGTTTGTCATAGGTTGCGTGATTACGGCGAGATAAGGCCCGAGGTCACCATTTGACAAAATAATTTCTAGGAATACTGCCCCAAGAATGCATCTACACCAGTGCCACTGCAGCAGGGATCATGTCAACAATTAATCGAGGCATCTGGTAGGCCTCGCCAACACGATCTACTTTTCTCGTGCTAAGAATCAGGTTATTTCGCCAATCAGGCTGAGTGGGCCTCATACGATCATTGCACCCCTTACTCATCAGCCAGTCGCCTAGAATCAGCATATCTGAGACCGGAATATGACGGATTGATCAGAGTCAAATTCCAAGAGCGCTCGAAAGCCCGGTCTTGCAGCAGTTTGCAACCCTGATATCCGAAACCTATTTTCTCGAGAGTGGGCGTCGGCGCGCATCTCCTCGCAACATCAATAGCTCGGTTCCATCCCGTTCTAGCCCTCGGCCATGGAAGCCTGACTCTGGCTCAAGATTGGACATGGCCAGGTCTCTTTCTTTATTTGACCCTATAGCAGACCTTGAAGGTGACGCTTGGATCAGCCGTATCATCGCAACCTTGTGACTTTCCTGGACTCGGAATTCAACCCGATTCAGTATCGAGACTCATGCTCCCTCCTACAACGACGGTACACCTACCATCCTTGCGAGAACAGAGCACAATCATCCGCTCTTTCATTATTCACTCACGGCTGATGGAACAGTGATAACGTGCGTGGCCCTGTTTTTGTTTGATTGAATCTGGTCGCAGCGAAGTCAGACAAGCGCCGCTGGTGTCGGATCATGGCCTCCTTCAGCCAGTTCACAAAGTCTTGACTTTTGAGTCTTTTGCAATTTCCGGATGTCAATTGTCTGATGTTGATCTTCTGGGTAGTTGTCTCATTATGAACCCTACTTACTTTGACTTCTCAGGAAGCTCCCCATACGTCCTTTCCGTCCATCAGTCATACTTCTACACAGCGCCGTTGTGTTTCAGAAGTGACCGCTGGCGTCAATGCTGTTAATCATCTAGGGCGCTTCTAGAATCTCACTCGAAGAAGCCCTAATTGATCCTAGTTTGATCCTCCGGACTTTCGCTTCGCGCCTTTGCACTTCCAAGGGACTCACACCCCTTGTCAAAGTCCAAAAAAAAAAAGTTATGTAATGATCTATTCGAGCTCTCGGTATGCCCATTAGCGTTAGATGCTCCAAGTACACAACGGTTCTAATAGGTGGCTTGAAGTAAACCAACGTTTTGGGCTGTAGTAAATTTTCCCTCGTCTACTATGTCAAGCAGGCCACCAAGCACATATTCAGGCAACTCATCCAACGTTCAACTCATTTATTACAACTCGTCTCAATCTAGTTGATTGATTCTATAAATACCAATAACACCCCCGCGACCCCTGGCCCCCCCGCGTAGGTACTTTCAAACTAAGTACCTGGGTTATTCCTGCTGACTTGTTCCAGGATGTATAGATATTGCAAGATATTGAGCGCGGTTCTCGCTTAGGCTCTCAAGCTCTCTTGAGCAAGTATATTCCAGGCACACTTCACCACGCGGACAGCGCTGAATATCAGGTCTTGAGTTGACGAATGGCTCTGCACTACCTCCATTCCACCCTCATTGTGCGTGGGTACATCAGGGACAGTAGTCACGCGCACGGAATTGTTGCAGAGTCAAGCTCAGGATCATGGTACGTGTCGGCGAAAGGAACACTCCGCAGGTGCAAACCCCCATGGCAAAGCTAAGTCATAACAAATCGTTAAACCAGACATTGAAGAGAGAGCGCCCAAAGTCTACATATAAAAGGGGGCCCATTTGCAAGATGTGTTCTTCAAGCTCACTCGGCTCCCAACCTCGTTAGCTTAACTCAACTCAGTTCTTCTCTCTCAAGAGTCACCATGTTCGCTGCCAGATTCATTCTCGCTGTCGTGCCATTCATCGGTTTCGTGCTCGCTGCACCTACTGATGCCAGTGCGAGAGATGAGGATTGGAAGACGAAGCTCGGTTGGGACGGGAAGGTCACCACGCCTGTTGAGCTCGACCCTAGCAACGTTTCCAAAGCCTCTGACGGTGTATGTACTCTCTCTCCTTTCACCGCATTGAAGGACTCATGGGTCTAAGGCATCTTTAGGCTCTTCATGTCAACGTGCTCAGTGGCGGCGTGTACTTCTGCACCGACGCAAACTTCCAGGGTAACTGTGTACGTGATTTCGTCTTCAAAGTCTGATCGCGCATCTAATGTACTCTTCCTCAGATCTATGTCTCCAACTTCAGGTACGAACTATTTTGCGTAATATAGTTATAGCAAGATAATAATGCGTTTTTCACCGTCGACAGCTCCGGCCAGTGCGTCGGCGTCGGGTCCAATTTCAACGACGATGTCACCAGCTTCGGACCCGACAAGGGTCTCACTTGCACCGTCTACAGGTTTGTCCCCTTTACCCATAATTGTGACCTTGTTTTGACCAAAATATCAATTTAGTGACGCTGGATGCTCTGGCCGTGCTACTGGCGGGATTGTCTACCCTGGTCAGTAGCTTATGATCTGCTTGAACCTCATGCAGGATGTTCTGACCCTTGATGGCAGGCATAAGCAACTTGGCCGACTATAACAACAACGATGCCATGAGCTCGTTCAAGTGCACTTAGGCCAGGGAAGGTGGAAGTGATGACACTGAGGGGCTTACAGATTCAGAATCAGCACAAGGTTTCGGGTTGGTAATTGTATAGTGTTAACAATGACACCAAGTCTGATTGTATGATATACTTGCTGAAGCGGCCGCTGAAATTGTCAAACTCCTTTATACCATCCAAAGCCATTTCCGGAGCCAAAGCCCGAACCCGAACCGAAGCTCAAACCAGAACCAAAGTCGGACCAGAGCCTGAGTACACTACCAACGACTTGATGATGAAATCGACGAAAGGCTTGTCGTTCTGAGCTGAATTTGCGTCAACGTCGCCGTCATGTCTTTTGGATATTCCGCCTTCAAGAAAAGGTGAATAACCTCACGGAGAGAGGAAAGCACGTAGCCGGCTCGTCTTCCATTCAAGGGAAAATGTCACCCTTTGCAGCCGAACGATTTGTTCGCTGACATCTTACTCTCGTGGACCAGCGGTGGAAACTCGAAGATGTGGTAGGCTACGAGTCTCCCGGCAAGCGACGCGAGAAGGTCTAGAAAATACAAGCTTCAATAGAGCCCAGGCTCAGAAGACGTATGTTGTCAGGTGTGGCGCCTATCAGCCATCTATCAGTCCGCCAAACTGACTTAGTTGAATTCGGATGCAGGGGGATAAGGGCCCCCAAGAGGACAATTCTCCTTTGTTGTGCTCGTAAGACGTACTCGCTTGCCGCGCATTGAGCACGAGGCGAACAATCCGGTCGAACAATGGGGGCGGATCAGCATCTGAGCTGTAAAGCGAAAAATGAGGTTCTTCGGCAAGAACACATGGGTCCCGCCACCCACCTAACTCGCCCAGCCAATCACGAAACAGATATGAAACCGGATTCAGCTCGAGAGGCGAAGCGCGAGAAGCTGACGCATTTGCCACAAAGGGCTCGCTTAAAAGCTGGAAAAGCGACCAAAGGTGACTCAAAGTTTTCATCTGCCATTCTATCGCTGAGCCACTTGACTATCGACACGACCCGATGACTTTCCCGTATGAAGCTTTCCAGCTGGAAGAGGTTGCTCCCTTGGCGTGGCAAAGACACCTCGTCCTTGCCAATTGCAGTGTGGCCCTCCCCTACGCCAACCGAGCCTTTGCCGAGGGCCATCCATCGCTACAAGAAATGGCTTCAGATCGCTACGTATCAGGGGTATGGTCTCGTTTGAAAGGGAGATCTACGCATTGCCCTTACGCCCTTACCTTCCTCCTGCCACAGGGCACATCGGTCGTACCCTCTGGACCAAACCAGTGGACGGATGCCCCATCCTACCCAGAGTCCGTCCACGCATGGGCGTACCCGGTGCACGTCGTCTCTGTTGGCGACTACACATCTCTTCAGTGGATGCTGCCAACTGGGGGGATCGTCTACCCAGCAGCACAGGTGATGTGTGGTCTGTCAAGCGGTGGGTTGTCGATCATACGAGCCTATTCCTTACATACTTACTCCGCACTCAGCCCAGGAGAGTCCGGCGGCCCCATACTATCCGCCACCCGATTGCACACCTCCACACGCGGGGTTTACTACGGGAGCAGCAGTCGACATCCTCACCCTACGGACGCGCGCCATCGTCTGTGATACGCCGCTGCACATGCCTACGCCGCGGAGGGTTACAATCAATGGGTCCCTGGCAAGGCTCGTACCATCCCGGCCGCGATGGCGGCCGACCCCAGCGGAGCTGGAGGACAAATTCACGGGTGCGGCAGCGGTCTCCACCCCAGCATCCGATCACCCACCAAGCGCTGAGGGTTGCTTCGAGGGCATTGCCCTCAACAAGACAACTCTGAAATCAAGAACGCCGATTCATAGGAATTGTCCTGTGAACGGTGACATTCCCGAGGCTATCAAAGTGTCTGTCCAAGAGCCCGCCCCCAAGCAACCTAAGCGGGCTCGAGCGCCAAAGAAAGCTCGCGGACAGACCGAGTATGGCACCACAAAGTATAATTGCGATGAATGCCTGATCGGGTTTCGACGCCCTCACGAACAGAAGCGTCATATGCGTGAAACGATCGCGCATTCTCGGCCCACCAAGCGATGCGACGCTTGCGGGAACAAGTACTTGCGCACAGACGCGCTGAGAGCGCACAAGAGGAGCAAGCACGGTGCGCGGCAGATCTAGAGGCGGAGGAAGTTGAGTGGGCGGTGAGCAGAGGAGGGTGAGTGCTGGTGAGTGTTTTCGACCTTGCCTTTACTTTGTACCCTTCATCATTTCATCTCCCACGTCGCATGCTCCTCTTCCTATCGATTTTGCTCCTGAATCACCCTGTGTTGTATCGCAGAACATCATCGGTCGCATGAGTGTCCCCCTTTCAAGTCCGAATCGATCCGCGGGCGTGATGCTCGATTTGCGCCTGTCTGCGAGGATTTCCCAATCTGTTTGTTTTTACTCACATGTATTGGTCGCAGTTTTTCCCAATATATCTGCTCTCTCTACAGCACTTTATTCTATATGCGAAAGGCCAGATGACGAGGTGGTAGATGAATTTCTGAGATGTGTCCCTTTGCACGATGGATGCAATGGTCAATGAGGAAAGTAGGAGGAAGACCACGTGAGACGAACTCATCAAGCCGACTTGTCGCTTCTAGTATCCCGATCTTTTTATTTCGACTCACATGCGTCAGCTACAGTTCTCCAACATATTGGATCTCTATATAACTGTGTATTCTGTATGCGCCTCAAGGCGACGAAGCGGTAGATGAGTTGCTGAGCTGTGTCGCTTTACTGTCGCTGCACGCGATGAGACACGATGGCTGCAAGGAACACGTGAGAGACAGTGAACTGACTTATGCCATCGTCATTGCTCAGTCTCTTCTGCTCCTCTGCTCGCGTTCAGCAGCGACTTCTTGTCAGGACTACGTCTGCTCATCTCCAGCACTATTACTTCAGACCGATGTCGAGCACTACTCCTGTCAAGCACACTTTCATCGTGTATGCACCCGACAAGACCGATCCAGGCGCGAATGCACGCCGGCTGGCTGTTCGCCCCGCACACATCGAGAGAGCAGCCACGATGAAGCAGGAAGGATATATGAGTGCGTCAATTATGTCGATCTGAATGGATAACAAGGCTCACTGAAATTGCAAGAACTGGGCGGCGCGATCCTCACACCGGAGTCGATCGCAAGCGAGAGTGCAGAGAAGAAGATGACAGGCTCCGTTTTGTTTTTCCATGCTGAGACAATAGACAAGGTGCGAAAGACGGTTGAAAGCGATGTGTACTATACCTCGAACGTGGTGAGTAGATTTCATTTGACTGAGGTCCTTCCGATCAGTGACTGTGGGGTGCAGTGGGATGTGGAGAAGATTGTGATCGCACCGTATGCTATTGCTGGAGGCTCTCAATGGCCTTGATATCGAGTTCAAGGCCCGAGGGTGTCGGCGCAAGTCATGAATGTATCAGTAAGTCCTTTCTCTATTCGCACTTTGGATGCTTAAGAACATCGACGTTCTACAAGATATCTGCATGTGCCTTCTTGAATATCTGACCATACTTCTCGGACTTTTGTAACAACTACTCGTTGCATTCCTTTTGGCTCACTTTAACTCCAATTCAAATATTGTGCATGCTGCTATCATCAACGATGTCTGGCCTACTCCCTACACATGCACCCATCGTCAGCCTGATTTATTCCAATGCTCGTAGATAGCGAGCTCCGCAGTACTCAGAGCGTCTCTGAAGCGATTCACGAACATCTCCGAAATCTCTACACAGAAGCCCATGAAACTGCGTTGTCACAGCCTATATTCTATGTGATCATGGGCTGTTACCTACAGATCTTCTGTGGATCGTAAATCTAATACTGGGAGTCAAAGTGAATGTCAGTCTGCTCTATCAGGTGAGTAGCACTCAAGTGCATAAACAAGATGATTGGTTCCGTATCGTGTCAAAGGCGCACTTCGACTTGAATGAGCTCTACGCTCACTGCTCACATTGATCCTTGTTTACTCTTTCTAACGTTAATGCTCTTTATCTCCCCTCATTCAAATCCTGGTCCGCTGCACGCACATCAGCGCTTTACCTGCCCACTTTACACATATCAATGGCCATGCACATCTCATTTTGATTGACAGTTCCCTGGGTCTTATGACAACCAAACTTCCCGCTTTTCCTGAACTACCAATCTCTTCAGTTGCGCTTCAAGCCACGTCAACGCCAGTAACCTACGAGGGTCGTCTCGGTTTCCCCTTCATTTCTTACATGTCGATTTGACACAGTATCGTGGTATATAGCATTTTAGGCTGTGCTCGTCGATGTGCGCCGTTGATTTGCCATATTTTTGGTGATTTAAAGATCCGGCCGTATGGCTAGAATTGTGGACTGTGATCAGCGTTGTTCGAATAACTGGATAACGGCCTGGAGAAATAGCACTGCGCTGCCAACGATGCTGTCTACACGCGGGCTAACTGTTTCTTCTACTCATGTTCTCCTTTGTCACGATGGAGCCAACGATCAAGAATACATAGAGTATATCGTTACGCACTGCGAGGAGAGCCGCGATGGATAATAGGGAGGCGCAGCTGTCCAAAGAGACTTGTAGTGAGCCCATGCTCCATTTCGGCAACTCGGCGCGGAAACTGAAACTAGATGTTCCGTCGCCTTCGCCTTTTGTTCCTCAACTAGGGTTCCGTGAGTAATCCCTGAATTGCTAACATGTTAATAACTTATGTTATTAACATTGTTATTAACACTGTTATTAACAGGCCACCTCCAGGGGGGCACAATGTCGATGTTAATAATGTTAATAATGTTTGAAATTGTATATAATGATCAGCATTTGAATTTACATTGAAAGGTGGAAATATTGAAGGTTGTGGCTGTACAATTATGTCTTCCCTGCAAAATAATAATTTTGTCCGGGAGTGCAGAGTCTCGGACTGCATTGGTTCCCACTCTGGACATTCTGTTACCCATTTTCCCCGCTTGCACCATGTCCACCGAGTCAAACGACGTCAGCTTTGAGACTGTTCTCGCGGAACTGCATCACCTGCTATTAGGCATACCCCCAGAATCAAATCTGCCTTTCGTGGAAAATTCTCAGGACTCACATTATGCATGCTTCCTCAACTTCTCTCTGGACCCTGATCTGATGGAGAAGATCGAAGATGAGGTCGGGGTATTCAGTGAACAATTCAAGTCAGTTTTTGGCTGGTAAACATGGTTGACCGGAGATGGAATCATACCGGACCTGGTGACTTCTTGTTATTAACACCACTTTCTTTATTAACATGTAAATAAATCAGTTTTCAACATGTTAATAACGCTTTATATACAATTGTTATTAATCTGTTATTAACTCATGTTAGAAATTCCTCGGAGAGGCAAATGTTATTAACATTTGTTAATAACTGTCTGTGAATTACTCACGGAACCCTATCCTCAACAGCTCTCAGCAATATGGTGAAACGTGCTCGTTCCGTCGATGATGAAGACGAACCTTCGAGGCGAACACGTACATGGGATGAAAAATTCAGCCCTACTCTGTGTTTGTGCTCTATATGCACAAAGACCGGTCCGTCATGTCCATGTTCTCGATTAATGATGTGGTAGCTAATTTTGTTTTCCACGAAACTCGTAGAATCAATATCAAAGCAGCGTAAGCTCCCGGCTCTTACCAGAGCATCCAGCTTACTCGTTTTTGTATATGGATTGTGTAGACTTGGCGACTCTAAGTGATGCCGTCGACGGCAAAAGGTTGATTCAAATTCGCTTTGGAGATCGAAGAGTCGTCACTAGTGTGCCCCTCACGTTCGGTGTTTGTCCGGATCTACGTAAATTGAAATACCTATCTCTGACCTGGAGCGCGTATCACTTAGGCCCTGGCCGTCACCATTCGTCGTTTGTTCTCCCTTTCTGCTTCCTTCGATCTGCGCATCTCTGTGCATATTCCGTCCTTCGATGGCGATCGCATGGAGATCGATCCACTCATATGGCCGAACCTTTGCTACTCCCTCATGGCTGTATGGGTCGAATCGGTCGAAAGGATAAACAAGTCTGCAACCGCGACTATCACCACCCCTCTCCCTGAAATTTATGTACGATCTAGTATAAGTGACCGAACATTGGCCTTTCATTACGATCCCCTCCTCACTATTGAGGCCTTGATGAGAAAGCTCCAAGTCGAAGAGGGCATCCCAATAGAACACCAAAGGCTATTCTTGGATGGCAAGATCCTTCTTGCAATCAAGAGACCGTTGACCTTAGCTCAGTGCTTTATCAAATCGGGGTGAACTCTAGGCCTATATCAGCAGAAGAAAAAGCAGAAACAAAACATCTATGTCTAATCCCTGACTCCTATCACTGCTTCGGACTCAGTATCATCCCGGAATGGAAGTTCTCATCCGTACGACCAATGGTATCCGTCGAGCGAAAGGGGAGTGGATTGCAAAGCATAACCTGGGCAGTGCAATCACAAGACACTCAGTATGATGAAGAGCCCGTTGGATCGGATGGCCCTGACATACAATGGTCATACGACTTGTCGGGTTTTGTTTGTATATATTCGATTTTTCTGAGGACTGATGGATGCGTGTGGATTGCACAGACAACATTTGGCGCGCCTTACGCAGCCTTCGCGCCTTCCTCATAATTGTTTCGATCCTACACATCCCGTCATCGATCCATCGAACTCTGTGCTTGTCCTTGATACCGAAGTGGCCGAATACTTGGAAGCAGCCCTTCGTTCCCTAGAGCTACCTCCCTCTATGCGCAGGTCGTTCATAACGTGGGTCATACTCGTCTACATCCCTCCGGGTTACTATTAACAACAGTGATAGTTACTGGCATGCTGACCTTATGAATCATGCGAATATCGCTCTGCGGTTCTTACCACAAGCCTCATACGAATTGTCTGCTTCTTTAGTAATAAACCCTATCCCCGCGAGCGTCGTCCGTATCTCCATGCTCTGAAAGGGTGTTCCGTCTTCTGAGGAGCACCACTGGAGATCTGACATCTTTCAAACGAGACTATCAGATCAAGGTGGTTGGACCTCCATCGTGGAGAGCGAAGTCTCGACGAATCTTGCACTTTCTCTGGAAATATTTGAGTGGGGCGGCATGGAGGTCAAAGGACCCGATTTAGCTGGTGGTCGATAGACTCCGGTGGAAGGAAAGCTGCTCTGTGTGTGCGCTCGTAAAATTGAACAGGGAGCAATATTTTTCGACCACAAACACCCACACAATCTAGTCTCATAGTATGAAGTGCGGACTTGTCTACTCGTAATGCTCTTGGGCGCGAGCTTTCGATGTGATGCTCTATAAATTCTGATTATTTCTTTACAACGTGTAGACTACGACAGACCCGGTATATATAATTACAGCACATATACAAAGACGAGCGAACCGCGATAATACCAAAACGAAACTCAGAGCGAGAGAAGAGAGGCAAACAACATCAACGCACTTTTTAGTCAAGAGATGAGCGAGACAGGAAAGGAAGAAGTAAACCATAAAGAGAAAGAGGTAGAAGGTAACAATAAGATAGGAGTTCGAGCAGACGTAAGGAGAAGCCGGTCGAAAGACGTAGGCTGATAACCACGTCCGTTCAACACCATGCCGGATGTTGGAATGACGGGGGGGCAGGCGCAACGCCAGACGTCGTTAACAGTCTACGAGCAAACGCGGCGGGGGGGGTAGGCGAAGAAAAAAAAAACAAGCACGACTATGCGAACGTCAGCAAGCTCTCAGCAGATACATCTCGCTGAGCCTCGGTCGAGTCCAAGTCCTGCCAGAGGCTCATCATGTTTTTGAGCACGCCGTCGAGGAACGCCGAATAATGCCTCGGCGTATGCTGCGCGTCGATGGCAATCTCGTCCGACGCGAGGGTGCTGATGAGCAGGCTGCTCACGGCGAAGATCTTCGCACGCTGCTCCTCGGACACGACGTGCGCAAAGCGCGGGTGCAGTAGCTGTGAGGTAAAGTGAAACGGAAGCAAAGATAGACTGTCAGTCTCTGATATTGCTCTCGGTGATGGAGGGATCCTCCCCGTCAGGCAAGGGCGAAGTAGGAAAGAGGGAGGAGACATGGAGATATGGAGGCGAATCTCACCTTGACCAAGAATGCGCCGGCAAAGCCCGTCCCGACGAAAAAGAACTCGGGCGCGTACTTGACAAACTGCGTCGCCACCATACGCTTCAACCATGCATCCACGAGGGCAAACGCGGCGTTGATTGACTGCTCGAGGTACCGACTCTTCCCCTCCGCCTTCAGTGCTTTGCTCGCGATCTCCGATTGCAGGCCGTACGAGATCACGATGAGGCGGCAGTATTCCAGCAAGCTGATGCGCATGACATTCATCAACTCAACGTCGTCGCACGAAGAGTGTTGGGTGCTTACTATGCGACCATTCCGGTGCGCAGCTGGTCGGCCATCTCTGTTGGAACACAAGAATGAATCGCGTCGGTCAGTATATAAGATCAGGATCCGCATTGGGGAGCAAATGCGTACCGATCTCCTCGTGCAGGTTCCCGCGCATCGCGGCCTTTTCGAGCGACGACGACGACAGCCTCTGCGTGAACGCGTCGATGACGGTCGCTAGCGCCTTCGCCTTAAAAACGAAGATAATCTTTAGTTTCAGGTCATGAATCGAAGGGGGCACAAGGGGACATACCCGCTTATCTGCAGGGTAGCTCTGCACCTCGGAGGTGGTGTCAATGAACGCGTTCATGATGCGGAGAAGCTCGATGATGGCAGGGAGATGCGCGTCGAACGGGTGCTGGAACGTCGACGCGGAGCACCAGCGCGAGCTGTTCCGTATGATCTACACAAGTCGACACGCATGTAAGTGCAGTGAGCCGTGGCATGCATGTAACATGCAAGCAGAGCAGACAGCCAACGCACCTCGTCCTCGCGGATCGTGGGTTGCTTTCCCATCTGCATTGACGTGCTGTAGTCCATGATGCAGCAGATCATCCACGTCCGCCGTCGGTTGAGCAATTCCCGCTCATGCCGCTCGTCGGCTGGTGGCTCATTGGACGGTTTGTTCAGATTCAGCTCTACGGCCAGCCTGTCCCAATCCAAGGTCATGGTCAATACATGCACAAACACACGAAAACTGAAAAGGGAAGTGTTCCTAAAAAGAGAAGGTGGACTGCTCACCGTGAAGCTACCCCCGTGTAGAACGATCCCCGGTCCTCCTCCCACGTGCGCGTCGGGCTGCCGTACGCGGCCATGATCAGATACGCCTGCGACATCTCGACGCACTTCCATCCGTCGATGAACGCCGACGCAGCCGCTGCCTTGGCGAAGTGCATCGCCATCTTGTAGATCTCTGGCCGTTGAGTGTAGTACCGCGAGGCGACGGCGCAGACTGTGCGGACGCGACGTGAGCTACGGCAAAGATGGAATGGAAAAGGTCAAATTACTAGCAGTGAAGAGGAAGGGACACCGGCGGAGCACGGAGGCGGGTGTGTGGATTGTCTCGTCCAAGATAGACAAGAACGGCTGGGAACGAGCGTCAAAATCCTCGTCCTACACAACGAGGAGGATGCCACTCACGTTCATCTTATGGAAGAATCTAATGACGTCCGCATGTCAGAAAGACAACCCCCCGAAAGCGTATACGACGTATGCGGACTCACATGTCGAACAACGCTTTCGCCTCGTCAGGCGAGATGAGCCCCGAGATTAGGATCTCGGGCAGCATCTCGCGCTCGATGACGATCTGCCGTAAATTCAAATCAGCCGACGGTCCTGTATGATCAAGTGGAGATCGTCAGCATGCATTATGAAATTCGATAATAATCGGGATATGAAATTCTGAAAAACTCAGACTCGATCGATCGTGGCAGAGCGGGACCAAATAATTCAAGATTTCCACGAGCGGCCATCTGCGGCCATCCGAGACTAAAAACCTAAAAACTTACCAGGGCTGAAATACGCGCCGTTTGCGATGCCAAAGTCCATCTCCGGCACGCCCTTTAGGCCGCCGAACGCCTGCGACCACGCGTCTGCGTTGGCGTTGGGAGCAAGGTTTGATGGCACGTTCAGCGTCGGATGGCGCCCCTTGCCGTACTTGAGAGAGCAGCTTGCAAGGAAGCCCAGAGGGGCAGTGGAATCTGGCAACGAATGGAGCCGCAGCGCTCCGCCACCGCCCTCACCATCTCCGCCGCGGCGGTGGCTGGTATGCCGCCGCATGATCTGCGTCTCCGCGCCCTGCTCCTTCTTGCACAGATCCACGTCCATCGACTCGCTCTTGCTCCTCTGGCTTTCGTCCTCATCGCGCTCGTCGTCGTCTTCCCCATCATCCTCGAGCTCGTCGTCGTCCATCTCCTCGTCGACCTCCAGCGCGCCGACGTCGATCGCGCCGCGCGCGACTTCCCACGCGCGCGCGCTCGCTTGGTGCTTCTCCATCCGCGCGAGGACCTCGCTGTGCGCCTGGCGCTCCGCCGGCGTGAGGTTCCCGAGGCGCGCTGGGAGAATCGAGAGGGGCGTGACGTACGAGCCGGACGCGCCAGAGCTGGAAGAGGAGCCTGGGGCGCAGGTGTGCAGACGCGACAGGATGTCCGCGATCGACTGGTCTTTTTCACGGATTTGGCGCAGGAGGTGCTCCCTTTGGCTAAACAGGGCGATTCGGTTCGCGTTTCGTGTCGAAAGTTGAGCCGGTGCGGAAGGGAAAGAGAGGGCGTCTACGTCAGCAAGGTCCAGAGCGCCAGGGTCTGAGCCGCGTGGGACAAAAGCCGTCTCCATCGAGCCAAGGTGGCTGGACCGAAGACGGCGACAGGGCGAAGAAAGAACAAGGGATGACGCGAAAGGCAATGATGACGCAAAAGGCAATAGGGACGACTCATCGTCCCGATGCGGAAATGCAGGCGGACTGGAAGATCTGTCTGTCGGACTTACCTCGGCGTTCTCGCCTTGCGCCCCTCGACCACACAGTGGTGTCCCCCTACGTTGCAGCGCACGCATGCCGGCTGCGCGTCGGGGAAGATGCACTTCATCTGCGAGACGAGCCAAGACCACCCGGTCAGCACATGTCGAGCAGGCATTAAGCAGACGCGCACCTTCAGCTTCTTGCAGCGCGCACAGGCACCGGGTAAGCGCCCGCCCACTGTCGTCGCCACGGCGGATGTAGCGCCCACATAACCAGTAGAGGGGCTGGCGCCAGACCCTGACGCACCTGACGCCGCAGCAGCATCGGAGATAGCGATGGACATAGCCTTTTCAGACCCCCTTCGCGAGTACGGACCCGGGCTCGAGGAGGACGACGGTCCCGCGTTCAAATATGGATGTGAAACGTGCGCGTGAGCACGAGGGCTCGACCGCGGACTGGATCGGGTATTCGAGCTGGAACGTGCACTGGGGGAAGAAAGTCTGCTAGTTCCAGAATGCCCTTGTACGTTGGTGATGTTGCTGTTTCTATTGCGCGGATGTTGTTGTGTGACGTAAAATGGAGGACGAGAAATGGAGGCAGTGTTGCTCGTGCTCGGTACGGGCGTATCGCACACACTGTCGAAAGGGAATGGGTCGAACGGGGGGCTCGTGGACGTGTCCGAGCATGTGTCGAGGATGAGCGACGGCGTCGACGCTTGGGTCTGTGTGGGTGACGCTGCCACCGCCGCCGCCATAGCCATGGAGAGCGACGACGGGGATGTGGAGGATGACGGGATATGGAAGGTGTCGTGGGTGTGATCACGATGGGTCTGGACGTGAGTCTGGCTGTGAGTCACGGGATCGTTGACACTGTTGATGTCTGATGAGAACGAAGGGCGTCGGTTAGCAATGCTCGGAAGGGCGTCACAACAAAATGAAGGGCAGAGAAAATGGACAGGATGGAAGATGGAGAGACAGGATCGAGGAATGATGGATAATTGAAAGGCAATCCAGTAAGAAAAACGTGCTTGCCTGTATCTGAAGGCTGGTACCATAAGTCTTCCAAGGCGGCGTATTCATTGTTGAGCTGCGGCGCGGCGACATCGATCCCATTCACGTGTCCGCCGTCAGAGGCGGCGTTCATGTCAAAAGAATAATGCATGAATCCGTTCACATCCAGCATCGACGGCTGCTGCTTCGCGTCGACGTCGGGATACTGCTGCATGGCATCCTTCGAGGCCATGTTCGAGATGTAGTTAGAATGTGGGAGGAAAGTCTGGTGATCCTGCTCGTGACGATGAGGGTGATGCTGTTGCAGCTGTTGCGGACGTTGGTGGGGGTGATAGTGGGAAACAGCTGCGTAGACGAGATCCGGATCCGACTGGGGCAAATACTGGGACTGCATGCTGTATCCGAGCGAGAGGGGCGTGTCAAGCATGAAGGCGCGGAGGCTGTGGTGACCCGCAGAGTCAGCAGACGTAGTATGTAGCAGGAGGTGGTATAAACAAGAGGAGGATGTAGTAAGCGTTTAGCAGGTATATATGCACCTGGGCAGTTGGACAGTCGGTGTACCCCATCGAGCGCGGAGGGCAGAGACTTTATAAGCGAAACTGTCTGGCCGCGCCTTGCACGGTTCTGGCAACAGGGAGTGATGATTCAGGGATCCACGTCGCTGGATTCCCAGGAGACGCACATAAACTCGCCCGATAGACGCCTTCTCCACGAGCCATGCGTCTGTCCTCCACTTGCAGCCCTGCGTCTATTATAGGAGTGGACAGATCGGATCGAGGGGCGGATGCCATAGACGCCGGGGTGGATAGGGTGGGCACGGCATCATTGTCCCGTCGAACACCACATCAGAAGTACACCACCCTTCGGAGAAGGAGTGCGTGGTGCTTGGGCACAGCAAAGCCTTGCGCGGGGACTCCCGAGGGGCTTTTTCCGCTGTAAAAAAAAACAGAGAAGCAATATACGGCTCGAGATTAGCGGGAGAACATGGGAACACGAAGGAAGCCAATCGAAGGACCGATCTTCCCGGATCTCGCAATACATGTGAGATAAAAGTTGTGAGATACGATACAGTGCGAACGTCGTGATCGAATCGACAACCAACACCTGCCGGGTTGCAGTAGGCTTGACTTACGCTTGCGCGTGTGGTGGTCGCAAGGCGAGGCGATGCGTGAATCACCCGCAGCGTGGTCGATTGTGTTTGGCTGAATGACACATTCATACTGTACCTCCGTTCATCCAGCCGTATGACTCCGGTTCCTTCACTCGCGTAGGCGCTCGGCGCGGCCCGTTCCGCAGACCTTCTCTCATCATCTCCCTCCCTGAATTCCCACCCGAGACTGATACTCCGTGTCTTGACGCCTTGATACCTTGTTTCCAAGCCGTCTATCCGTGAATTGAGCACTGGTCTCGGCGCACCGCGAACGTTGACGCACCAGCGTAAATCTCTTGATTCGGCGCCAGTCAAACTGAACGCCGAAGAGGCCGATGGTGCGAAATGTGGCATACAGCCGTAATACTCCCACCTGTCCGTTAGAGCGCATAATTAAAATGAACCGCGTCGGTGCGGATCAGACTTCCACCCGCCACCATATCGCTTGCCAGCCAAGCCAGCCAAGCCGCCCAACATCCTTCATGCTCCATTTCATATCAACGAGTGCCCATGCCGCGTCTGAGCCACCGCAATGATGCAAGTTTCCAACGTCACGCCGGCATCGGCGTCAGTGTCTACAGGTCATGTACGGAGCTGCGGACGACGCCGAAGGCTCATCAGGATATGTACGGGGAACGCCGATCGACCCCGCGCCTTCACCACACCCCGCCGTGTCCCCACGAAGCTTAAGTGACAGCGCGCTTACGCTGTAGACCCCTATGGACCTCTGTGGGACGTCTGCGATGGAGTGCCTCGTATGAGCTGGGCCCGCACCCGTGCACTTGAGAGCGCATCATGGGATTGCCCGACCTTGAGGCTCCCATCCCACCATCTAAAATAAGGGGAACATCGGCGAAAACACAGACCAAAGGGGTTAGGCGTTGTGGGAGAAGGCTCGGGGAAAGCGCTAGATCGGGAAAATCGAGATACTACGTTTGATCGGAGATGAAGCCGAAGGGGCGCGAGAGACGAGAAAGGAGAGCAGCGGGCGCCTAGGAACGCCCCGGCGTCTCTCTTCGGTCCGCGTTATTCTGTTTGTGCGATCGCGGACGATGAATCTCACGACGAATTTCATAGAGGAATTGTGATCGGAATCGAAATCGAAATCGGGCAGAATGGGAGAGATAGAGGTGGACAGATAAAGGTGCGTGAGATAGACGACTTGGGAGTGTAGATGCGTGGCCGTTGATCACACAACATGAATAAGCATACAGTGATCTGCATGCGATGATTATTCTGGTCGTGAGCATCTTCAATTGGACACCTAGGGGCAGACGCAGCGAACACCAGGAAAGGGTAAAACAGCACTCAGCTGGTCGAGCGCTGCTCAAACGGAGTGCGCCCTAGCTTGCTTCCGACCGAATGACAAGCCATGACAGAATACAAATGAAGCAAGCGAGTGGCCACATGTTATGGTGACCTGGAGTCCAGTAGCTGGGAGACACCAACCGACGCATACTCACGGAGTAGCCTTGTTCCGATAGCCTTCCTAGATAAGGGTGCATCCCAACAAGAGGATAACGAGCCTCAGTCTGGACACGTTGTTCCAGACAGAAAGTGATCTTCCGAGCTAGTTCTAGCGTCCGTATGATGTCGCAACCAAAGCATTGGATCCTGAAAAGAGGCAGGTGAGGGACGCAGAGGCCAGATAGCTGCAGAAAACCTGGAGCTGGAGATCTGGGTGCCTGGACGTGTGAAAAGTGGGATGCGAGACGGATGCGGGGACAAGGCAGACAGAGGAGCAGGGTGCAATGTTGAGATGAAGGGAAGGATGTAACGGAGAAATCGAGATACCGCGCCTGATCGGAGATGTACTGCTGGTCGCGGCTGATGAATTTCACTCGAGAGTGGGGTGGGTGCACACTGAATGCGGAATCTGGTGTGGAGTGCGATAGGAACAGACTTCAACTTCGGTCTTCGATTGTAGACGAACCTGTTGTCCCTAAGGATGCTTAGTCCCAGGTTGAAACAACACTCCACCTTCCAGAGAACGCGTATCATTGTAACGCCAATGTGCAGACAAGAAAACGTAACAGAACTCGTGCTCACCAGGGTGCATTTCAGAATCAAGTTTGTCTTCCCGTCAGTCTAGACCCATGACGCAAAAATGATAGAAAGGGGTCCATGCCACATGACGCCAAACAAGGCTCGCTCCCACGGCTTTCGGCAAAACGATATATGGAGGAAGTTTCGCCCCGAACCTGTTTATGCATTCAAGGCGCAACGCGATGCTTATAGCCACAGACACGAGATCAGCCCGGCCTATATATGGGCTGATGAGGTACCAACGCGGCGCCAGCGTGTATGTGCGTGTCGCCCCAGATGCTACAGTCAATCGACCAATTAACTCGGGCGAGTGAGCCGAGTATATTGTGCGCCAAGCCTCAGGCGAGTAATGAGTGGGAGTGAACGCGGAGGATCATTCGTGGGATCGTAGCCTAGAATGCGGTTGGCGCTCTGAATGAGTGGATCCGTGAGGCCCTGAATTAATAATCCCTTGAGTAGCAATCTCTGTGAGTTCAGATCATCTCGTATTTTGCATGAGATACTTCGCTGCTGTGTATCTGGGGCAGCGCATTGGAGCTCCCACTCGAAATGAGAACTTGCAATTGCGAGGAGAGTGGCGTGGGCGAGAGGCTTGAAAGAGAGCGAGACCTGGATCAGTCGCAATGAGACAGGGGGTGAGAACGGCTGTAGACGACAGGCACATCGCCAAACCACTCCATCCCAGTCCTCCCAGTCTAACCGATCATCTGGGGATGGTGCATTCCGTACCCCGATGCTGACTGGTATACTCCTCCGTTGCGCTTCTTGCTTCCATTCATCCGTCAAGCTCGGAACATGCCCATAGTTCACATACCTGGTATCAATGTGGTAATATGTCTATCCGCTCGGCAGCCTGACTTACCTGGTTACTTGGTATGAACTGGTCGTATCCAACCGCGGCGCCGCCGGAGGCCAGAAAGCAAAACCTCGATACAAAGCGGCAGAGTCACCAAGACGCACAGTCCCGATAGGAACTACGCGAAGCAGGATCGGGCGAGATTGGGATTCAGGAAGGGGAAGAGACGGAACAAAGACGGTGAGCCAATCTCGAGGAGGTCAAGAATTGAGTCATATCGGGCAGCATCGGGCACGCTAAGGGAAAAGACATACTACGTTTGGCGGGATCGTCTCACGCGGATGACGTGCGTGTACCCTGAAGGAATGGCAAGTGCTGATTTTGGGCGGAGAGAAGGTGAGAAGATGAGTGGAATGGGGAAATAAGAAGGCGTTAAAAAAGGCGCGAGAGGAGGGATGAAAGAACGAGAAGGGCTTCTGGGTTGGTTACGGGTGCTATTGGATCGGGGAGGGCTGTGAGAAATGGACTATTCCTAGATGGGTGAAAGGGTGTGGAGAGCAATGACGAGAGTGTGAGATGAGGGAAGTTGTTCGAGAACTCAGGACATGGTCCACAGAGAAGAGGAAGCAATATCGGGAGATAGGAGTCTGGAGATGGGCTGTAAAGAACTTGCATCGGGTGCTGTGGCATGGAGAGATCGAAGAGTGCTAGGGAGTGTTCACGACCAATGGCTATGGATAGATATGGATCGCAGTCCATCGCATCGGCGCTATCCAGCAATGAGGGTTGGGAGAATGCTTGAGCCACGGCACCAGAAAGAGGGATCTTTCTCGTGTCACAATACGTCTTCATGACGGTCCCGATGATACTCGTTTTATCTTGACATGGGTTGTTGTACTGAAAATTGCCTCGGGGATCGGTCAACATCGACATGATAGACCAAGATAGAACTCGTTTCGTTCCCGAGGCAAACCACCATACAGTACACGGTCTCGTACCTTGACACGTCCAGCATCGAACATGCATAAACGTACGGGCTGGCAGGCGCCTCGGGTGACGCCGATTCGCTCATATCTCTCCTCTTAATCTTCTACGGCTCGCGTCTTGCCTCGTGGCCCGTGCATCCTGCTTCGCTAGTCGGAAGAGCGGCGAATACTCCCATCCGTATGGGAATTTTGAACAGTGAAGCTGGGGTGAACACGAAGAGAAGAGTCGGGCGACAATCAGCATGAAGACCACACAACGCCACGAAGGCATGAGGCAGGTCGCAACACGAGTGTTGCGCGCGTCTGCATCATCGACCGTGGTTCGCGGGATTGTCCATGGTCAATCCCTATCGTCAATCGGCCGATCGAGATCGCAGACGCCTGTTGGGCGCTGAGAGTCAGAGTGAGCGTCCAAGCTAAACACTTTGACAAGTTCTGTCAACTCGCGGCAGTGTCGTGGCACAAGCGGAGAACATACTATTTCTGTCTGTGGCGCTCAAGATGTGGCAATCAATCGTCCTCGAAACCTCGGTGATGTTCCCGCATCATCGCACTGAAGAGTGCCGAGAAGAGACGTCTGTGATCATGAGGTTCCGAGTCTACTGCAGGAAGTCGAATGATTGACGACATTATAATGGCTCAAATATGATCAAAGATAAAATATATGTCGCCTCCATAAAATAGGGCCAGTGTGCACAGTGCATATTGTTGTTGATATTGAGGTGTATTTGCAGTAGAAGTTATCATGCTTGTCCCCGACTCCCTGTATGTCCCTCTTCAGTCAAAAACGGATAAAACGTTCTGACCACGTGCAAGACCTGACTATAAACTGCCCCAAAAAGGGCGATCAAAAATTCGGAAATTGGAACAAATTGATCATCATCTGAATCGACTGCTCTCTCTCTTCCCCCTCTGTTTCCTCCTCCCTCCGTTTGAAACTATTTCCCGCGCGCAAAAAAATCTTGCAACATTCGAGCTAAGATTTCTCAAGCAATGTCGACCGAGATATCAGAAAAGCCTGTTGAGGCGCCCGCGACACAAGCAGTCGAGTCTGTGCTCGAGTCCGCTGCTCCTCCTGTTCCTGTTCCAATTTCTGAAACTCCGGAGGCTACTAGTGGTGCGGCAGACGCGGTTACATCCGATCCTAGCGAAGATTCCACTACCGAAGAGGAGAAGAAGGTCAAGGCGGCCCGTCAAGGTGTGTTTCCCATGTCGTAGCGGACGAAATGCGAGGGCGCCGGGAGTGTTGAGACGTGGAAATCATGTGTTCCTACATAATGTGGTATTCATTGTTTTCTTACTTTTATCAGTGGAATTCTACTTTGCGGACTCGAATCTACCTTTCGACAAGTGCGTTTTTTCATCCTGTTCGCCCCCTATTTTCGTGATTTCCCAATACATACCTTGAAACTTCAAATTACCATTTATCAACAAATCGTTGCGTTGGAACTCCATGCATGCTTTTCACGAAATGGCACATTGTTAAACGGCCTCCCTTTCGCGCACAGGTTCATGTGGACCCTTCACACTGCAAACGCAGAACATTGGGTGCCCATCGCGACCGTCGCGTCGTTCAAACGCATGCGCGAGTACAAGGACATGGGTCTCCCATGGGTCGTTGACTCACTGCGCGCCAGCACGGAGCTCGAGGTCGATGAAGCCGGCGTCAATGTGCGTCGACGCACAGAAGTGCGTGAGCCGAAGGGACAGTTCGAGCGCAGCGTGTACGCGGTGAGTCAGACGTGCTCTTAACGTCCTTGCGACCAGAGCGTCATTCGGCGTTGTCGCAAATTGATCGGTGCTGACGATCGGAAACAGAAAGGTTTCGGGAAAGAGGACTCTGAAATCCAGAGGAAGCTTGAGCAATTTTTTGAACAATACGGCCGGGTCAACGCCGTACGCATGCGGCGCGTGGAGGGGACGAAGGAATTCAAGGTGCGGTCAATCTTCACAGCCGACCTTCACTGGGAAACATCGGCTCACCTGCCTCTCGGCTCGCTTGTCTGTGCACCCATAGGGCTCCGTCTTCGCAGAATTCTCTGACTTCAAATCGGTCGCCGCCTTCCTCAACGCCGAACCCAAACCGACATGGGGCGGAGAACCTCTCCTCACGATGAGCAAAGAGGACTATGTCGACATGAAAATCAAAGAAAAGGGCTTGACCGGCAAATCTGCCGCGGCCCGTCGGGACGATTCCTCAAACCGCAAGGGTTTCAACGCGTTCCGCGAGATGCGGCTTGCGAATGGTAAAGGGAAGGATGGAAAGAAGGGGGAGGACAAAGAGGTCTGGTTGCAGTTTATGGGAAACAAAATTAGAGTCTTAGAGGAAGACGGGGGATCGGTCAAAGGGGAAGACGTCCCGCGTACCAAGGGCGCGACTCTCAAGTTCTCAGGCTGCGGCGGCGAGGCATCGTTTGATGACATCAAGGTACGCCCCTTTCATGATCAATTCGCTCTATTCAATTCCGTGCCGCACTGCGCTGAAACTGCCCCCTCTCGTGCCGCATGTAGAAACCGCTCAAAGAGCGCTTTTCTCGCGCACCCTTCGTGAAGTATACTCGCGGCGAGGACTCCGGGCTCGTCGGGTTCGACAAAAGTCTCTCAGATGAAGAGATTGCGTTTGTCCGAGATTCAGTCAAAACACTGAATGGGAAACCCGTGACGTGGACCGTGGCGGAAGGTGCGTGGTCTCTCACACGGGGTCCTTACTCCTAGGCATAAAGCGTGCTAGTCCGCTATATGTTTGCTGACTGTGATTGGGGATACAGAGGATGAAGAACGCACGTTTGAGGTTGAGCGCGCCATCTCGGCGGCAAAACAGGTCCTCAGGAACGCGTCTTCCCCTTTGCGGGGACGGGGACGGGGTGGAGCCGGCGACCGCGGTCGCGGTGGCCGTGGTGGCCGTGGTGGTCGTGGTAGCCGTGGCGGTCGCGGCGGTCGTGGTGGAAATGGTGCACGCGGAGGACGAAATGGAGAGAAAAAGAGTGATGCTGCAGCTGAGGGAGGAGCTGCTGGTACAGGCGACGAGCAGACGGGTGAGAAGAGGAAGCGCGCAGTCGAGCCTGACGGCGCGCATGATACTGGCGTACGTGGCCAGAGCGTGCCGTCTATTGTCAGTGCACCGAAAAAGGCAAAGGTCGATGGCGACTCATGAAATTCGTTCAAAACACGCACGATACTCGACGCGAGCTGCTTCACCATATGTTGTGCGTGTTAGTGTCCTGGAGATGATCTATCTAGACTTGTACGTGTTGTTCCAGGTGCCAAGCGTCTGGTGACCAATTCCAAGATGGAGCTGCCCAAGATTCTACGGACATAGTTGGCTTGATTATCTCACGGCAGATGTGACCGAATATGAGCTCGTATTCCTATTTTGGTCTTATCTTCTGTAAGTTGTGAAGAATTACGAGCCCTATGATGGAGCATCATATGTTTCAAGGTGTTGAAAGTAATACTTAAGCTATCACACAAGGACATAGTCTTTCTAATTGTTTAGATTTCTTATCACTGTCCCATCCAAAATAAAATCTGCTGGTATGACCTGGGTCCTATTGTTGGAACAATTATAAATAGATCTTGGAATATGTTGTGCTACCCTATATCTCTTATTGTTTGAACTCAGCCCTTGCTGCATAGGGAGAAACTCATTTATGTTTGGCTTGCTAAAAATAAAACACAAGAGCCAAGGTCGAACAATAAGAGATATAGGGTAGCACAACATATTCCAAGATCTATTTATAATTGTTCCAACAATAGGACCCAGGTCATACCAGCAGATTTTATTTTGGATGGGACAGTGATAAGAAATCTAAACAATTAGAAAGACTATGTCCTTGTGTGATAGCTTAAGTATTACTTTCAACACCTTGAAACATATGATGCTCCATCATAGGGCTCGTAATTCTTCACAACTTACAGAAGATAAGACCAAAATAGGAATACGAGCTCATATTCGGTCACGTCTGCCATGTCTCGATTGCTGGAGAGACTGGAGTGACAGCATGTGACTCGGACGCTAAGTGTCACGTGTCGCACCAGCGCGTCGAGTCGCGACCCGTCGCGACTACTGAGACTTGGTCAGCACTCCAGAGCATCTTCTTGCGAATCTAGTACGTGGTTCCTCCTCACATTGCAACCACAACGATTCCACGACGCTCTTACACAGCACTTGGCCCTCCAGGAGCTATCGAAATCTCTGATGATGAAGTCATCTCAATCGAGGACAGCGATGCTGTAGAAGAGCATGATCCTTCCGCGGGCTCACAGCGATCGAATTATTTCTCCAACAATATCAAAGTAATTGACTCTCTGGATTTAAATGCCCCGTTGGCACCGGCTTATATTTCCATTCATTTTGACAGAGAGACCTCGCGGTAATCTTTCAGGATAGTCTGAAGTTCAAGGGCACCTTTGCATGCACTCGTTCGTATTCCACGGGAGATGTACCCAACCCATGCCTGAGTATTGCCGGTCTCGGGCCTATCGGTCTTCCTCTTAACGACCGAGAAGCTCGCTCCATAATCACATTGTGCGAACTGGGCAGTATCTCAGCCGAATGTCGTGGTGGCATTTAGGAGATACTTGCTGAACAAGTGATTTTAATCGCGTCGAGATGTTTGCTAGACCTGATGCTAGACCTTATGCATTTTATCGTAGATCGATTTCAAGAATTCAGCTTGGAATACTTGGCTCAATTCAAAGCTCGTTCCCGTCATCTGCAAGGATCTTGACACCAACGGAAGCGTCCCTCCGAATCTTGTGCTGAACAATCTGTCGATGAGAGGGGTCAGCTCTCAGTAAGTTTACTAAACCATCCGCGACTTCTTTTTCACTCACCGTTATGCCTTGTAGGGTCATGAAGCCAAAGAAGTGAGCACAGGTTATCGTTCGATGCACCGCGCATCAGTCTCAATACCTATTCAGCATCAACGATAAGGACACAGCATTTGGAATGCTCCTCATAACTCTGCCTTCCGAATTCACAGGAGGAGAGCTCCTCTTCTCCCATGCCGGTCAAACAAGAAAAGTCGACTTTGCTCCCAATAGCTCGTCCGCAACTCACATCGTGGCATCCTACGTCGGAGTCGAGCAGCTGCTGCAGCCCGTCACAACGGGAAACCATCTCACATTGTCTCACAGCCTTCTGCAGCCTCGCACTCACATGAAATCTTTTCCCGCATTGCCAGACACTTCCCGTGCCAGGAGAAGGCTGCGCAAGGTCCTGCGTTCTTGGAAGCAAATCGATGACGAATCAACACCACGGGTCGTGACTTGTCTACTCAGGTACAAGTATTCTCGGAAGACCAGTTTCAGTGCGAAAAGCTTGATCCGCTCGGACGCGAATCTGATCAGTCTCCTTCGTCCCATTGCGGCCGAGCTGGACTTCGAATTGTATCTGGCGCACATCGATTTCAAGCGGTCAATCCCGGCCTCGGCACCAGAACATGAATCTGACCGAGGTGGTTACGATACCTCGGATGCCGAGTGCGACCGAATGATCGACAAAGCAGTCAATGTGAACAGCCTGGAGGTGGATGAAACGGAGGATGAGTGGGAGGAATGCTTCAGCATTCGTCGGATTATGGACCTGGATGGGTTACCTGTCAAAGTCGAGGGGCTTCCCATCGAGATGGATGATTTTATCAATGGATCGTGGAAGAACAGAACCCCCGATAAAAAGTCTTTTGTGGAGGCGGAGATTAGCTTGGGGGTTAGTTCCACCCAAACACTTTGTGTGATTGATCCTGAACCATTTTTTCTAGTTCGGGACACTTACACATAGTGCGGCTTCCTTTATCCATCTATTATTTATAACTGACGGCACTTTGTACAGTGTATCAACGCGTCGCGCTTCTCCTGTGGCCCAAAAGCAGTGGGCTGGCTGTCACGGTCGGCGACGTTCGGGACTACGCATCACATGCCTTGAAGAAATACAAGTCCCTCGAACCGACAACTCGAGAAGTCAATCTAGTGAACAATCTTCTCCGATGGTGTTCTAGACAGTCAAAGAGCCAAGATAATGCAAAGGAGCTGATCATTGCTCTCGGCGCTCTTCGGCAGTAGGCGGAACGATGGAACGAAGTGGATTTACTCTTGGAAGCCCTGCAGAGCTGTGGCGTTGACGAGGACATTGGTCTGTTTGGCATAGAGAGTTTCATCTCTGCATGTCAGACTTTCGGATGGGACGTAATGCGAGAGTTGTAAGACCATCTCCTTTACACTGAGCCTCAATTCAGTGTTTTGTTGACGGCTCGATCACAGCTGTACGACCTCGATCCAGAACGACAAATCAAACCTGCGTCGTCATACGCTCGTGCAAAGTCTCATGGTCCTTGCCAAAGAAGAACACAACGACGAACTTGTGAGGTGGTGTGTCGAACAAGGGGATGTTATTTATCAGTCACTGAAGACCGTCAATGCCGATGAGATCGACTGGTTAGTGGAGATTGCGAAAGATCGCGGCGCAGATTATTTTCGGAGCGTGTAGGAAGTCTTTGCGCCTCTTTTTGTGCCTTCGCTCATCTATGACCTACAGTATTATCCCTCAGCTTCTCGTGCAGCCGTTGGTATACACATTCTGGCTGCCTTTCTTCGCGCGGCTCGAACAGGAAGGGCTGGATATACCCCGTGCATCTCCTGAGGCTATCACCAACATGATCTCGCAATGCGTTGCGCATGCTGTTACAACCTTCCCAGCATTTCCGGTGAAACAGGTCAAATATTACTCTTCCGTTGTGGACCGAATGGACATCGATTTGATCATGGAGCTGATCGAAGTCTGCGTGAAGACCAACGAAGTTTCGTCGTCTTCGCCAAACTGAAAGATGCTTCCTTGAAGGGGCCACGTCACACAGACCCTCGCGCTGTGGAATATTACAGCGCTCTGATCACGGATATTGATCGATACCTTGACAACAATCCCGGCTTGGATGCTTTTACCGCAACCTTCACGGATTTCTTCATCGTCGGTGTCGGCGTGCTACTGCACCCTCCACCGAATCACAGGTGTAGTGCAGGAGAAAATGAACAGCGCGTGAAGCTCCTAATATTAGCCGTACAGCGGGCTGGTGGTGTGTCGATGCTGAGAGAAAAGTGCGCTTTTCCTCTGTTTCGACCGTTCCTGTTCCTTACGACTTGACACTTCAGGTTGACCGCGGATCAGGCGAAATGCATCACACACTATCCTCCGAGACAACTCGCGCTCTCGGTTGTTTCGTCCCTGAAGCCTTCACACGAGGGCCAGCGAGCATCCAAAGACTATCGCACCCTCGTCGACGATCTGGTCCATGCGACCATCACTTCCTCCTACCGCCATCTAAACTCTTCTGGGGGTGAACCTGAGCACATAGCAATCGAACTCGTCAAGTTCTGCGTCAAGACCGGTGCTACATCACAGTTCAGCTACGTCGTCGCATGCCTCATCACACCACCCCCTAGAATGGTCATCTCCCCGGACTCTCTGATTTCATTTGTCAGGATGCTCAAACAGCTCCTCCTGCTGAAGACAATCGACCTCGCAGCAGAGCCCTGGAGAAGGATCTTCGTGGCGACAGTCGAAGGCTTCGCGAACAAGTTTATGACGCCAAAGCCACAGGAATTAGTTCCTGCTTCCCAGCTGCAGAGAGTGGGCTGTGGATGCAATGAGTGCACAGAGCTGCAGAACTTTTTCTTCGGCGGTAAAGATGTAATCTCATTGGCCAAGAAAAAAAGGGCGCGGGCCCATCTCGTAGACCGTCTCTCATTGACCGAAGCGTGGGGCGTGAAATGGGAAACGATCGAAAAAGGGAAACGGGAAATCTTACGGGTGATTCCGCTCTACCTTCTACCTACACAGTTGGTGTTCCGTCCTATTAACTCTTGATCAGGTCAGCAAACCGGCGGACATGCGAGCCATAGGACTGTGGTCTGCTGTTAGCGCAAAGGGCCAAAGTCTGCTCATATTGCTCGGAAACAAGGAGGAGCAACGGCAAATCCTCGGCAGCGCGTTCACAAACGTTCATGCAATGATATTCGGCACTATTCCGCCTCCCGTTGCTCGAGGACCGGTCGCCCTTGTCGGAAAGAAGAGACCTTCGACGGTGACGGGCAGTGCCCCCGATCCGAAGCGACGGAAGCACAGCATATATTAGATACTAAGATTATACTCGTCTGCCGAAGTCGTCATCAACATGTATGTTTCTTTAGCTCAATCACATCCTTCACAAGTCGCCACGAGCCACGCAGAGCACACATCAGGAATGATGTTGTATTCGATCTGTTCAAAGACCGAGCGGCATAGCAGCCATGCGTCAGATATGCAGTGTCTCTGTGCTCCGCGAGCAAAGACATGCGCCCGATCTTCCCCTCGAGACGATGCAAAGCAATCGTCTTGGCTTGAATGGGCCTTACTGTCTGCTCGAGAGAAGACCGAGGCTTTGAAATGAGACGGGCCAAGACCGCACGCAGCATCGGAGTAGTGAAGCCATTCGAGAGCGGACTCTGGCTCTCAAGACCAGCTTCTTCAGGAAAGGGAACAGGAAGAGATGCTCGGAGGACAGGACACGTCACTGCGCATCTGGCGTCCTCGTCGAGCGACTCGACGCCAAGAGTGCACACAAAGCTGCGCCAGGTGGTCGATAGTAAACTGGGGATTGGTTGAGAAGGTCGCGGTGGCAAGCTTCAACGGTCAGACAATCCTGAGAAGGAAGAAGGCGGCGTGGACGCCACAGTGAGAGCCGACGCTTGCGTCGAGGCGTCACGTCAAAAAACCGTGTCTGAAGAGGCGAGATCGGTTCCTCAGCCAGGTCCAGTCTAGGCCGGCGACCCTACCGCTCCAAACGTGTTTGATGTCTTCTTTCAAGATGATTTACGCGCTGCTGACAATTGTTCGTTCGCAACGTCCGTGCGTCGCGAGCCAGCAGACACGAACACGGCGGTTCGTGTGAACCTCCTATCCTACTAGCCATGTCTCCGTCGAGACCACTTCGGCACGTCCCCAGTTACGACGGTAGATCACCCTGATCATGAACAATGCAGATGCCTCGACTGGCGACGAGGGGGATCGAGTGCGTACATGGGCCGGAAAAGAATCAGCGTCGAGAGGAGCATCAAGATCGGTGCGGTCGCGCGAGGGGCGGGCAGTCTCGGGACGCGTTCACCCCGTCTCCGCGTCTCTGGGAAATCAAGGATGTATGGATGGGGTCGTCTGAGAGACCTGCGGCCGGACACCTGGCAACGACGAGATCGGGGCCCATGACGACGAAACCAGCACATCGAGGGGGGACAGCTACTTGGTGCTTCCATGATGATTCATTCATCTTCCAGGCTTCAATGATCCGCAGCGTGGATAGCCGTTCAACGTACGGCGACCAGCCTCCGCCCGTCCCGGCCCGGCCCGAGGGCGATCGAGAGCTATCGAGAGCGTTGACGCAGGTTGACACTTGCACCGTTGGGCAGGACAGGGTGCTCGGTATATAGGAGAGACCCATCCAATCGATTCGTCATCGACTGTTTATCAGTCTGCTGAGGAGACGAGGTGCTCGGCTCCGGCGTCGATACCGTCGTCGAGAGGTGTATTTGCGGGAAGAGCGTGGGGGAGCATCGATCGGCGGCCGAGGCGTCTGGCGGTCTCTGGGCGACGGCGGGTGCGGGGAAGCCCAACTGAGCGCCGACGTGCGGCTTGATATGGAGGTGCGATTGTGTAGTCGGGGCGGTATGCATGGTTGATGACAAGGGCGTACCGACGAACCCATCGATCAACACAGCATCTTCACGTCGCTTCGTAGTAGTTCGTAGTATGACGCCGGATATGATTCGGGAGCAGCGTGGCGTCGCCGCGTCGTGAGCCCGCGATTGTAAGATGGGATGACGGCACAAAGAAATGCGGTTTAGTTCCGTGCATCGACGAAAGACAGGGAACCGACGTGGAACGGAGCAGAAGGCGAAAGAGGAGGACGGAAGACAATGGGCGCTGACTAAGCGGGACGGATGTTGCTGTTGCTACGGGATCGAGTCGCTTTGTCTTGCTTTGGTGCCTATTGTTGGATTGTGACCACGCCACGGCTTTGTAGTAGTCCCCTGATCAACCGAGCAAGATGGCTGGCTCCACACTTGCGTGCACGCGCCTCGCCCGGTCGTATATATATACCCCCCGTTCGCACCTCTGCCCTTTCTCTCAAAATACAAACGACCCCTTGCACGCATCTCATTTTCTCTTCGTCTCACATTCACCACACTCTCTGTCGAGCCGCGCTCTCATCAGTAACCTTCACTCTCTTGAATAACGGTCAACGTACACGATCACACACCCTCAACTCCCGAACGAACCCAGCCTACCATGGTCCACCTCTCAGCTTTCCTCGTCGCCCTGGTGGCGGTATCTACCACCACTGTGCACGCGGCCCCTGGCCCGCTCACAAAGCGCATCGCGCAGACCATCTCCGACTCCACGAAAAAATGGGAGGCGGCCTGTGTGCGTACCCACGCGCGTCCCCGCTCGCGTTCGATAGTACTAACACCCAAATGCCACCGCAGGACACCGCCGGCGGCGCCCAGCAATGCAACAGTATCGCCGTGACCGCGTTCGGCACCCTCCTCGCCGCCGCCGGGTGAGTGCCACCGCGTCCCCGCGTCTTATCTGCGCCTAATCGACACATCGTCTACACAGCCCCTGCGATCAGCAGGACAATGCCGACAAGATGATCGACCTCGCGAAGCAACTCAACAGCGATGCCGACATGATCAAGTTTGCGCAGATCTTTGCACAGCAACCGCGCAACACGGTGCGTCCCCGCCTTTCGCACGGGCTCGCTCACAGTAATAGCACCATGCTCACATTGCCGTCATTTTTCATTCTTTATTGCCCGTCTGCAGCCGACCTCGCAGAGCGTTCCGTACTGCCAGACCGCGCCCAAGAACGCCGAGCTGAACGGGCTCTATCAGTGCCAGTTCGCAGGCGCGAACCCGAAGACGTTCGTCGGCGGCACCGCGGTCGGCGGCGCGGGCACCGTCCCACTCGGCATGTCCGCTCCGCTGTCCCCCGCGGGCTCGTGCCCCGCCCACCCGGCGGGCCCTATCGCCGACGGCACTCAGCTCGCCGACCAGGTCTCCTCCTCCGGCGCCGGGTCGAGCGCGGGCTCCTCGAACAGCACTAGCGGTAGTGATAGCGGAAACTCTACTGACTCGGGCGCGTCCGGATCGTCTGACGGCTCGGGTGACGAAGACTCGGGCGACGACTCGCAATGCGGCGACGCCCCTGCCACTGCCCCTGCCACTGCCACTGTCACTGCGACTGTTACTGTTACCGTCACCGCTGGTGGCGCCTCCGCCACGGCCACCGCTGCGCCTACTTCCAACTCGTCCTCCACCGCCTCGAGCGCAAACTCGAGCTTCCTGCTCCAGAACGGCGAGGACGCCCAGGCATTGAACAAGAAATTCTCCTCGCTCGACGCAAACTCCACCTGCACCGGTACGTCTCCGCCCCTCTCTCCCGCCCCGCTCTCCCGCACCCGCTGACCTCGTCTGGTCGTTTCGTTTCGTGACGCATAGAGGGCGACCAAGCCTGCATCGGCACCGCGTTCGCGCAGTGCGTCGGCGGCGCGTTCGTGCAGACGCAGTGCTCGAGCACGCTCGTGTGCGCCGCGCTCCCGCTCGTGAACAAGGCCGGCACCACCATCGCGTGCACGACGCAGGCCGACGCCGCCTCCCGCATCGCCGCCACCGGCGCGACGGGCGGCATCGCCGGCGACAGCTCCTCTGCGGCGTTCTCCTCTTCCCCAGCCTCCTCCGACGCGGGATCCAGTAGTGCGTCGGCGTCGGCGTCGGCGGCGGGGGCGGGGGCGACGTTCGCGGCGACTTCGGGTTCGGGGTCTGGGTTCCTGCTCCAGAATGGGAAGGACGCGCAGGCGCTGAACAAGCAGTTCCAGTCTCTGACGGCCGACTCGTCGTGCACTGGTAAGCATCCTTCCATCGCCCCGTCGCCCCGTCCATTTCCTCCCTCATCATATCCCCTCCATCTCATCTACCTCACCCCACCCCATCTCATCCCATCTACCTGATCATCTCTTCGTCGCCTGAACGCTGTGCTCACACACTTTTTTTTTTTTTTTGCCGCAGATGGTCAAAATGCGTGCATCGGCGACGCGTTCGCGCAGTGCGTCGGCGGCGCGTTCGTCCAGTCGCAGTGCGGCAGCGGTCTCACGTGCGCCGCGCTCCCACTCGTCAACTCGGCCGGCACCAGCATCGCGTGCGTCACACAGGCCGAGGCCGCTTCGCGCATCGCCGCCACCGGCGCTACGGGCGGCGTTACGGGCAACTGAGCCGCTCCGCCCTGCTCCCGCTTCCATCCCTCTCCTGCTTCCCCCTCTCTCGCTTCCCCCTCACCTCATCCTTGCTGACCGCTTGTTCCGTTCGCTTCGTTCGTTCGTTCGTTCGTTGACGTGAATCTGCTATGACTTCGCACACATACCTCCCCTCCTGCTCTTTACTTATCATGATTTAATCTGCGATAGAAATGTACGTTCCCCGTCGCGTCGCGGCGCGGTCGGTCTTGTAGCTTAGTGGTGGCTTGCTGGGTCCACGCTCCCTGGGCGGCGCTTTTCCGGTATGTATCGTAGAAGGACAGGATAGTACAGTAGTATGATATGATTGCTATATGACAGATGATATCTTGCGCGCTGTGCGTCTTGGTGCCCCTTGAGTCGACTCATGGCTGGATGCTCCGGGTCTCGTCTCGAGCGGTGCAACACAACCTGAGTATAGTCATGTTACGTTTACCGGAATTCTATATCGTTGTTCGAAGGGAAAGCAGTGCGTGCATTTCCATTCCGCGCCATCTTCACACAGTCAGCATGGCTCGACAACGTGACATAGAATGAGCACGTAACCCGCCACCACCGACAAAGTTCGAGCTACAGTAATCATTCGCGTCTGCGCACACGCTTTGGATATCAAGATCCGAGCACCCACCGCCCGCGCCGTCCTTCAAAGGAATTCTCTCGGGACCTTCCGTAGCCCCATCGCCTCGAAGCCCTCAGAGCCCGGCCGCAGCGACACCGCCTCCCCAAACACGACGAGCTCCTCGAGAGCCAACCCGTCCGCCGCGCGCGCATCCACCGCGTCCTTTAACGCCACAAAGAAACTCTTGTTGAGCCGCGCGCCAAACGCGGGCGGGCGGTGCTCGAATTCGAGGCGCTTCAGCCCGGGACACGCCAGCTCTGTGTCGGCCGCAGCGCGCACGAGCGCCGGGGGGAAGACGTGCAGCGCTGCGCCGCGGACGCGGATGGCGTCAAGCGCGGGCAGGCGGGAGAGGACGCGCGACCAGTCGAGCGTGAGCCCGCCGAGGTCGATGAAAAGGCTGCGCACGGAGGCGACGTTAAAGTGTGCGAGGGCGGCCAGGATGGCCGGTGCGACGGCGGACGGGTCGGGGATGACGATGGATAGGACGAAGACGGGCGCGGCACCGGCGACCAGCGCGCCTGCGATCGAGAATCCGGTAGCGCTGTGCGTGATGTGGAGCGCTGCGATCGACGTGTGCGCGTGCGACGGGATGAGCGCGCGCGGGGAGAGCTCTTCGGCGGATGTGACGTAGGTGCGTACTTCGACGGACGCGGAAGAGGGAATGGCGAGGCGGCTGGTGAACATGACACAGTCGGCGAGGGTGTTGTTGGCGAAGAGGAGGGCGTTGAGGACGGGGAGGGCGACTGTTGATGGCGACGAGTCGAAGGTGGAGTCGGCGCCTGCGAGCGGTGTGCGGGACAGGGCTTGGACGAGGTGAAGGGTCTCGAGCTTAGGCATGCGCGCGAGCGCATCGAGCCACTGAGCTAGTGTATGGCGCGGGGTGCGCGTGTCGCCGTGAATCGCTAGTGACGACAACGCGGGCAGGATTGGGGAAGACAGACGGATGCTCAAGCCCTTGAGGAAGAGTGCTCGTAGTACAGGGGTCTCGCCACCGAAAAGAGAGTCGGGATAAAAGGGATCGCCGAGAGGCGGAATCGAAGCGAGCTCGAGGCGGAGATCCTCGAGGAATGGCGCGGGGGTCGAGTACTGGGTCCGGAGTAACGTGTCCACGACCTGGCCCGTGAGATGCAGACTGCGCATGCGCGGTATGTTTTGCATAGCAAGCGCAAAGGCCTGCCACGACGAGTAGGGGTTTTCGAGAGCATCGAGATTAAACCGGACATCGATCGACATAGGTTGCGAGCGCAACAATATCTCTTGCATCCACGGCAACGTGGGAGAAGATATCCCCAGCCAGAGGTAGGGCACATTGAGTGCGATGATCCGCCAGCGGCGACAGACATGGGAGATAGCTATCCAGCCAAGGTCGTGGGATTTGGGGGGTGTATCAGCTCGGCAGAGGAGCGGCACGAGCTCAAAGATGGAGATGAGGAGCTCGGGGGCCAAACGGGAGATCGGCGACGACGCCGATGACGACGTGTGGTTGAGGATTGAAAGAAGGGAACTCTGTGCGGCAACCCGGTATGAATGAATGTCTGAAAATCATATGTGGAGCATGCTGACCATACGCCATGTCTGCGGCAACCACTGCTTTGGAAGCGCATCCAACATCGATAGACTTTCAACGCGTTTCAGTGAGTTTTGTGTGTCAGGGATTTTTCGGGTTTGGATGGTCAATGCGGGGACTAATCGTTAAATACTCAGAGGTCAACATGTAAGAGCGCTCACGCCGTCAACGCCTATAGACACGTCGGCGAGGAGACGGACGAGCCACGTATGCAACAAGGCACGCATAGTCCTGATTTGCTTATATAACTTTATCTGAGCAGATTTGAGCTCTGTCAGAATTTGCCCTCTGACCTACTCTTGACTTCCAAAGTATTTTCACGACGTAGAGGACAGATCATATCGCAAATGGGCCTGCGACGAGTCCTCGGGGAGGATGATGCACCCAATTTTGACGAGTTCGGGACTGGCCCCGCGCTTAGTCAGCAATCTTCTCTCAAGATCTCAACTTTTGCCAGAACGCCACACCCTCAAGAGGATGCTTGGAAGAAAGGGCTCGATAGACATTCCCTCGGGTTTATCAGAGTGGATGTCACTGGAGTGTCACTCACCTACACATTAGGAAAACTTTACGCACATTGACAAGAACAGCGAGTGTTCATATCCAACATGCCGCACTGCGGCCTGTAAATTCCAAGATGTCTACATCGAGCAACGCACACGCACCGCGTCTGCCTGATTCTGCGAGCGCGCGCCGCGCACGGGGAGTAGACACCTAGATCGCAGTCCAAGAAATACTTACCTGCATGTCATCTGCAATCGTCTCACGTCTCTCAGCGCGCCTGCACAGCATCCTACGCTACGGAATGATGCCCAGACCTGATCAGACCCGCTCTCCCCCTACCCGCGCCACATCGCCTCCTGTCGTCGCCCACTCACAGCTTCCTCGTCCAAGTGACGTGCCACACACCCACAACGCCCTCCTTCTCCTTCGTCTCCCGCACGTACTCGCACGCCAGCATCGGGTCCACCCGAGGACCGAGGCCCATCGACATCCCCAGCGCGAACCCGCCCGTGATGTTCCAGAACACGTCACCGAGCTTCGCGAGACCGTCGCGCGTCTCGTCGTCGAGCGCCTCCGGCGTGGAGATGTACGGCCTCCCAATGGGGACCGCGAAGCGCTCCTCGACGGGCTCGGCGAAGCACCCTAAAGCACGGATGAAGTGCGGGATGAGCAAGGGGATGGGCGTAGCCTTGCCGCTGAATCGCGAAACATTGTCATGGTGAGTGACGATCGGACGCGGATGGGGAGGATCAATGAAAACGAGGGATGTACGCGTACTTGAATTTGTCGCGCACGGCGCGGAAGAAGTTAGCAGTGTGCGGGATGTAAGTCTCAGGATTCGCAAAGCTCGGATGCGCCGGGTGCAGCGCGGGGTATGGCCCCCACTCGCAGGAGAGGAAGAGGCCGCCAGGGCGCAGGATCCGAGCGGCTTCCCTCAGCATGCGAGGGTAATCGTTAGTCTGCGCAAGGGGCAAGAGAAGGAACTTTAGATGCGGTGCACCTATCACGGCGATCGATGAAGAGAAGGGGAAGAACGAAGACTGACCCCGATCATTGTGTGCCGCGCCTGCACGAAATCAACCGAGCTGGAGGCGAACCGCAGCGGCTTCGTGACGTCCGTGATCTCGAAGCGGACGTTATCAGGCGGATATCGGGTCGCGATGGGCGCTGCATGATTGGGTTGAGAAGATGTCAGCTTGCCAACGATCGAATGTGGGGTCAAGTGGAGAAGGAGCTTCGCAGAGTTACGGCAGGAGGCATGTATGTAACAATAGAACACAAGATCTAGAGCGGGAGACAAAGAAAGCTAGAATGGCGTACCGAGATCCAGGCCGCGAAACTGGACATGCTCGAAGCGTCGAGCCATGTCCAAAACCCTACATAGGCAATGAATGTGTGAGTTCATTCAAAGTTTGAAAGCCAAAGTAAAGGGAAGCGCGCAGTTGGCACCATATGGGAATATGACGGCACGGTGATGGATTGACGCACCAGGTTCCCGTGCCAGTACACAAGTCGACCACTTTTTTCTCTCGGGTGGCAGTGTCATCGTACGCGAGGACTTCGTCGATGGGACCGTATATATTGTTCCCGAGGAGAATCTTGAGGCCTTTGTGTTCTGCTTCGAGGCGCTAGATCAACGTATCAAACAAAAATTTGAACCCTATTTATAGAGTGACTCACTTTCCACTCGACGCCATCTACAGGAAGTGGGTATGTTGTACCATGGGAATGGAAGATGAATAATCTCCTGTTGTGTTCTGAGAAGTAGCTGGGAAACTCGTCGGGTTCTGGCTCTATCATATCGGAAGAAGTAGTCGAAGCAGCATCGTCCATGTCGTCATCCGGGTCAACGTCGGCCTGGACCAGGAATGCGTCAAAGCTGCCTTCTCCGATAGGGCTAGCAGACGAGGGACCGTTCGCCTGGGGGGAAATCGAAGCACTGACAGGAGAATGCCACGACTGGTCGGAGCGATCGGGTACGATGATACGGTCAACGCCCAGATCGTTGCGGACAAGGCTGTTCTCGTTCAGGGCAACTCCTGCGGGAGACATTATGCGAGGGCGAAAAGAATGGAGAGGGTTGGGTACGCTAGGAGGTGTGTAAAACAGAGGAAAGGAGTGATCCTGTGCATCAAGGTGAATGCGAATGCGACTTTGATCGTGGGGGAAGAACGGATTGTCGTCCGCTGAAGGGGTAGAAGGGTTAGAAAAGGAGTTCATAGGGATAGTCATCGAAGGGCTGCAAGCTGCGCGGGTCGAGAGCGCACGTCGTAGAGGAAAGAAAGAAAGAGATGCAAAGGGGGCGCATCGAGCCCAGCAGAGCTTTTATTTGTCGGAGTAGAATGTACTCAGCGAGCATGAAGGGGACGATCGACCGACTATGCCCGACTTGGAGGACCAAAAGGGGAGGCTCCAGGGACGCGTGTACGCTGTTCGAGATCCAGCGAGCGAGGGCGGAGTGTTTGTTGTGCTGCGCCCTGCGACGCCTGGAAGAGAGAAGAAGATGATATTAAAATCGGACAGCCAAAATTCGCGGGGTAGGACAGATAAGGGGCGCGTTGTCCATCGAAGGATGTCGGACTACAAATTGCACACATACGGAGCAGATCCAACGGCTCACTGACCAATTTCACCGGAAAATCTCGAATTTACCCCCAGATCTGGGTCCACATGGACCCATATCGACACAGCGCCGTCGATTCTGGCTCCATATAGCCAATCCGTCAATCACAGCCTCCGCCATCAGAGATGTTCTGGGCTCTGAAACAGGGCTGTGAGGCGAAAGAACATCAATGAGAGTGCCGTAACGACGCGGAGTGGCGAAAACATGCAGCTGCAGCGCTGCACTCTATCTCAGGATGGCTGCCCCCGGACACCCTCCTCGGGGTTCTCACCATCTTACCTGCTGCATTTGGATACTATTTGGATGCATTTTTTTGCTTCCGTTTTGCTCGCCTCCGAATCGAATCCGACCTCGGCGCTCTGGCTCGACATGCTCTGACTCCAATCAGAGTAGGAAAACTTCCTTGCGCTCAATTGAGAAACTGGATTACCCCGCCAGTTTTTCACTAACCTCATTCAGAACCAGTGCGTCCTGCGGCATGTGATACTGGCAATATAGCGTATTTTGACTTGACAGTAGGAGACAGGACGCCTGGGCCGCTGGCTGGTAAATTTAATGATTTTTCAGCACCATCCAGTCTTACATCATAAGACTTATTCTCACATCAGACACTTATTGCTCCGAGCTGGTGAGTTTCGCAAAACATCGGAGGCTCCGACCGACTGGTAGACCTCACCCGAGTATGCATGCCGATAGCGACTGTTGGACCACGTATACAGGATCCCAATTCCAGAAATTGAGCATCGCTCACATGGTACCTCAACGTCAACGCTCTTGACAACACTCAATATTGAGGTTATCAGAATTTGAGGGCGTAATTAACTGTCTAAACGGGTAGAGCATCTATCTGGTAAATTGAGAACACTTCGCCTTTCTTAGACACACCTGCAGTAACCTAGATTCCAACTATCTGCTTATGGTTTCCAAGCCGAGCGTTACGCACGGCGCCCTGCACTATATCAATGGTCTAAGCCTACGTTGCGGTGCAAAGGCCCGAGCGAGTCTCATTTACCTACGCATTTTCTGTCCCTGTAAATCGAGACAATATACCCACGTTGATCGAATCACTCACACACTCCATTTTTCTCGGATTCAGACGTCAGAGCTCGGGGCGCTTCATTTATGACGACTTCTGAACTCGATCCGGAGAGCTGAGATCTGAGATTGAACGAGTCTTTGCATAAGTAGCTCGTTTCATCGCGCCGTCCTGACTTCATTCACTCTCCTTGACAAACGTGAGAAAAACAACATATCGACCACATGTATTGAATCTGCAAACGCGACTAGGAATCGTACACTCAGGAACGAAGACGCCGTTACTGTGACAATCGGATCGTAACTAGACCCTTCCACACGTGCTTACGTGCAGCTGAAGGAGCTCATCGCGTCGTTATTATTGTAATCGGCCAGATTGTCGATGCCTATGGGTAGGAAACGGCAGAGGTAAGACACACGGCGCTGCCGACGATGGCCAACTACGCACCAGGGTAGACGATGCCGCCAGTGGCGCGACCAACACATCCCGCGTCGCTGTGAAGAGTAGAGGTGAGCAAGTGGCAAGCTGAGCGCAAGGAAACCGTGTGACTGACCTGTAAATAGTACAGACAAGGCCCGGGTCCGGGCCGAAGCTCGAAACATCGTCATTGAAGTTAGACCCCACACCGACGCACTGGCCAGAGCTACAGAGTAAAAGGAACAAATGGGAATCAGGAATGAGCAGATGCACATCTGAGTCGTCAACGCACTTGAACCCCGTGACGTAGACCTGTAGAAATAAATGCATGAATCATTCTGTTGGGCTGCTATTATAGGAGAAGCCTATAGACGTACGCAGTTGCCAGAGAAGTTTGCGTCGGTGCAGAAGTATACGCCTCCGTTGAGAACGTCCGAGGTGAGAGACTGGCGGAAAGCAATGGGATGAGCACACGCTATCGAAGCAAGCCTGAAAACGTTCGTACGCTGTCAGACTTGGCACTGGAGGCATTGCCTAGGTCGAGCTCGGCAGGCGTGGTGACCTTGCCGTTCCAACCGAAGGCACCCTTCCAGTCCTCCCTCTGGGCGAGAGAGGTGGGTGCTCCAAGGACGATGCCGATGAAGGGCAAGACAGCGAGAACAGGCTTGGCAGTGAACATGACTATGAGTGAAGCGAGTTGTCGAATGGAAGCTAACGAGGCTGAAAGTCCAAGTGAGCTTGAAGAGGAGCATCGTTCGACCCGCTCTTTTATGCGGACAACGGTAGCGCCAAGGGCACTTTTCCACAAACTATCGTCGGATGTTGATTATAGTGTAGCATCGTCTGACCAGCGTAGGTAGCCCAAATTGACAGAGATGAACGTTCCACTCTGTTTGATCTTCCAGATGGAGACGAGGTAGGTGCCTGGGTTGTTTTAAACAAGGTGTTTATTCCATAGTTGGCTGTCAATTGAACCCATAAATTGGCGGGATCAGTCGCTGGATGGTCTACTCTTAATTCCGAACATCGTACACCGCAAAATAGACTATTTACTGACCACTTTGCATGCCTGTCCAAAGGTTTTCTGATATGAACGATCGAGTAGCGATTGGGACGCACTAATCCATAGGCTAATTTGGAGGTTGCGTCAATGAGGTCGAAGACGTCCATATGCTCGAGGATCAATTCGTCGGTGCTTCCCTATGTGGGTCTGGGCCTGTCGTAGCATAAGTCACCGAGCTCGATATGGCCGACGCTCCGGCAGCGCGCCATAACATAAACTTCGACGAAGCAGCTGCAAGTCTCGATGCCATTGAGACCCGCCCATAGAAACCATAGACCTCCTAACGTCTTCCATAGTTTCCTCATCACGACACTTGAAACTTCCATCATTCCTCGGATCATTGAGCAGAGAGGATTTGGGAAGGATGAAGTCCACTTGGGGATGGAAAACGCAGAAATATATATGGTTTCTGATGAAGCAAGATTCTTAATTCAGTCACTAGGCCACTCGATCACGAGAAGCGGCGCTCAGAGATATATAGCGAAAACAATATAGTTGTTTTTATAGGAACCACATACCTTAGACTTCGTGATCAGAGTCGAAGGATATACCTCGTCAGAGGGACTGATTGATTAGCATGGATATTGCTCACCAGTGAATTGGCTTTCAAATGGCTCTCGAATAAGAGAGATATTGCACATAACAGATGTCCAAGCCTGATTGAAAAATATTGAGATTAGACTACCGAATCATGGTTCTTCTGTAAGGTAAGGTCAGTTGTTCGTATTATTAGAGTCATACCTGTCAGGAAGCACTTTCAGTCACACTGATTACCCTGTATTTGAGATGTATACTAGCCTGGCTGATGTACGACTTACATGTTCTCAGGAACACTATACCGTTAGTCGTGAAAAGAAAAAGGCGTCGGACTTCGACACGTGGATGGTCCGCATCGTCACCGGCGTGACTAGGCCACAAAATTTGGCAGCGTAGCGCGAAAAGATGCGCTGGTTATCTGCATATATAAAACCAGCGTCGACGGCAATAAGAACCTCCGTTCGAGCTCATAACAGTGCCCTGCACACGTATCGCTCGGTCTATTTGTGAATTTTAGGGTCTTGCATGATCACAGGAACTGTCCCAAAAAAGGATGGCGCACGTGTGGCGCAAACAACCTTGAGAACTTGTGTTCGGTCATAAAACGCTTCTACCTGGCTAGTCAAGTCATAATACAAGATGGGACAGCATTCCGTGAAGCTTACCAAAATGCTTTACTATTCGCACCGCCGTGATCTCTAAAAATGCGAGTAACGGCCCAACACATCTCATGTTCGAACATCGCATGTGGTCAGTGTGCCTGTAACTCAGCGCTTGTCTCTTGCATCTACACAAAGCATCACAGTTGAACGGTCTCGAGCCCATAAACGAAGGCATCAGACTTACCCAGGGGCGGTCGTTGCTCCCATACTTCTTCGGAGGGCGCTCAAAGCATGATACGCTCTCAATCTCCTCTTGGCTGTATAGCGGAAGCACGATGCCGAGCTCATAATTTGTAATCTGCGCAGCCAGATCAGGATCCGATGGAAGGGATGACCCTATACAGAATAGTTTGCGAACGAGGATTTTCAACGCACGTTCAAGATGGGCGTGAACCCGGAGCCAGACAGCGTCCCCCAAGCAGAGGGTGTGAAGTTATGTGATCCGACGTATGTCCATCCAATGACTCGTCTCTTCTCCTTGCCGTCACCGTCGATAATTTCGATATCGTCGTCAGACTCCGTGTCGACAGTAGTTGACCGCGACGAATTTGCTGAAGTACTGGTATCCTCGAAGGTCGCTATGATCATCTGCGGATGTAAAATGAGTTTGCCAAGAAGGATGCAAGGATAGAACATCGATCCGAGGCACCTTGCTATGCATTAGCACTTTGCCCCTCTTACTTCTCGACTCCACGAATAGCTCACGGGGAAACTTTGCCCCCTCCCACTGATTCTTCCTGCAGAACATTGTACCCCCACCCTGGAATTGGACCGTCAATTATATGCACATTCGTGATGAGCCCCGGAGAAATCGGACCTTTTCTCCAAGCACGCTCCCTTGAACCCATGCACGGGTCGGAAACAGAATCTTTACCAGTGGCCACGGCAGCTTCGCTCGGCGTGACTTGGGCTCATCCAGCCATTTCTCGGGGCTCTCCCCAGACGCAGAACCATAAAACTCATTCACCCACTGGGTGCTATACGTCCCAATCGACGAGCCCTGCGTTGCAGGAACAAAATCAGCGATCGAAGGACAAAAAACAGAGGCTTCATCAGCACAGAACCCAGGTACAGAAAGGTGGAGCGAAAGGGAGCGAGCCTGAACGGCAGAGAGGCTCGAAGGGGTGTAGAATGGAAGGGGAACAGGTGCAAGCGCGTACCTGATACTCGACCATCACGCGCCTCGACTTCCCCGCCTCGGCACCGATCTCGCGTAGCGCCTTCATCAGCGCCGTATGGCCCGTTCTGATCACATTTGGCCAGCCTTCATGTTTGCCTGCCACGCTCGGCACGAGCTTTGCATGGACTCGGGTGAAATCGTACACCGTGCGTAATGCGCCGGGGTGCAACGACGGAAACGGCATTGTCGGGTGCTAATGGATATGGGTGATCTGATGTGAGGAATGGTAGGAAGGTCGCGCTTACATCGTTGTGGACGAAGCTAGTCAATGCTGGGCCGACGTTAAGCGCCTTCAACACGCGCTCGAATGACGTCGGGAAGTCAGATGCCTTCGGATCATGGGCGATCGGAGTCTGTCTGATGGGGATATCTTGAACCCAGACGGTCTGTTAGAGTTTGAAAGAGAGATGAGCCGTTACGGGTACCGGTCGATGCCAAGTTAGACATACATTCTCGATGTCGCGCCAATCAAAGTCAACTAAGTTAGCGGTGGAGATAACCAAGCGCAAACGGCCGGATTTATAGAACAACTGAGCATCGGAGAGTGATACCTTTGAGTATAAAACAAATGTTTGAAAGAACTTTGACAAACCAGGAAGAACTGGGTGAAAGAAGGCAAAGGAGATGTCGGAGCATTCAGTAATAAATCATCTACTATATAGTTAGAGCTAGGACTTACTTTCATGTGCATCACGCCTCGCCCACCACGCAGCACTGGTGTCACTCGGATCCAATTATGAAGTATCTGCTTGATTGTAGGCTCGCTCCCATTCGCGGGCTGGGTCACGAGTACCACAGGTGTTGTCCGATCGAAGAAATTGGAGATCCATTCTATGTCGTACGCGTAAGTCGAAATGATGGCCTGCGCTATCTCAGATTTCTGGTATATGCACATCCCGTCGGGTTGGAGAAGGGCCAGAAATGTCCGGTAGTCATGAGAATGATAGAAGGTGGGATCGAGAGGGAAGACATACGTCGCCGATAATCTCAGACAACCTCCAGACAGGCTTTCCGTCCTCCCCATTCTTCCCTCTCTCAACATGCTTATTCGCGGTCTGACGTATCTCACCGTCCCAGAAAAGTGCCTCGTCAGATGTGGCCTTCCCGCGCGCTGTTGAAGTGGCGGGAGCAGTGGAGGTTGACGCCACGGAGGAGCTGTGGAGCGACTCTTCTCTGGAAGAAGATTGAAAACTCGTTGTTTTGTGTGGACGTTTACGAGACGGTGCCCTGGCGTACCCACTGCTGCCAGCACCGCCTCCACTGTCGTCGTCACCGTCGTCGTCTACTGGTCGCAATCTCTTCTGTCGCTCCAGACGTGCACGCTCAAGCTCCGCTCTCTCGGACAGGAATAGAGAAGCCGTTGAGGAGCTTCCAGCTTCAGGTTGAGTTTCGTTCCGGCCGCGCGCAGAAGTCTGGTTGTGGAGAGGTGGCACTCGCGAAGTCGAGGGGTGAAATTCGTTTGCAGACACCTCCATCGCTCGTCGTAGCTCCTCCTGAAACTGAGCCTCCTGATCACTTTCAAGCGCTTGACGTTGATCGTTGTTGCTGCGTGCTTCACTCCGAACATTATTCCTTCCAGCTTGTGATTCTTGTAAACTGAGCGCGATCGCCCTAAATCTGAAGGTCAAGGGACGAAGAGGCAGAAATTTAAGTGACAAATAAACGAACATCGCGATGTTATCTTCTTCGGACATTCTTAAGTGTGTGAGCAATGATGCGGTCGCACAAAAATCGAAGTTATATAGCCCGATGAGGCGGACAGATGAAGACGTCCACAATCGTGAAGGTCACGTGGGCTGATTCCACGTCTGATTGGCTTCAGGCTCAGGAGATCTTTCGTTGACAATTGAGGATGTTTCGTGTACCATTCGAAGTCTTAGGTCAATTCAAGCTTATGAAGAACCCGCTGATGAAGCGTGCCTATTTCAAAATTCTCTATGGCTCGCTGCATCGCAAACTCCAAGTACATGAACAACAGAATACGTAAATGAGCAATAAAGCAGTACGAGCACAGTATCCGGCTTAGCAGAGAACGCAGCATGAGTGAAAAGCCACTGGTATATTTGTTCCCATTGAAAACAGGATCTGCTGTGTGTATCAAGAACTCAGCGCTGTAAAGCACGCCATAGGTGGAAGGCTGGAAATTTTAGCTTTCACATTCAAAGCTACTAGCGATATATCTTCCCTTTGGCCATGCGACAAGAAGGTAGAAGACCACATTATATCTATTGTCCTCCGAATGGCTAAGGTTGGTTCTAGGTGACTCAATGACCCGAATCCAGTTGAAGTCGAGGATACACATCGCTCAGATCGAATATCGATAGATGTGTATATCCAATTAGGAGGTAGAGTACAGGAGGTAAGTATCTAACCAAGAACCTACAAAGCGCAGTTTGACAAATTTGAAAAGGCTTCGGATCTGTGTCCTTATTGCATGTACTCCTGCGCGCTCAATCCATCGATCACATCAGTGAATGCAGATCGGAGCCACTCATAAGTGTATGGCGGAGTAGCGGGATCCATCACAATAAGCTTCATACTCGAGTGTCGGTACTCTTTCGGGGGGGTAGGGATAGGAAGATGTCTCAGCACGTATGCACGTAGCTCGGCGATGAAGAATGAAAGATGGCCGGACATCGTGCGTGGGACGAATCGTGTTGCCAATAGACTATCCGATGTGAAGGCGAACGGCAAGGCATTCGTTCTGTTATCCATGATGGCATTCGCAGTCAGTCCACCGAACGAGCGGCGAAAATAGCTCTTCAATGCCGTCATTTCTGCCTGTGTAGCGATATTGTTGAACACGAGCTTCCTTAGGACGCTGTATGCGATGACCCATATGAACGATTCAATGTCATGGTGGTGGGCATGCTTGATCTCGTGCCCCTTTCCTTTGCCCATGGCTGAGAGAAGTTCTATCGCCATGAACTGCAAAGTGCCCTGAGTACAAGTCATTGTCAGATGGGTGTTCTAGTGACTCGACCGACGATTACAAGGACTCACTGTGATTGTCCCTCCGCGTTTAGCCTGCTCGTGAAAAGTGGTTCGCTTCCTCTCCGCAGATGTGATGAGCGTATTTGCGAATATCTCCCCACCTCCGATCACCAGAGACGCAGGTTCAGTCTCCGTCGTCGGCTTGAAGACCGTTTCAAGCCAAGCGAACTCTAAGTCGGTAATGAAACCTTCATGCCCTGCCGGCACACTGGTAGGATCTGCAGCAAGGAGAATATTCCCAGCGCTGATGTCGCGGTGAAGAATGCCCTGCTTATACAAAAATTGATGACCTTACATGCAATATCAACTGCTGAATCTGTCTGAGCTGTAATTGTATTAGTCTCACCTTCGAGCGCTGCACGCATGCCCTTCATCAACTCCAAGTCCGAAGAGTACTCCCAAAGGGGACGGCCTAAAGTGCTCACAATCAAGCGATGTAGAACGGGAGTCGGAACAAAAGCATCGAAGATTTCGCCACGCAAGTGACGTACTGTTATGATATCTTGTTGCAAGAGATTGCGATCATGAGTGGCTCGGGGCCTCCGAAGGTCTGGACGTGGATCTCGCACGTCTCCACCTATGAGATAGCGCGCTACACCGGGATGGATGCCGACCACAGTCTCGTAGATAGATGCTTCAGAGTCCCGAGTGCTGCTGCGCCACATCGTCTTCAGGATCATGGCGAAACCAGTGAACTGCTCCGACATCGTATCGTACTCGCGTACTTTCCAAACAATCGATCCTCGACCTAATAGAGAAAGCGAGCTCCAAAGTGGACTTCCGATCGTGCACCAGAATCGTTGTTGGGTGTCTTCAGCAATAGGTTTGATAATGTATGATGGATAAAATGAGCTATCTTGCGCTCCAATAAGCCGCTTGGCGGTTGAGCGATCTAGTTCGTAGACCGTTGGATCCTGCCCAAGCTCTGCATCGGTCAACTGGCAGGAGAGGGCATGAATAACACGGATGAAATCTTTGGTATCTTCCCACATGTCCAATTGGGGGGAAAAGGTGATTCCGTCGCGGTCAAAGATCGCAACGCAGAATCCAGAGCCGAAGATCAGAAGCCCAACTGAAAATAGCATGAATGGCCGAGCAGAAACAAAGAGACGAGCATAATCTGCTGCCTGCGTGACGATGGGTTTTATAGTCGTATCTTTTGTCTTCTCTGTCCTGGGTCCTTGCGCCTTTGTAGGTTTGATTTCGACAAATGCACTGATGTCTCGCCATAGACCCTTGCGATTCCCTACCTCTGAGCCTATCACAACAAAGTCAGGGTTGATCTTGGGAAATCCGAGAGTGTGACCACCATCCGTAAGCGGACCAGTCGAAACGCGAAACTCCCGTGGTTTCTGTAATTTCGTAGGAGCCGGGATATCTGCAAAAAAGTTTCGGATGAAATCAAATATGACAGCCTATGATGTATTTAGTCACACAATCGTCAAGGACCATGCGTGAACGTACTAGGTGAGGATACATCGCTTTCTCGTCTCTCTTCAAGTGCGACTCGATATCAATGTTGGGGGCGGTCTTGGTCTGAGCCTCCAGCGTCTGCAGACAGTGTATTGCGGATTGAACGCTGTTGGCTTCTTGAAAATTCAGGTAGCATCTCTCGATGTGATGATTGTCCGCCAGATCCTTATGGATCGCAGTAAACACACGAGCATCGTTATAGGTCACTTTGTTTTCGAGCTCTGTCTTGATGGCCTCTCGGATAGAGGATACATTCTGCTGCGTGGTGAAGTTTTGGAACGAACCTGCGCCCTGTTGGTGTGGAGTCATGTGAGTTGCAGATATGGGAGGGGATCTGGGGTGGTCGTACTGATTCCATGCTCTATCTATTTATCGGCAGGGTGTACCGTGACTGCGTGATTTGCGTGTACCGTATCAAGAGATTTTATCTGTTATCAGCTAGAGGATTCTTGCAAACGGGGACTTGCCGTAGAACAAAGAAATTAACGTCGTGAATCGAGGGCAAACTGAATTGAAGTTCGAAGTCATGTTGCTTTCTGATGACTAATCGACGAACTTCTTGAGTTTGCCACCGACTCGTGACGTTGATTTCTCTGTTCTCTCTACATTGCATTCTTTTGATGCTCATCTTCGTGTTATAATATTTATACAATAATATACAGCGACTGTGAAATGATCGAAAATGCTGTGGGGTAGATGTATGCTCTTTTTGCCCAAGTTAAGACACATTTCAAACAAACACGATTATATCACGTGGTCCTGAAATGTCACACTTGCAATGAAATGGCAGAGGAAAGCATTATGATAATCATTCCCAACTCATCTACTCTATGTACATGACAAAACTGAGAACTTGGGCATGAAGGGATTGCTCACGCCTATTTCATGGATATTTTCTCTATGGTACTTTTTTGATCTTGGGTCTAGTTCAAGAGGAGATAGATTTTTATTAATTCTGAGTAATACTACAAGGAAAGCAGAATAATAATTGTAAATCATAAGAATAATGTCAATTTCACTACCATTGCCTGATATTGCGATACAACAATGCCCAAGCAACATCAATCCATCTCTTCTATTATCAAAAACCTAGGGAAATAGGTAAAAAAAGCTTGAGGGATATTTCTGGAATACAAGGGGAATATAAGTCTTATCTATGAACTGACCCATGAGCTCTATAAACACCTTGATACAAGTAGATCCTGAAGCATGAAAGAGGCCTGAGGGACTGCTCTGTGGATAGCCATTTTGTTGTTATTAGCATTTAGAGACTTTGCAAGTCCAAGTCTATAGGAGGAAGGATAAAAGCAGTGTTGGAACCAAGACCTTATCAAGGCATGCAGTGCCTTGCACTGCAAGTCAAAGCAGGCCTTAGAAGTTCAGAGCCTGTGAGTTGATCCCAATTTGTTGTTAGGACTCTATGACTCACCTATTTAGCCCACTAATCCTGGTTGGCATAATGATTATGCTAGCCAGATAGGAGGATCCGCTAATAGCAGTAGTTTTCTTGGACCACCATTGATTGAAGAGGCATGTGCTGCAATAAATAACCTTGAAAAGATCTTGCACCCCCCTCATTTGAGGGGCATAAGCTATTTGAGGGCAATAAACTTCTGTGGAAGCAACTGGAAATAATGTGGATATTTCTTAGTGCATAGCATCTGGAAAAACACCCCCTTGTATTAGCTCCGGATTATATCTAATAGTGTCTAAAAGTATCTAAAAGTGTTAATAGTATCCAAAAGTGTCTAATTTCCTAATTGGGAGCAATACATTGTGAGCATTGGATTGGTTTCTAATTTCATGATATTAGCACTGATTCTATACTAAAAAGGCTTTAATTATCAGTAGGAAATAGTAAGTACTACTGCTCTATCAGTAAGAAGGTAAAGATGTGGCACATTCTATACTATTTTAGCATATTACTCTCCTTTATATATGCCTATACCATTATCTTGTAGCTCTTTTGCTGGCTTTCCAGCTGCTTTTATAAGGGATATAGAAAGAGAGAAATGTTCATTGATGCCCCCAGCCACTTTGTTGGCAGCTTGGCAGCTGCCATAAGAGGCTATGAAGACCTAGGTACCTTGTCCTTGCACACAAGATCATTAAAGTTGTCATTGTTAGCCAATGCCTGCTACTGGTCATTATAGGACACAATATGTGGGTTGGACTTAGGGATATGCTATATGCAGCCTTATAGACCTTGTCTATTAGTACAGTGGCTAATACTGTCTTGTGCAGCACACAATCATCATTACTATTGATATTACAATTTTTAGCACTATTTATATTGTTCATTGCCTTGTTATACAGAAGATGCTCAAACTTGGTGTTTTCCTCTAGCTATTAGGCTGTGGAAAAGACAGTCATATTGGTATGTGGTGCCAGAATGATATATTTGCCTGCTATATAGGAAATATATGCATTAAGCATATTAAGATCACCTCCAACAATCCTGTGCTTATTTATATATAGGCATGCCATACATATACCCTTGTCCCCACCCTCTACCTTACTAGTGGCTATTTGGAAAACCCCTCTCTCTTATTGGATCTTGATTATTCATAATCATGTTTTTGATCAAATTTGCAAATTCAGGTAGCATTGTCTATACTAGTAGAGTCCTATTGAATATTACACTCAATCATAGTTTTACACATTCTCAGTCCAAATTGTATAAGTGCCATAATTTATTTTTATCCTATATAAAGTGTATTATTTATTTTCCATTGGTTTATTATCTTCTTAGCTAGTATTTAAACTAAATCTTGAAAAACCTGACTTTTTGGGTATTTATTAACCTATTTATTTATAAGATAGAGGAAAGATAAATGTTAAATAAAATCAGAGATGTTGAGGTTGCCTATATTATGTCTACTTATTTAGATTACTGAGTTCATATCTTAGACCTTGTGGCTTAGTGGCTTAGAGCATCTGTCCTAGGTGCTTGCATATATAAGGTTGTTGGTTCAACTCTGGCAAAAGGCAAGTTTGTTATAAGGTATATTCTGTGTTTAGTTATTAAACTAGTGCTCTAATAGACATGACTCTATAGGAAGGCTATGAGAACTGTGATGCTTGATTTATTATGATTTTTCCGAAATTTCAAGTTATAATCAATCCTAATAATTCCTAATTTAGGAAAATTATGTCTAATTAGAACAGGTTTAGAGGGGGGGTAAGCTAAAAATGTCTAATCCTAATCGTTTTTAATTATGCATAAATAGAACTAATTAGAGCATAATACAAGGGGGTGGTTTTCCAGATGCCATCACCAAATTTATCCAAGTTGTTTGGTCTCGCAGTACACCTACTGTACAAATAAGCATGAAAACACTATGAAGGAGGTGTGTACTCATCCTGGGCACTAGTTCTGCACAGTGCAGGCAAGTAGAACTTGCTTAGGATAATCAGCAATGTATGGATCAAGTCCATAAATGACATGCCAGAAGTGGCCATTAGGACAATGTGTAACCTCTGGCTTTATCATACCAGACCTAAGGAGTTTGAAGATGGCTTCTAGAGAAGCATGGAACAGCTAGTGTTGAAATCTGCAAAATGTGGGGTCATCCTGGTACTATTGATCTGCTATAAGTGAGGATTTAGTGAGCAACTGAGAGAGGTATAAGGAGCATTACTTACTCTTGGGAATTGAAAGAAAACCAATGAGCAAGATTGCATTGCAATGCACATGATGAATGTTGTTGTGCACATTGCCTCTTGATCTATACAATGGGTAGAACTTGGTCTGACCTATTGCAACAGAGATGGTCATTTTATTGCTTCTGAGGATAATAGGGACAAACATGGAGCCATGTGTCTCTGTGTCCTTTACAATTATGTCCTGTAATGCTTCATCTAGAAAACCACTCCCTTGTATTATGCTCTAATTAGTTCTATTTATGCATAATTAAGAACGATTAGGATTAGACATTTTTAGCTTACCCCCCCTCTAAACCTGTTCTAATTAGACATAATTTTCCTAAATTAGGAATTATTAGGATTGATTATAACTTGAAATTTCGGAAAAATCATAATAAATCAAGCATCACAGTTCTCATAGCCTTCCTATAGAGTCATGTCTATTAGAGCACTAGTTTAATAACTAAACACAGAATATACCTTATAACAAACTTGCCTTTTGCCAGAGTTGAACCAACAACCTTATATATGCAAGCACCTAGGACAGATGCTCTAAGCCACTAAGCCACAAGGTCTAAGATATGAACTCAGTAATCTAAATAAGTAGACATAATATAGGCAACCTCAACATCTCTGATTTTATTTAACATTTATCTTTCCTCTATCTTATAAATAAATAGGTTAATAAATACCCAAAAAGTCAGGTTTTTCAAGATTTAGTTTAAATACTAGCTAAGAAGATAATAAACCAATGGAAAATAAATAATACACTTTATATAGGATAAAAATAAATTATGGCACTTATACAATTTGGACTGAGAATGTGTAAAACTATGATTGAGTGTAATATTCAATAGGACTCTACTAGTATAGACAATGCTACCTGAATTTGCAAATTTGATCAAAAACATGATTATGAATAATCAAGATCCAATAAGAGAGAGGGGTTTTCCAAATAGCCACTAGTAAGGTAGAGGGTGGGGACAAGGGTATATGTATGGCATGCCTATATATAAATAAGCACAGGATTGTTGGAGGTGATCTTAATATGCTTAATGCATATATTTCCTATATAGCAGGCAAATATATCATTCTGGCACCACATACCAATATGACTGTCTTTTCCACAGCCTAATAGCTAGAGGAAAACACCAAGTTTGAGCATCTTCTGTATAACAAGGCAATGAACAATATAAATAGTGCTAAAAATTGTAATATCAATAGTAATGATGATTGTGTGCTGCACAAGACAGTATTAGCCACTGTACTAATAGACAAGGTCTATAAGGCTGCATATAGCATATCCCTAAGTCCAACCCACATATTGTGTCCTATAATGACCAGTAGCAGGCATTGGCTAACAATGACAACTTTAATGATCTTGTGTGCAAGGACAAGGTACCTAGGTCTTCATAGCCTCTTATGGCAGCTGCCAAGCTGCCAACAAAGTGGCTGGGGGCATCAATGAACATTTCTCTCTTTCTATATCCCTTATAAAAGCAGCTGGAAAGCCAGCAAAAGAGCTACAAGATAATGGTATAGGCATATATAAAGGAGAGTAATATGCTAAAATAGTATAGAATGTGCCACATCTTTACCTTCTTACTGATAGAGCAGTAGTACTTACTATTTCCTACTGATAATTAAAGCCTTTTTAGTATAGAATCAGTGCTAATATCATGAAATTAGAAACCAATCCAATGCTCACAATGTATTGCTCCCAATTAGGAAATTAGACACTTTTGGATACTATTAACACTTTTAGATACTTTTAGACACTATTAGATATAATCTGGAGCTAATACAAGGGGGTGATTTTCCAGGTAGAATGATAAGGGCTTTGAGATGGATCTAGTGCTTTGTCAGACTAGGTATGTTTTGATTAATCTGACAGAGTTTGTGATGTGTAGGCTAAAGAAAGCCATATATTAGGCATAGTGCAGAAATCAAGATATATACGAAGTAAATGAGCTGATCTTTTAAGAAGCTCAGCTTGGCTATTTATATATACAAACTATTTAGGGCCAGATATAGATATGATCCATGCTTCTAAACACTAAGTAAGCTAAAGAATTGAGATACATCATCCACAGCAAGTACTTTAACTATGTATGGTAACTGTATCAAATGTCTGTCCATATCAGTAAGCAATTAGGAACTGATTGCAATAGTCATAAGTGTTCAAGCTAAGACTTGTTAATAAGTCATGTATATATAAGCATTCATGTGTCAGCATGTAAATGGTAACAAATTGACAGTTCTAGTTTGAGATATGAGTGCACCACATGACTACACCCTTGGATCACATACAAAGCATGTGTTAGAATGTGGTCCTAACACCTTACACACAAAATCATTCAAGTTGTCATTATCAGCTAATGCTTGCTACTAGTCAATATAAGACACAGCATGCAGGTTAGGCTAAGAGATATGCTACATGTAGCCTTGCAAACCTTGTCTATCAGTGCAGTGGTCAATATTATCTTGTACAGCACACAATTGTTATCACCATTGATATTACAATTTTTAGCACTATCCACATTGTTTATTGCCTTGTTATATAGAAGATACTTAAACTTGGTGTTTTCCTCTAGCTATTAGGCTGTGGAAAAGACAGTCATATTGGTATGTGGTGCCAGAATGATATATTTGCCTGCTATGCAGGAAATATATACACTAAGCATATTAAGATCATCTCTAACAATCTTGTGCTTATTTATACATTATGCCATACATATACCCTTGTTCCCATCCTCTACCTTACTAATGGCCATTTGGAAAACCCCTCTCTCTTATTGGATCTTAATTATTGATAATCATTGATAATACTAATTTGAGTTAATCATGGCTAATTGTTCATTATATTTTTGATCAAATTTGCAAATTAAGTACTAGTAGAGTCCTATTAAATATTACACTCAATTGTATTCTTACATATTCTAAATTGAAATTATGTAAGTGCCATAATTTGTTTTTACCATAAATAAAGTGTATTATTTATTTTCTATCAGTTTATTATCTTCTTAGCTAGTGTTTAAACTAAATCCTAAAAGACTTGACTTTTTGGGTATTTATTGACTTGTTTATTTATAAGACAGATGCATAAACAGTTCTCGCACAAAACTCACACTGTCCGCAGGTAGTTCGCACCATGCTCTTTAACAATAGTCACCAGCCAGTCCACCTGATCAGGGCCGACTTTCTAAAGCAACTGTATAATCAAGTCCTTTTGAAAGATGCACTAGCTTTCAATTTCCTTGTTGCTCCCCTCCACCAGTACCTCCTTGAATCTGCTTACAAGCGCATATCATTGCAAATTTAACGACTCATTTTTGACTACATCTGTGAGGCCTCCAGTCAGCCACTCTACCCCAGTAAAGAACAAAAGTGAAGGCCTCACAAACCTTCCACCACCACCCAGCCGAATTTACGGTAAGCAGAGAGGAGTCCTTCAACTCCCATCAGCTCTATGTTCTAGCTAGTGCAGCACTTCTTAGATATCCTTGACAGAAGCTGAATGTCATTCCATCGCAGAGCAGCTTCAAGGAGCGCACGGATGGCATCTTTGCTTGCCACGCCAGAGCATTTCGCACACCATCCAATGAGACACTTGACCATCCTGCCCTTGTGTTCTGTCAGAGCAGGTGAGATAGAGGTCTGCAGCAAATGAGATGCATATGCATGGACGTTGCCAATGTGGACATCTAGCTTGCAGTTCTTGGGCCAGATGAACAGTGCAGCACGTTTGTAGGCTATATGCATGTAGATAAGAGACTCCGACCCAAGTGGTCAAAAGAAACCTTACTTTGAAACAGGGTCCTGTACTACAGCGCAATTGATCGGATTCAAGATTGAGCAACAAGAAGATAGAGGAAAGGCACCAACCCTGGTTTTTTCGAGCCTATCAAAGCGCTTCTTGTCCAGCTTTCTCCACGTCCCCCTCCCCCCCCTGAAACACTCAATGTCAATCCCCTGCAATCCAGAAACCTCGAACGGCATCCCGTCCAGCCTCACAACCCTGTCCATGTCCCACTCCTCCAGCCTCTCGACATCAAGTTCAAGCTCCTCTGCTGGAACCTCTATGATGTCTCTGTCCGACTCGAAAGAATATGGAACGTATCCGTAGCCCCAACGGCACATGGCGGTTGGCAGCGTGGCCTCTCCGTGCACCGTGATTGTGATATGAGCAAGGCACATACATAGACGGGGCTCCTTTGATAGAGGACGAATGTGTAAGAACAACAGCGCGTCTGCACCTTTCAGGGAGTCGACACTGAAGTCAACAGCATCAGTGTATTTGTTCTGCAGAACAAGCAGGATAACCTTGGGTTCTCCGCGCTGCTGAGGTTGCTCCTTGAAAGAGGCCAAGGCATGACACAGTTGATTGCGGACACCAAGCACCTCTGGGACACGCGGAACATGGGAATTATTTGCGGGCGGCAGAAGGTCGTAGTATAGAGAGAAGCAGTAGCTGGACTCGACAGGCTCCATTTTGTGTTTGATACCGGTGTAATAGCCAACAACAGCTGCGGAAGATGAGCTATTGAGGGCAAAGTTGATGATCTTTGTTTGGCCGGAGTGAGAGAGATAGAGCATCCTGCCTGAGAAATGGGAAGGGAGGATGACTTGGACAGTGCTGAACTTGTCATCAAGTCCATGGTGCCTGTGAAATTTCCAGTGTACCTTCACCATGTGCAGGGAACGTAATCTCACTTGCTAGGGATGTTCGAACTAGACCCATATGAGAAGACAGCTGGAACAGTGGGGGAAGCAGTACTCACCGCCGTGAGCCTGCACTTTGCAATGAGACCTTTGCAAGCTGCAACCTGGGTGCGCCTCCGCATTTTGCATCGAGTGCTTTGCAAATTGGAGAAATGACCATCGATTGGATCCATGCATCCTATGCTGGATTTGTAGACTCGACCTAAAACACTGTGAGATTAGGAGCACCATGTGATCATGTACATTCTAGTATGTACCTTGTCACATGCAACCTCCCAGACACCGAAGATGCGTCGATGTGTCACAATGATGTCGCCTGCCTCACACGCAGAGACAATGGAAAGAGCCGCTTCTTCAGTTAGAAGAAGACCAATAGGTCCAATTCCAGTTATTGTGAGACCAGGATCCGGTCTGTCATCCTTCGAGTACATCTGACCATGCACGAAGGTGCTCTCGATGTCTAGACCCCTTCTCAGTATATTGTTCAATTTTAGCTGTCGACACAGTCAGGTGACCTGAATCACAATGGATGAGAGAAACCGCTTACAATGGGATTTTGACAAGCTGTATAGTGATACAAGTGATAAGAATGCAGCGAGTCATAGTCGTCATCGTCATCACCGTCGTCGTCATCATCTTGCAGTTCGACCTCGTCGCCTGAGGAATCGAAGCCTTCTTCTTCGACTTCTGCCGCTTTTGGCGCCGCCCATTTGCCGACACGGGCGTCGACGGGAAAGGCGCCGGAAGCGTCACTCCCCTGCCCGGAAATTCCAAGATTTGAACCCTCCATCGTGCATTAAATTGATCGCGTCGCGATGCGCGGAGATGCGTAGAGTATGCCGCTGTGATGGTGAAGGTAGGTATTAAACGAGTGGACGCGTCTGTTTGTCTCTGCCTTAGTGTGACAAGACGCGTCGGTCACGGCTCACACCTTTCCTGCGCGTTCTGTCATGCACCGAGCACAGCTGATGAAGCGCGGTAAAAAAGCAAGGCCATCATTCTGGACATGTCCAAGCGACCATCCTGAAGAAGCAGCAGCAGTGCAAAAACTCGCAACAGTGGCTCATACATCTGCATAATGTCTAGGTAAGTACCAAGCGCGTTGGTGAAAGTCTTTACTTTAAGCTTCGGGGAACGCTGGCTTGAATCACGACGTCTGCGGGACAGCTGCAGGACATAGAAATAGGGGAACATCAGTCGAGATACCAACCTTGTTCGGCAAGCGCAACATCTCGAGCATTGTGGAGATGCACTCCACCTCATCTTCTCCAACTGCATCTGCGCTGTCATGAAAGATATTGAAATGTTCTGCACGTTGTCCGCATATCCAATATTGTATGCTCATGTCCTCGCCAAATTAGCATCTGCAGTCTAGTGATCGACATTTCAGAGCCACATCATCTCCACCGACCCTCCAGCGAGTTCAATCAAGCTTAGGCTTCATGTCTTGTCCAGTGCTAATAATAGGCACTCATGGCCTCTAATGATAGTGATCCCAGGGATTGTAGTCACACACATTGAAGTGACCATATGGAAAATTAGCTGGCATTTCATCCACATGGAATTCACCGTGGATGCAAAATCGGTTCTGCAAAGATTCCTGCGAGGAAATATTATGGCTAGGAAACCTATATTGTCAACATGTGCAGCAACCTATTGGCCGACTGTGAGATGACGGTACCTCACCGCGGCCTAACGCGTTCGAGAGCATACGGATATGGCTGTAGTGCCCCATCCATACCGTCATCGTCATCTGAAAAGCGACTAGTCCGGGGCCCCGATTCACATTCTGTAGTAGGGTCATTTATGACGAGTACCGTGCTGATCGCGTGGGTCGGTCACCAACTCAGTGGCAGCCGCTGGCGTTCGCGCACCTCAGCCGCTCTCCGTACTTCTCGAAGATTGTGTGCGATCAATCTGGCTGGTATTCTGCATATTGTGATCGTGCGTGCGAGAGCATCGACGTTGAGAATCTGAATTTCCACTGGCCGTGTTTCCTGTGGTACTGGATAAGAACGGAACAGCTCCTGCACCCATGGTCGAAGGCAAGCGGATCCGGGAATGAGGGGATCGGGATTGGACCAGGTGAGAACGGATGACTAAGCGCGGTGCCCGAGAATTGCCGAGGTCGAGCGTGTTTGCGACCGAAAACCGACTTCTTTATTTCCATCCACCTCACATCCATGCTCCGGGCGACACGCTTAGCTCGCACACACGCTCGCGGTTTCGCCACCGTCGTCGACGCCGCGGGCGGTGCCAAGGTCGCCGCTGTCGACAATGGCCAGCCCACCTCGTCCGTCACCGTCCTGTTGAAGGCAGGGAGCAGGTACGAGCAGAAGCCCGGTGTCGCCCATGTCCTCTCGAATTTCGCATTCAAGGTGCGTGTTTTGGTGGTCAAGGGACGATGGGACTGGGGGTGAGGGCATATCGCGGCGTTAGGATTCGTAGGAACGGCTGGTTTTGGCGACGTGATGCATGGCAAAATGTACAGCGCATCTCGTCTCGAAGCACTGCGAAATTATACTTGCCGCCTGTTTACAACACTTCCCTTTCCGTCGTCATATGCATCTTTGCATATCGTCGTCTGCAGAAATTTTGGACGCTATCTTGCAGTTTCTCCTTGTTTTCACTCTCCATAACGTCACGCAATCGCACTAATATCATATTCGTCAATAGAGCACTGGCCAGCGTTCTGCTTTGGGTACGGTGCGCGAGACCGAGCTGTATGGAGGGGTTCTCTCTTCAACACTCTCGCGCGAACACCTCGCCCTGACTGCCGAATTCCTCCGCGGTGACGAGTACGCCCTCTTCTCCCCTCCCCAACGTTCATTGAGATTGATACTCGCCATTTTTCTCCATAGGTCTTTCTTCGTCGACGTCCTCACATCCTTCCTTACTTCCCCCAAATTTACCCGCCACGAACTCAATGAATACGTCCTCCCCGCCGTGCACGCCGAGTCCGCCGCCGCCGCCCATGCCGCGTCCACACAGGCCCTAGAGCTTGCCCATGCGCTCGCGTTCCGCAGCGGGCTCGGCTACTCTCTCTTCGCCGATGCTGAGCGCACGGGCTCCATCACCACCGAAGACGTTCACGCTTTCCAGGCGCAGGCCATAGCCGACCTCAGCAACGTCGCCCTCCTCGGTACCGGCATCGCTCCGGATGTCCTCGCAGCCCTCTTCGAGAAGAGCTTCGCCGCGTCCAAGTCCGCCGGCACCGCTGCTGCAGCCACCCCCATTGCGGCCGTCAAGTCGGCGTACCATGGCGGTGCGACCCGCGTCGCGAGCGCACACAGTCCGCAGACGCTCTTCGTCGGCTTTGGTCTGTCCACTGCTGCAACCCCCGCGCTGCACGCGCTCTCTGCATATCTCTCCCCGACGCCTGCGCTCAAATGGGCCACTGGCACCTCGCCGCTCGCCATCGCGCTCCCGATGGGCGTCCGCGCGCGCACGGTTCTCCTGCCCTATAGCGACGCTGCGCTGTTCGGCGTGCTCTTCGAGGGCGCAGACGCTAGCGCCGTCGCGCAGGGCGCCAAGGCCGCGGTCGAGGTCCTGAAGAACGCGGCTAGAAAGACGTTGGAGAAGGAAGAGGTTGCACGGTCCGTCGCGCGCGCGCGCTTCGAGATCGCTGGTAGCGTGGAGGCGAGGGACGGCTTCGTTGGCACGTTCGGGCCGAGGGTGCTCGCGGGCCAGCTTGGAGGCGTGCAGGCGAGCCTCGAGGCGTTCGGCGCCGTCGACGGGACCGCGATCTCCAAGGTCACGGCGGAGCTGCTCAAGAGCAAGCCAACGTTCGTTGTTGTCGGTGACGTGCGCGCGCTGCCGTACGGAGACGAGGTCGGGTTGAGCGCATAAGTCGGATGCTCAGAGAGTTGGACGCATGCTAGCTTAGTAGACGTCGCATACGATACAGCTGTCGGTGCTCAAAATTTTGATCTTTTTATCCTTTCGATATACTTTGGAGGAATGATCTTTCGGCCGTTCCTCCTTTGAAAGACGTTGAGGGCCCTGAGGCAAATCTAATCCAATACCTTTGATTGGATGGAGGGAAAAGCAGACCAATCCAAGAATTAGCCGTGTATTTCTGGCTCTCATGAATCACTTAGAAAGGACAGCTCGCTGCCTATTTGCAGACACGTTTGCATGATGAGAATCCTTCACAAAATGCAACGACTTACCAACGGAATCCTTCTTTCATCATGTCTTCTCAGATTTCCATATTCATATCTTCCACTTGCAAGGCACTCGGGGGCCATGTCTTAAACTCTGACTCACATTGAAGGGTGGTTGGTGAGGCTGGAGAGGTTCCTTGGATGGGTGCTGCTCTCAAATTTGGGAACCAGGTCACAAGAAGCATTCAGGGACTCAGCCATGAATGCATGAACTGAGATGCCTGTGGCTGACCTTACACAGAAGATAGTTGTTCTATGTCTAGAAGTGTAGAAATCTAGAGTAGAACTGACTCAGCCTCGCACGAGTAACACGAAGGTCTATATATTCACCTAGAGTAGAACTGACTACAATAGGGTAAGCAATAGATATGGAAAGGTAAACTATATAGGGCTCACCTCAGCCTTGCACAAGTAATGCGAAGGTCTGAGGAAGCCCGGACATGAGACCGCAAGTATATAACAGAAGATAGCAGTTCCGGTACCAAAAGAATAACAAATGTAAGGTATGATACTTCCGTAAACCCTGAAACTGCTCCGTAGTGCTCCGAGCAAGTTGCACCTTCAACACTCCCCCTCAAGCCACACAGAGACCAGTCAACATTGCCAGAATGAGGCACACACAGGCCGAGGAACTCCTTGCGAACTGCGGTCTGAGCAAATGCACTCTTTGCAGTGTAGTCAGTGACAATGGAGGCCCAGCGTGCGGCTACCATAGCAATCTTGTTGGTGCAAATAACAGTTGAGTCAGGGAGTCGTTGTGAGAGAAGATACTTGGCAGATGCTTCGTTATCATCCCAAGTCTGAATCGTGGCGAGTTGCTTCTTGGATAAGGCTGCACCTACAGCAACTATGAATGAGGGGTGGGGAGCAGTGCTGTCAAAATGGCCCCACTTCTTCTTTGCAGTGATAGCATCCTTGAAGCAGATTGAGAAGATGACCCAGTTAGTTCCCTTTGGGTCCAGCCTTGGCACATTTGATGGGAGGGTGTCAGTAGAGATAGGAACAGCAGACATGGTATCGAGGCTTGTTACAAAAAGTTACAAGTAGAGTGACTTAGCAGATTAAGGCAGGGCCCATAACCTGTAGAAATCTAGAGTAGAACTGACTCAGCCTCGCATGAGTAACACAAAGGTCTATTTATTCACCTAGAGTAGAACTGACTACAATAGGGTAAGCAATAGATATGGAAAGGTAAACTATATGGGTAATGCGAAGGTCTGAGGAAGCCCGGACATGAAACCGCAAGTATATAACAGAAGATAGCAGTTCCAGTACCGAAAGAATAACAAATATAAGGTACAATACTTCCGTAAACCCCGAAACTGCTCTGTAGTGCTCCGAGCGAGTTGAGACCGCAAGTATATAACAGAAGATAGCAGTTCCGGTACCGAAAGAATAACAAATATAAGATACGATACTTCTGTAAACCCTGAAACTGCTCCGTAGTGCTCCGAACGGGTTACACCTTCAACAAGAAGACAACCAATGAATCTTATAAGAAAGATAGATATACCCATGCATATTGGTCTGGTGTGCTCAATTAGCTGCACCCATGGAAGTAAGTATTACACTTGTTGCCATACACTGGTCTGAACACAGGAATGCCTCCATCACAATATACCTTTGCATGTTTTTTTTCCTTTGTAAAGTGAGGATTATCCACTCAATTTTGACCATGGATTATTACAGAAATGACAACAGCCACTCACAGATGTCAATGAACATCTGTCTGATCAGTCCTATAGAAGGATTGCCAGCTTTAATTGTCAAACAGCAATTAATTAAAGGTGGAGGCAGAAGTTCTGCACAAGATGCATCTGCCCGTACATGTGAGATCTGAGAGTCTACTTCAGAAATATGAACCAGGCTACATTTGGTACATAAATTGCCTTACCAAGGCAGGTGGCCTCGATGGCAAAGCTTCAGGACTGCTTCAGTTAAGATGGGCCACATACAAACACGACTACATCACATTATACAGAGGTCTCACTTTTGGCGGAAAAGGGTGTTACTTTTGCAAAAAATTGCTATCTCCTCTCTCACCAAGAAGAATCAAAGAAATTAGGCACAAAGGGATCATATGTATCAATTTAACAGACATTTGCTTTGTGCTATTTTTTTGAATTAGGGCTCAGTTAATGAGAAGATAGTTTTTGAATGTTTTCGAGTGTTACTCTGACCAGAAGTGGTATAAACATGTTTACTCAAGAGTATATTGCAAATCTTGCTGACATTGCGCTTATTGCACTATGACAATGCCTAAGTGATGCTGATCAATCTCTTCAGTTATCAAGAACCTAGGTAACAGGGCAAAGAAAGGTTAAGGGATATTTCTAGAACAAAAGGAGAATGTGAGCCTTACCTATTAATTCACCCATGAATTCTATGAAGGCCTTCTTATCAACAGATCCTAGTGGGTGAAAGAGGCATGGAAGGCTGCTTTATAAGAAACTATTGGGCTGTTGTCAGCAACCAGTAATCTTGCAAGTCTGTTGCAAGAAGAATGATAGAAGGGGTATTAGAGCTAAGCCTTAGTCAAGGCATGGAAAGCCTTGCACCACAAGTCAAAGCAGAATCAAGAAGCTTGGAACCTATGAGTCAGTGCCAGTCTAATGTCAGAGCTTGATCATCTGGAAAACCACCCCCTTGTATTAGCTCCAGATTATATCTAATAGTGTCTAAAAGTATCTAAAAGTATTAATAGCATCTAAAAGTGTCTCATTTCCTAATTGGGAGCAACACATTGTAACCATTGGATTAGATTCTAATTTTATGATATTAGCACTAATTCTATACCAAGAAGTCTTTAATTAGCAGTAGGAAATAATAAGTACTACTGCTCTATCAGTGAGAAGGTAAAGATGTGGCACATTTTATACTATTTCAGCATATTACTCTTCTTCATATATGCCTGCACCATTATCTTGTAGCTCTTTTGCTGATTTTCTAGCTGCCTTTACAAGGGACTTAGAAAGAGAGAAATATGCATTGATGCCCCAGCCACTTTGTTGGCAGCTTAGCAGCTGCCACAAGAGACTATGAAGACCTCAGTACCTTGGCCTTGCACACAAGATCATTGAAGTTGTTATTGTCAGCTAATGCCTGCTACTGGTCATTACAGGACACAACATGCAGATTGGGCTTAGGGATGTGCTACATGTAGCCTTGCAGACCTTGTCTATTAGTGCAGTGGTTAATACTGTCTTGTACAGCACATAATCATCACCACTATTGATATTACAATTCTCAATGCCATCCACACTGTCCATTGCCTTGTTATACAGAAGATGCTCAAACTTAGTGTTTTCCTCTAGCTATTAGGCTATGGACAAGACAGTCATGTTGGTATGTAGTGCCATAATAATATATTTGCCTGCCATGTAAAAAATATGTGCACTAAGCATATCAAGATCATCTCTAATAATCTTGTGCTTATTTATACATAGGCATGCCATATATATACCCTTGTCCCCACTCTCCATCTCACTAGTGGCTATTTGGAAAACCCCTCTCTCTTATTGGATCTTAATTATTGATAATCATTAATGATAATAATTTGAGCTAATTATGGCCAATTATTCATAATTATGTTTTTGATCAAATTTGCAAATTAAGGTAGCATTGTCTATACTAGTAGAGTTCTATTGAATATTGCACTCAATCATAGTTTTACATATTCTAAATCCAAATTGTGTAAGTGCCATAATTTGTTTTTACCTTATATAAAGTGTATTATTTATTTTCCATTGGTTTATTATCTTCTTAGCTAATGTTTAAACTAAATCCTAAAAGGCCTAACTTTTTGGGTATTTATTGACCTGTTTATTTATTAGATAGAGGAAAGATAAATGTTGAATAAAATCAGAGATGTTGAGGTTGCTTATATTATGTCTACTTATTTAGATGACCAAGTTTATATATTAGACTTTGTGGCTTAGTGGCTTAGAGCATCTGTCCCAGGTGCTTGTATACATGAGGTTGTTGGTTCAACTCTGGCAAAAGGCAAGTTTCTTATAAGGTATATTCTGTGTTTAGGTATTGAACTAGTGTTCTAATAAACATGACTCTATAAGAAGGCTATGAGAACTGTGATGCTTGATTTATTATTATTATTCTGAAATTTCAAGTTATAATCAATCCTAATAATTCTTAATTTAAGAAAATTATGTCTAATTAGAACAGGTTTAGAAGAGGGGTAAGCTAAAAATGTCTAATCCTAATCTTTTATAATTTAGTATAGCAGAGCATCAATTATAGCTAATTAGAGCTTAATACAAGGGGGTGGTTTTTCAGATGCTTGCCTCATGTGTGGCCACCAGAAGCATTCAGTGACCAAGGCAGTCATGGCATAGACGCCTTTGTGAGCGACATCATCATGAGCGGCAGTGAGAATTGTGATCCAACTAGAGGGGGCTGCGACAATCTTGTGTCAACTGTGCAAGTCTTTTCTCCATAGCTTGTCAGCTGCAATAAAGAACTTAGTGCAATATTGTAGGAAGGTAGCATATTTGGAGTTGGAGAGAGAAGGGGGCTGAACCAATGTTCAGTGCTAGTCATGGACCAACTATAGGTGTTCTTCAGCTTCCAAAGCTTTTTGCAATTTTGGGATATCCAAATAGTTGATGGTCAGGCCTTTGTCATCAGAGTTAGTATCAGTCGAGGAATTGCCTATGAGTGAAAAGGTGAAGATGGTAGTTGTTGAGGTTGAGTTAGAGATGAGGAACATGTTGTTGATCTGATGGAAAAAGCCATAGAGATTGTCGATCTAGTCATCAAAGTTGTCTTCAGGTTTGGGTTGATCAGAGGGTTGTGGTGGTTGTCGGGAGAGACCATCAGGGCCATAAAAAGTGCCAGGGACATGGATAAGTATGAAATAGAAGGTAAGAATAGAGACAATCCACCAATTGATGCTGGTGCGGTTCAAGATCTGGGTTAGTGAGCATGCCCTTGATGTAGTGTGCATCTACTTTGACTATCAGGTTCTGAACGCCAATGAGGTACATTTTGAGCGATCGGAGGGTACGGAAGAGGCCATAGAGTTCAAGCTTAGGCTAGGAGAATCACAATTTGTGGTCGTTCAGAGTGATGGAGCTGAATCAGGCATAGTACCAAATCTATGGATTGTTGAGCGCACATTGACAGAGATGGAAGCCAACTGCGATTTGTAAGGTATCGACAGCAAGGATAACTTTGCTGCCAACCCACGGTTGATTGGCCGAAGGGCTGGCAATTCAAGAAGTGCCAATTGTAGGTCGTCCTGGGCCACCATCTAGCCTGGGCCAAACACAAATGGAAAATCTTTGTGTGTTAACATAGTCAGTGCATGCACTCTGTATGCAAAATTCTGAATGAAGATCAGAATGACACCAATCATCCCAAAGAATGCCTGAACATCTAAGAGATCCCTGCAAAGTCCCCACTTCATAATCAATTCTACCCTTGATTCATCTGGTAACCTTTCTTTATATGTGCAGTAATAGCCAACCATCATAATTTCAGCCATGCAGAGTGTCGCCTTGTGTCCCAAAAATGTTCCTCCACTGTACTTCATCCACTGAACCACCTGATTGAGGCCTTGAAAGTGCTCCCACACAAATCGTCTAATGCTGGGGTTGTCGGGGTGCATCTTAAAGCCATCATTCAGAAGTTTGTATTAGGGCAGTGGGCCCTGAATTAGGACATCATTGATAAAAGGAATGGTGGTGTCTAGGATCTCTGGCTGGAGGATGTGGGTGACATCATTATGGAAGATCGGGACCAAATTTGTCCATCCCATGGGCAGGGTGACAAGTTGGTAGGCACTAAACAGGGTCTGGAATATAGTGAAGTTGCATAAAGATTTGGCGAGTCTTCGTTCATCATAGCCAACATAGAGGTCTAGAATGCCGCTATAAGTGCGAGCTGCAAACTATTCAGTGATCTGATTGGTATACGAGGGCACACCTAAATGCTAGATGGTGACTGTGTTCAGGAGTTCAAGGCTGTGAATTATTTGGAGTTTGGTCCCAGTGGA